AAGCGGAAATCCAAAAGCACCGTTAAGACCCACATTCAGAAGTATGAGACAAGATATCTACTATAATATATACTGTGAGTTTTTTTTTATCTCTGCCTCCTGTCTAGTTTGTGTTGAAATTTTGACTTGAAATCGCACAGTGTCCTCAAAGGATGCCTTGAGCTCAAGATCAGTACTTAGGAATTTTAATTATGAAACTTTATGGAGCTGCATGAGCTTCTTCTTAGGGGAATGAAAAATTTAAAATATTATGGCGCTGGATTTATCCTCGAGAGTTCTACAGCGTTGGATTATCTTCCCTTATTAACATTTATGGCTTTTAAAATTGAAATTTGCTTCAGACTCTGGTATGGTCCTAACTGATTTGGCCGGAATTGCCGATGAAAATTATTTAACGTTTTAAGTTAGACTTCAATAGCTTCGTAAAGGGTATGCAATTTTTTTTGAGCGCTTTAGGGTTGGCAAGTGAATACGAGACTCTCCCGCCTTATATGCCGCCAGAGAACTACTATACAACTCACAGGCCTAGTATTAATATTCATTCGTATATCGAACAAAGGCTCCTCCTTCAAAATCCGAACCACCTGACATTTTAAAAGAAAGAACTTCCTCTTTGTCGGTGGGGCTAACACCTCCAAGTCCAGAGCTAAAAGTAACGGAACTCCAAGTTAACCCACAAATGCAGACATTAAATAATCGTAGTAGTATGTTTGTATTATATACCACACTCGGGGAAATCCCCACCTCGTTACTATCTGCCAGGATATCAACCACATGCCGAGAGGTCAGATCATAATTGGCAACATTCAGGTGTGCCAGGGGATTTCGTTATGCCAGACGTTGACCACTTTGTCGAAAATTCCCCAATTCTTCAAGACAGTAGCCCAACTATTAGCAACGACTCACATATTGGCCAAGGATGGAATACGGAAACCAACTACCCCAATTATAGTCATGGGCTGCACCTAGAACGGGCTTGGACACCTAGAAATAACAGCCCCAAGGACATGCCCCACTCCAAAGAGCTAGACCATTATCAGTATTTTCCGATAATCCTCATAATAATCACTTAATGCAGAATACACCAATATATACACAAGCTCCTGTGTCATACTCTCCTCAATAACATCAATGGTAATAAGACCCCAACCTCCACCATAATTATAACAACGGACCGAAACGCTGTATCGTGATATCAGACTATGTGGGATCCCCCAGAATAACGAATTGTTGTTGCGGGCGGGGCAAATCTATAATGTCGTCCCGCAGCCGGATGGGTCACCATGTAAGGGAATCTGCCCATATGTTACTAACTGCACTTTCCCATGGGAGATATATTGACTAGTTACTTTGATTTAGGGGTTTGGATAGACGGCAGCCCACATGAGCCATCAGACTATATCCCAAAAAATAGCTTGATGGAATATTAATATTATGTAGGCTCATATCATGAGCGCCATTGATGAGGTCTAGTAAGATAATTTCAGGGTTTGTGAACATGTATTTTACCATGTAAATAATGTTAGCTTTCTTTGTTCTTGCAATACCTGCATTTTGATATGCTCCCATTCACGTAACATGTATAAGTACTACACGCACCTACTTACACATATATAGAGTGTAAGACAGGAATTATGAGCACGAACAGCAGCTACATGTGGGTATTCCATTAGGATAGGACGGTTCTAGATCAGAAATCAGGAGAAACCATACCGTAGGTACTTGTATGTCAGTCAGTATTACAACCCATGTATGCCACGTTTTAAGATGTCTTAGCCTTCCACTAGAACCCAGTGCCGAGCCGGACTGCTGCCATCCGTAATCCCTGCAGCAGAGTTCGGCCCGTGCTCGTTCGTTACACCCGGACACAACCTCCCCAGACTTTCGGCTAGCATTCTTTAGTGTGACTGGCGATAATTAACCGAAACTCGCTGTGGCTGAAACTCGTATTTCTCGGCATCCATTGGCATGTGCGGGGGTGGGGAGCTCGGTAAGGCCTACGTAGACACTAGGCAGCTAATTAATGTAAAACAGGAGTCGTGTAGGCGGGGTTCACTCTCGGGATTCGGGCCAAAGTATTATTGGGAATTCCGCTTCCACTGACACTGGCCCCTAGGCCCGAACAACACCTTTGTTCTATCATACAATATCGTACTATATGGGTCTGGGGGGTCGTTCATGACTAAGTAACCTCCACTTTCCATCCCATCTGTGAGCTAAAGCACCTATCATAAACTCTGACCCGAGACTAGGATTAGGGGATGACTTTTTTCTAGGACTGTTTCATGGAGTCTGATCGGGGCTAGGATTGGGGGTTATTATCACCGTCACTTGAGCATTCGTATTCCTCGGCTTACAATTGCGAACTCATGACCACCGATTGTAGCCTTGGTCGGTTGGGAAAGAGCGAAGCGGAGTAACACACTCGTAAAACCAATAGAACAATAACTGCATGTACATACGTACATATACTTACTTGCAATCGCTCAATCCTGATCGATCATGAAATAAAGTTTAGCGCACATGTTAAATCATGTTTTCTGAGGTAAAAAAGTAACGGCGTTTACATGACTCGTTACTAATGTAAAGTCATTAATACAGGTCTTTGGTACGAGAAAGAAACGAAGATATAGATTTCAGCCTTGTATTATGTGCTCCGGCTGCTGTTCCTTCTTTACCGAAAAGTAGTAATCCCGAGTGATATCTGGTGATTCACTCGATCACCTGCCATTAAACTAATTATCTAACAGTCGGTGGTATCAAACCACAAATATCTGCTCATACATGCTCATTCATCTTTCTGCTCAGGCTAGAATCTACAAATACATTCCTCTCACTCACTAACTTCTCGTATGATGATAAGCTAAGCTGGTGATAAGATTCGGCCATAGGGCAATATGACGGATCTTCCCCTTTGGCATCCGGTAAATAATTAACGCTGCTATAGCAGAGACTCTACATCAACGGAAAAACTTAATCTCGTTCCTTGGACAAGGGTTGCCAGAAAATGAAGCATAATCTTCCTCTTGGGCCCGGTTCTCCATGGATGCATGCATGAATGCTTGGTGAGAGAGGGACCGGGATATTGGCACCACTATATTTGGTAATAAATTCCCGTGTTTATCTTCCGGGCAACGGTTCGGTCCGGTAAAGCCTTTCAATTGTGTTTTCTAACGCTCAGTGGCGAATCTAATGGTCTGAGTACGCGCTGTCGATCTGTAGTGCGTATGCAGCGTAGAGCAGTAAGGCATTAAGAAAATGTAGAAATCGGATGTGAATGTAGCTCGTTATGTGTTAAGAAGTACCTGGAGTAAGCAGCTTGCCTTCTCGTAGTTTGCCCAATGATCATGATATACCATATGACTTTGAATACATATGTATTTAAGGCACTCTAAAGACGTTGGCAGTGCGGGACTCTAGAATATCTAAATGTTTGGAATTATGAGTATGTAGTTACGTACTGGGATAAAAGTATACATACTTGTAGTTGAGAGATTTGGTTATAGACTTAAAGCTAGCGATAGAGTAGCGTGATGTGGTTTATAACGTGCCTGCATCTGATCAACGAGATAAGATCTCTGACTAAGTTGACAGCTGTTGCAAGGATCCTATCGGAGCAACAACAACCACTTCCGAAACCCCAGCACACTTCTTCATTTGCTTTGCTTTGGACTCCGCAACCCACGCATACGGTCCCTTAAATTACAAGGATTAAGCATCAATTGAAAGGTTTTCGTTGCCCCGTTATACAGGATTAATATCCGCTTCATTAACATCAGACGCGCCTCCATTGAATTTCCAGTGGGGCTTTGACGGTACGTGCTGTATAGCTCATATGATGGAGCGTACATAGCTTACATCGCTACCTAGAAGCTAATGTCTCCTATATTCGCATCCAACTCGTGTGCTCTGGTTATGTGCTCAACGGGTAATATTCTTGTCGAGGAGTAGCTGGAGCTGGGCTCCGAATTTCCCTCCCACGATTGCTTCTTCAATGGCGCTATTGATCCTTTGCGCCGCGCGGATTTTTTTTGGAGAAGAAGCAATCTATAGTGGAATGGAGTATATACATATGCTCAGGGGATGATGCAAGAAAGGGCACGGAAGGAGTTTGCGGGGAAGTGACGGGCGACAGATGCGACGGATCCACGGGCCGTGCAGATGTCAAGCATCCAAGATCGGCCTGATTGGGTGTTGCCTACCATTCTCCATAGTTACCTGAGTCCCTGACCCCGCAGTCTGGGCCCAAAGGAGAAATATCGTTCATTTATACTCGGAGGCATCTCTCCACAATCTCCGCCATGCAAAGAGGGTGGGTGGTCGCAGTTACATACAATTCCAGGGAATCATATCTGGTACCTGCGGCTAGCCAGTAGCCCCCGGATAATCAACTTAAACGTTCATTGGGTTATTCTTCCGGCACCTCAGGAGAAAAATTAATATCAGCAGAGAAGCGTTGCACTGAATATGTGTATGCATACGGAGATCTTCGTCATCTCCCGGTTCCTTGAATCTTAATATCAATTTGGGTTTTCTTCAATACTTTAGTATTACCCAGAACCCTGCTAACAAAGTACACATGTACTAGTACTGCATTGTAACAAACCTCGCCTATGGCCATATGGGATGCGGATTTCGGATAATCACCCCGTCTCCCTTGCTATCACGATGTGCCTTCCACCAAGTCATACGAGAGTTATCCAACTAGTGAGGGAAGAATGCTACGCTTCTCCGGCCTGCAAAGCCGATGCACGGCAATCTAAGCTTTTGTCTTTGCTCTTTAATGTTCAATATTGGAGGATGGACTGACATGGATTGCACAAGCTCTCGTCAGAAGAGACTTATTCAGAGCAAGGGGAAAGTATATAAGACCTTGGTCCCATCCCCAAATAAAACCCTTTCTTCACCACTACCGGCAGCATCTCCAATAACAGTTCAATCAGACTGTACTAGACATTCCTTAGGCACTTTACATTTTCATTCCCTCAAAACCTTTCACAATGAAGGGATCAATTATCGCCGGAGCCCTATTGGCAGCTCCTTTCGTCGCTGCTCAGCAGGCTCTCTACGCACAGTGTGGTGGTGTTACCTACACTGGTTCCACTACTTGTGTTTCTGGATCCTACTGCAGCAAGATCAATGATTGTAAGTTTTTACGCCGATATATTTCCCTTATGAGCTTGAGTATTTACACACAGCGTCTTAGACTACTACCAATGTCTTCCTGGTACTGCCTCTAGCACCGCCGCCGGTAGCACCGTTGCCACTGCTACTGCGACTGGTACCGCGACTGGTACCGCAGTTGTCACTAGTGCCACTGCCGTTGTTACTGCCAGTGGAAACCCCTTCGCTGGCAAGACCCAGTGGGCCAACCCCTACTACGCCTCTGAGGTATCAAGCATCGCTATTCCCTCGTTGGTTGCTGCTGGAAAGACTGCCCTGGCCACTAAGGCCGCATCTGTCGCCAAGGTGCCTTCCTTCACTTGGTTGTGAGTACCTCCAACAATATACTGTTTAGGCCCTAGTAATAACAAACTCTAATCTTATCTGTACCAAAAGTGATACCGCAGCCAAGGTCCCTAGCATGAGGACTTACCTTACTTCCATCAAGGCTGCCGGTGTTGGCAACTACATCGTCCCCTTCGTTGTCTACGATTTGCCTGACCGTGATTGTGCTGCTCTGGCTTCAAACGGAGAGTACTCCATCGCCGACGGAGGTGCTGCCAACTACAAGGCCTACATTGATGCCATCCGTGCCATTATCCTCGATTTCCCAGATATCCCGCTCGCATTGATCATTGAGCCCGATTCACTTGCCAACTTGATTACCAACATGAGTGTTTCAAAGTGTGCCAACGCCGCATCAACATACAAGGAGTTGACCGTCTATGCCGTCAAGCAACTCGCTCTCCCCAACGTTACTATGTACCTTGATGGAGGACACGGAGGATGGCTCGGATGGCCCGCTAACCTTGCCCCTGCTGCTGTTATGTACGCCCAGATCTACAAAGACGCCGGTTCCCCAAGCCAGCTTCGTGGTCTTGCAACTAACGTTGCCAACTACAATGGATGGTCCCTTGCAACATGCCCGTCATACACCTCCCCCAACGTTAACTGCGACGAGAAGAAATACATTAACGCCATGGGACCCGCTCTCGCCTCAAACGGATGGGCCAACGCACACTTCATCGTCGACCAAGGCCGTTCTGGAATGCAGCCCACTGGTCAGATTGCCCAGGGTGATTGGTGTAACCAGATCGGAACCGGTTTCGGTATCCGCCCTGATACTGCTGTTACTGATGCCCTTCTTGATGCCTTCGTCTGGGTTAAGCGTAAGGACTCCTCACTCTATGGGATATAAATGATATTTGCTAACATTTACTTAATATAGCCGGCGGTGAGTCTGACGGAACCTCCGACACCAGCGCTGTCCGCTACGACGCTCATTGCGGTCTCGCTGATGCTCTTAAGCCCGCTCCTGAGGCCGGTACCTGGTTCCAGGCCTACTTCGAGCAGCTCTTGACCAACGCCAACCCTGCTTTCTAAACGACCAGCCCATAACAGTCCCGGGGCTCCTTTTGATGCCCGGTTTTCTGGTGTGACATTAGATGTATATATAGAATTGGTTGTTGTTCATGTTTTTGCGGTGCTGTGGCAGTGTGGTGGGTGTGTTTTAAGGAGGGAAAAAAATGTTTCTTTGTGCTGATGGAAGAAAATGGAGCTACTCTCTAGTCTCTTTTCGTCATGTATTGGAGTCGCCTTGATGGGGGCCCAGTTAGCCGTTCGTAATTGAGATGTTCTATGCCGGTCTTTCCATTACCAATAAAGATTTCTCATAGGAACACGTGAAAAATAAAATAGTAGGTGTGACCTTTATTTTTCAAGATTTCAACCTCGATTCCTCGGTCCACGAGTGATACTTGATGAATAGGATAGATGGATAGCGATCGAATGCACTGTCAGCAACAAAAATAGGCAATTTTCGGAAATAGACTGCATATACATACAGACATACACGGAGGTACACAGAGGTAGCCAGGTGGTTGAATCAATCAAGCCCCGAATCACATTTAAACCAGTCAATAGTGCGTTAAGGGAGCAGAATATTAATTGACATCCTGAAACTTGTCTCTGGATCTATTGTTCCACGTAGTAGGTGTCAGGAGCTAGTCAACGGCTCGGTGCGCAAACGAAGGCTCCATAGGATTCGAGCTCTGCTGTCACTGACTTAGTTCGAGTACATACCAAGTCCTCACTATGTTCGTATCTCATAATGCCTCAATCCGAGTGAAGGCATGTCCTAGAAGTAGGTTCCCTTCAATCAAGCAGCTGGCTTGTGGCCAGGTTCCGCTTTATTCGCTTGCCATGGCCCATAGAGTAGATGCATATGCGGTATCGTCAAGCTCAGGTTACACAAGCAACCTAATCTGCACCCAAAATAGCACTCGTATCGACCAATGGCAAGCTCTCTCTCCGTCTCACATTTCAACAACGTTACACTTTTTCGCTTCCAGAATCATCGCTTTCCCTTTGGGAAAAGGGTGAGCCGTGCTTTCAAGCTATCAGGTCGTGTTGAGAATGTGGCGTTTCTATTAATATGTGTCAAAAGTTACACATTGCGTGCCTGCAGCTGCAATTCTCACGAGGACGTTTGTCCCCCAGATTATAATTATGTGTTCGGCCAATCTTTGAGGTCTGTGGTTGATTGTATGTATATATACCTACAATGATTATGACCCCACGTGCACAAGTTATCGTGAGGGCTCCGGTCGTTGGGAGTGCATTGGTGCAGGTAATACGGGAGGTGGGGGACCAAAAAATTCGGGATCGGGAGATACCACGAGGCCATAGGTACATGAGTACATGTAGGCACTGTACTTGAAAGATCGATGGGGTATCTAGTCGCGTTTCCAGATATAATCTTCGTAGCACATATATACTATATACGTAGTAAGAGTTAAGTTAAATTGATACGTTCTCCCATTTTAATTCTCAGTGTCTCTAGTACGCTTATAACAGCTCTAACGTCTCCATTCTCCCGTAGCAATCTGATTTCACCCCCGCTAGCTATATAGCTTCCATATATTTTTTGCAATGTTATATTCCACCGCATACGTCACCTCTCTCCTCCTCCTACTGCCGACCGCAGTCCTTTCACTCCCAACCGACTCCGACACTCTTGTAGCCCGGCAGAGTACTGAACAAAGTCGCGGTGGGGGTAATACTTGCCCTCCTAGAGGGAATCCCCAGCAGCTAACTCTCACTGTATTACGCCCTTTCCCTCCCAAAGCCCCTTTCTTTTTTAAGCTCTTAACTTCATGAAATAACAAAAAATTAGTTCGAGGATATCCCCACCTACCCCGACAGTGATTTCTATCAACTCGGGAACCCTAATAACGTGCCATACGAATATAACGGCTTCCAATTCCAGCAGAACGATCAATGGTACATTATGCGCTGCAATAACTTTCAGACAAATACCGCTCTACAGAACTACTACAAATCAGTAATTAAGCACTTCTATATTATTCTTTTGTTTAATATACTTCCTTTCTAACAACATCATGTATATAGTGTGGCGGTTCAGCTCAGGCGCTTTGGACAGCTGGAACTACCTCCGTACTTCACATTCCGGCACCCCAGGTGTTCGACGTCGATTCCTTCTTCGTCACCCCAATTACATTCGCAAATATCGATATTAAAGTGAAAATAACCGGGAAGACCTCTACCGGATCCTCAAAGGGACCCTATGAGATTAAGGTAAAAGGGGACGTTAGGACCCAGATTAAGGGTTTGAGAGCGAAAGGATTTGAGGCTTTGAGAGAGTTCCAGGTGCAGACACTGAAGATGGATGGGTCTACTGTGGGGTATGTGATCGATGATGCTAAGATAAGGAAGTACGAATGTGGTGGCTATTAGTTGATGAGTGTGCATGTGGCGCAGTGCCACGAAGATTGGGGGATGTGCGCGTTATTTCAGTATTGACCCTAGGTCGCTCCTTAATCTCTATTTCGTTTGTCTCACTATTATTTAACTAGTATCTATTTGCTAGTATCGATATATATCATGATCAGTTCAAAACTTAAACTAGAACACCTACAAATAGATATACGTAGCGTATTTCTGAAGTGATACTCTTTCGAATAATACAAAAATATGGCTCTTTATTGAAATATGTGCCTGTAAAAATACATTGGGATCCAGAGCTCGCTAAATAAACTACCTATGGACTTATTCAGTGTTGGTAGTGTTCGTATTGTGTAGCTTGGTTCAGCGTGAATAGTGAAAATTCCCTATATCTAGAGAGGGATATTCGACCCATTACTTTAGATCCGAGTGCTATGCTCTAAGCTAGATCGTATTTGATATATAGGGTTTCTCGCTCGAGGAGAGGCTACAGTACGAAAAAACAAGGTCAAATCAGTACTGTATGACTACGGGATTCAGTGAATAATACAGAATTAAACCGGCATTACAAAACGAATACCGTAGCGGTGTTGTACTCTTACTGCGTTACTACAAGTAGCCTTTTTTTGGTATTGTACTTATTTCTGTCAAGTGAGACTTTTCAAGGCCTCCCATTGAGTACATGTAGTACATGTAACTTTCCGGTCACTTGCATGGAAAGAGTGAATATTAATCAGTAATATAGTGCTGTTCCATTCGAAGCATCACCCCCTACAATTGTACAAATAAATCTAAAGCGTTTTGTTTTCAAGGTCAAAGGACCCTCGTACCACGGTTTTTTTTATAAGGCTAATCAAAGTACCTGGCCGGAAACCTTTGAGGTGGTCGAGTCGATGTTAAACAACTCGCGATCGAATACTTACTACCGAAGTTAAATGTTAAAGTATGCAAATACTACGAACTTGTAATAAAGAGAGATATCACTATGAAATATATGTACGTATAAAGCTATTTGTACCAAGGCAGAAACTATCTCCAGCGCTAGAGGTTCAGCATGACGTCAAACTAAACTTCAACTTATGGCTACCAGGTCATAAATTTAGAAATAATAAGTAACTTGTCGACAGCTATGTACACGAATAAAGAATAGGGAAAGAGGCCTGGGTATAGGGCCGAGTATTGCGATAAAAAGATTTCCCGTGGCACCGGCCTCAGATACTTAGTTTTTTATCGATAAAATTCATGATACCTGAGATCTTAAATAATAATAGTAATGTTTAATTGTGATATGGAGGTCCTTTCCTAGTTTTGAATGTGAACCGGCATAGATTCTTTTGCGGCCGCGAGGCTGCCTGTAGGCATGGTATTAAAGAGCTGTGCCACATGCCTTCGACTCTGTGGTGTGTACTTTCTTTCACAGTTGATCTTGCATATCTTATGTCGCCAGTACAATTTATAGGGTGTAGAAAATGTATGTTTCTTTTTAAAAATATTTGGTTCAAAATGTCAATGTTTTGATCGAGACGCCACGCCCGGTTAGCTCAGTGGTAGAGCGTGTGGCTTTTACGTGATTTAATCATGCATTGGCGCTACCTCAATGTCGCGGGTTCGACCCCCGCATCGGGCTCTAGTCTAAAATCTTTTTACCTTTTTGCTCTATGCAAATTATCTTTCGGTTTTGAGGGTAGGAAGGGAACGTATAAAAACCTATTTCTTTCTTTGACACAGCTACTGCCATTTCAACTAGAGGGGACTAATCCCCCTAATAAGTGAGGGTCGATTTACGTTGTATTCTTAAACTTCGGCCCGGAGTGCATCTGACTCCATAAGAAGTACTACTACATGTATCCTGTTCGTGTTTGTCGCTCTTAATGTACTAGCAAATAAAGTACGTATTTGATTAGCTGATCAGCAGCTCGTTTGATACTATTTCAGATTAATTGATCCCTCAGGGGTTAGCATATACTTGAAACTGCACATTGCTTTGTAACCTAGGCCTAGAGTTGGGTATACTAACTTCTGTAGATTCAGTGTAGAACCAACCTTTGGGGTTGGTAGACCTTTTCGTATGTTTCGAGACCATCGATCGTTTTATTGCAGGAGGAACCTAGGGTTAGGGTTTAATGGCATGTGAGCTCACATTGGCCATCGCGATGCGGGGAATATTGGCACTACGTCAATATCATACTTCAGAATTCCCAAAATATGGCTTCCTCCAAAGATTTCAGCATCGCCTCTACCAGGGATAAGTTTCCTCATGTTGACCGCGGAAGGAAAGGCTTGCCGAGTCAGATTGATAATACTGGTGGTATTGTGCTCGACAATGCCAGCGGAACTCAGCTGTTGGGTTCGGTAATCGAAGCGTTCGTATAATTAATGCTAGCTGCTATGTATTTTGATCCTGAGCATATGATGACTGTCGAGTAGAATCGCGACATACTACACAAACCCCACCAACACGCCACTTAAGGATAGCACTTACCTCAAAAATGCCCTCTCCGCGTCCCAACGCTTCATCAACGCTTCATCCGCCGACGAAATCGGTCATTTGCTCCTCATATTCCTCTCTCAGGCAAAGCTGAGCTGATTGATATATACCGCTTATAGCAATCGGTACCTCCACAACACAACTCTTCCACAACCTATCAACGAGCTTCTTGTTTCCTCCGAAGAGTGAAATCATTGTCACGCAGATCAACCATGAGTCCAACATCAGCCCATGGCTGCGAATGGCGGAAAGACAAGATCTGATCGTGAAGTGGTGGACGGCGAAGGGGCCGGCCATGAGGCTGGAGATTGATGATCTATTAGAATTGATCTCAGAGAAGACATGCTTGGTGGCATTGACACACGCGTGTGGTATACTTGGGAATATTGAGGATGTAGAGGTGGCTGCAGAAGTTGTTCATAGGATGGTGCCTGAGGCAGTGGTTTGCGTCGATGGTGGAGAGTTTGTGCCACATAGAAGAGTGGACGTGAGTGCGTTGGGTGTGGATATTTATGTCTGGTCTTGGAATAATGTAGGTACCCAGAAATCTCCCTTTCCACTCACCACCCACCTGTACTTGGCCCGAAAGATTGATAGACATGGCACAGGTATTTGGGCCCCATCTATCCTGCATCTGGATCGAAAAATCACTAAAAGACGACCATGACCTCCTCGAACCCTTCAGTTACTTCTTCGATCATCCACTCACCTCACTTCAAGTCAAGCTCGGCCTCTATGCCGCTAACCCTGCCCTCACATCTTCTATCCCATCAATTGTAGATTATTTTAATCCCGATCCCGTCTCCGCTTGGACCGCAATCATGGAGCACGAAGCTGTGCTACAAAAGATACTAATAGATTATCTTAATTCACGCAGTGATGTTCGAATCCATGGAGAAAATTCACCAGATCCTGTGCTCCGGGTGGCAATAGTATCGTTCAATATAAATGGATGGATGAGTCAAGACGTGGTTGAGTTCATTACAACAAAAGACCCCAGGCTTGGGGTGGCTTGGGGGCATTTTGATTCTTTCAGATTGGTGGCCAAGATTTTACATCCCAAAGAGGATGGAGTGGTTAGAGTGAGCATGGTACATTATAATACAGGTGTGTGGTGGTTCTCTGAGGGGTTTGATCCTGATGGAATTTGAAAAACTGAACTTTTCGTGCGTAGTTGAAGAAGTGGAAAGATTAGTGGATGTTTTGAAAGAGATTGAGATCGGAGGAGACCAGGGTTTACTAGCGCATATGGAAAGACTTTCTCTTGTTTCCTTGGACTCTGGAACAAATACGCCGGTTAGGTCTGAGTAATGGCGGCTAGACAAGAAAAGCTAGACAAGAATAGATTTGGGACTATTCAGGGGGCAGTACTAGAGCTTGTTATAGGTCATGAAGCCTCTTATATCTTGTTTTGTTTTTGCTGTTATATTTGAAACGATTTATAATGATTTATCTTCAAAATCCATTTCCTATAATTCAGTTTTCCTCTGGATTGTAGTTGCTCTCATGTTGGCAGTTATCTGCTTGATGCATTAAACAGAAGCGCTGTCCTCTAGCTTTGTCTTCATTGCTTATAACTCCATATATCAAGAAGCGAAGGAATAAAACGCCTAGCTAAGAGCCGAGGTTATTGGGAGGCACATATAACGAGGCGGGGTTACAAGATTATCATTAGCATTGCTCTTGCGGCATCTACCTATGAGCAGGAGGGGGTAGCTCTTCATTGAAGTCTTTGGTGCTCCTCGATCGAGATATTCAGCTGGGGAGTATTAGCATAAGTATTAATGAAAGAGTAATTATAAAGAGCAAAAACTACGTGCAATGCATGCATGGCCCGCAAATATAATTGGAATATCTCTGGGATTGAGGGTCCACTTTGAAATCCCTCTTGGGATGAGTGGTGAATCGTGTTTGTTATATGGTTTTGATTATATTACTACTATGCATAATTACTAAACCTCGAGGTTTATCATGATCGTCAAACTTGATCATGAGGAAGAAGCACTGTCTACAGCATATATGACCTTACAATCGTGATCAGGACCTCGGGGCGAAACAGTAATATTTCGCGGGCCTCGCAGAAACCATCGCTATATTATGCGCGTTATTAGGAATTGTATATTATATAGCTTGATCGAGCTTGGTCAATTGATTCTATTGATCAATTTAGTACGTAACTTAACCGGTGCCAGCTATAGTTGTGTAATCTATGCATATTGTAAGCCAACACTCTGGGGTTTCGTTCCGTAAACATATGTATATATATCGATACTTGTATAATATACCTACTTACATGCAGTATATCTATATCAATTACTAAATGGGCAGTTCGTGGGTTAAGACCTGCTCTGGATGTGGTCCGGTCAGATACAAGTAGCAGCGAAATATCGGTACTTATCGCTGTGATACGCGCAGGCTACATATGTAAGTTCTTTGCCAAGAATTAGTACTGCATGCACCTAATTCATTAAAAGAGCCCTTGGCCCTAGCTAGTGCAAAAAAAGTACACTGATGATATGATATCAGCTGAAGCCCTCGATGTCTTCAAACGTGTACTGATAGCCATATTTTTCGGTGTTTGGTTGGGGTTGATGTGTCCGCCGGGGGGGGGGGGGTGTTGCGCCTGCTGTACTGCTTCACAGTTGCGTATTGAAAACACTCATTAATTAATGAGTTAAGTATTGGAATTCTGGCGCATTTATGCACTGAAATATTTAGTATGCACCTGCACCAGAAACAAATATGTACCGGTGACGTGCACTGTCCGTCGAAAAGAAAAAAAAGAAAAAGAACCGTTTTGCTCAAGAATTCACGGATTCAGTTGTCTAATAATTTATTGGCTCCAACGGATGAGATTCAATAACTCCCGAGTTATATGGCGGAGGTCTAATAACGTGGCGGGTTCTCAGTACCCCAATCAGAGCACAACAGATCATCGTTGATATTTCATTTATAACTCCTTGAGATATATAGGCTTCATAAGCGTTGTAGGAGGATCTCTACCTAGAGAATATTCCTGCATACATACTCTTCGTATAATCGAACTGCTAACATGAGATTTAAACCAGTTGCGCCGCTCAACCACGCTATATACCCTTGTCATGTCACCATGACAGAAAGCCTATATATTAGCGTAATATAGTTTTCGGAACAACGCCCCTCTTGATCAGGGTTCGGCGTCCTTTCCGGCCGGGGTTAGGTGTAGGGTTGAATTTAGGCGGGTATAACCATCCCCGCTGGTTCCCCCGAAACTCCCGAAGCCAAGAGCTTCCATTCTTCCACTTCAGTTTTTATTAATCGTCAAACCATTGGAATATCTCCGGTGCGGATGCTTTCGTGCCGTCTTTTATGTCAGGGCGTATTATCCGGGGGATTCCATACTCCATTATTCTAGGGGTAAGTTTATTTTAGAGTGTCAACCGGGATATACAATGAACGGCGCTCTAGGGCCGTTGTCCGAATCCAGGAACTATGCAATCTGTATTAGATAATTATCTTCAGATAGAGTATTGATGGAAGATGTCTCCACCATTACTGGGTCGGAATATAGCGTTCACCCTGAATCAATTTTACATACGCTTCCGAGTACCGAGAGTCGAGGAAGTGAAAGGGGTTTCTCCAATTTATCTGCTAGGTTAGTTAGCTACCATTCGAATATTCAGTAGAGGAATGGATCGACCATGAACCGTGTCATGATATTGTATATAAGATAGCACCCCAGCTGTCCTGTTCCCCCACTAATCGCCTAGATTATCACTCTCTTAATCTTATCAAAATGTACGGCGGAATCACTGTACTTGTTCCTGTCTTTTCCGCAGTAGCGACATTGCTCGCATCAGTCCCTGGTGCAAACGCTGCTCCTGCTTCACAGTGTTATAACTGGAAGAACGTCAGAATTGGTGGAGGCGGAGGCTTTGTTCCTAGCATTGTATTCAATCCAGGAGAGAAGGGGGTGGCATACGCCCGTACAGATATTGGTGGGGCTTACAAGCTCAACTCTGATGATACGTGGACACCTTTGACGGATTTTGCCACGGGTACAGATTGGTAAGATATCAAGTTCAAATTTCCCGTTTAAGCTTTTGACTGGGGTTAGGTTTTAACATAGAATTTAAACTTTAGGAATAAATGGTATGTTGACGGTTTGGCGACTGATCCTGTGGATACCAGTCGTGTCTACTTGTTGACAGGAGCATATACCAATTCATGGTATGTATATATATCTCCATGTTCTAAAGCACACAAATTCTTCCCGGAAACTTATCTAGTTATTATCTAGGGACCCTAATAATGGTGCAATTCTTGCATCGAATGACTATGGTGCAACTTTCACAACCTCTACATTGCCGTTCAAGGTTGGAGGCAATATGCCTGGGCGAGGCATGGGAGAAAGGCTTGCCGTCGACCCTAACAATGGCAGTATTCTTTTCATGGGCGCTAGGAGCGGGAACGGTCTTTACAAGAGTACCGATTACGGGAGTACTTGGACTAAAGTCACCTCGTTCCCTAACCCAGGTAGGCAGACCTGCAGTAAGCTTCACTTTTGGGTAGATCCATATCTGACTTGTCTTTTATAGGGACTTTCATTCCTGATCCCACTGACACTGATGGATTGAATGGCGATATCATCGGTATCTCGTTTGTCACTTTCGATTCGACAAGCGGTAGTCTTGGCACTGCCACTCCTAGAATCTTTGTTGGGGTTGCCGAGAAGGACTCAGAATCAGTCTTCGTCTCGAATGACGGTGGAAGCACTTGTATGAATCAATTTCAACCCTTCAAAGTTAATATTTAAAGGCTTACACTATTTTATGAACTAGGGACTGCCGTTGCTGGTCAACCTACTGGTTATTTGCCACACAAGGGTGTTCTTTCACCCAAGGAGAATGTTCTCTATTTGACATACACCGACGGTGCTGGTCCATATGATGGTACCGCTGGATATGTTTACAAATACAACATCAGTGCTGAATCGTGGACCAATATTTCCCCAGAAAACAGCACCTTTGGGTATGGAGGTATTGACATCGATCTACAAAAACCCGGTACAGTGATGGTTGCAGCATTGAACGAATGGTAATTCTCGGATGTGTTCTCATTTCTCTCACAAACCACTAACTTTCCAAAAGGTGGCCCGACGCAAACATGTGGAGATCTACTGACTCTGGCGCTACCTGGTCCCCCATATGGGATTGGTCATACCCAGTTCTCAACAGGCACTTTGGATATGATATCTCGTCAGCTCCTTGGCTTCAGGACCCCAACTCTGGTGAAGACTACCGGAAACTGGTTGGATGGATGATTGAGGGTTTGTCGATTGATCCTTTTGACTCCAACCATTTTCTATACGGTACAGGAGCCACGGTGTACGGAAGCAAGAACCTACTTGGCTGGGATACAGCCCATAACTTCACCCTTCAGTCACTAGCTACTGGCATTGAGGAGACATCAATTCAAGGCCTTGTGGCGCCACCAACTGGACCAAAACTTATCTCTGCTGTCGGTGATATCACTGGATTTGTCCACAACGATCTTGATGTTGCCCCTACTATTGGCTTCAAGAATCCATACTGGGCTACGAGCTTGGACTTGGATTATGCGGGGAACAAGCCATACAGTATCGTTCGTGTTGGCAGTGATGGATCCGGCGAAACAAAGCAGATTGCGGTTTCTTCTGATTATGGTGTAACCTGGACTGAGCATGAAGGTGCCCCAGACTACACCAATGGTGGGAAAGTCGCACTCTCTGCAGATGGAAACACCGTCTTGTGGAGAACTGGATCTGGAAATGTCCTTGTATCAACCGGCGCCAACACTACCTTTAGCGACGTTTCCTCTCTTCAACCATCCTCCGTAATTGCTGCGGACAAGAAGAACGACACAATTTTCTATGGGGCTTCTGGATCAAGCTTCTACATTTCCCTTGACTCCGGTGCAACCTTCGCCGTTGCCAGTACCTATACAAGCTCCACATCAAACCCTGTCAAAATTGTGGCCAACCCTCTGACTTCCGGTGATGTTTGGGTTTCTAGCGACATTGGCCTTTTCCACTCGACTGATTTTGGCGCTACTTTCTCTGCTATCTCTACCGTGACGAGAGGGTATCAGTTTGCTCTTGGCGCTCCGCCTACCACTGATGGATACCCAGCTATCTATCTTGTCGGTACAGTTGATGGATCGGTTGGTGTTTTTAGAAGTGATGATACCGGTGTCACTTGGTATAAGATTAATGATGATGCCCATGGATTTGGATCACCAGATAGTGTACCTGTTGCTGCGGATCAGAATACTTATGGAAGGTTTGTCTCACCCTTCTACCCAAAATAATTTGAATTTATACTAATAACAGAATTAATTCTAGGGTATATTTGGGTACTAATGGGAGGGGTATCTTCTACGGTGATGCCTCCTGCACAGTCTAGTTCCAGTATATGTCTCCTCTTTCTTTCTTTTAGAGCGCTTGCGCTTTTTTGTACTTTAAAAATTCCCTCTATCTAGGTTGATACGTATATAGAACTAGTTATACTTTATCTGAAAATATTTGGAAATATTCTCGGTCTAGCCGTTACTAGCTATAGCCAGTAGTAGTTAGTCTTAATTAAATACTTTATTCCTTCGGGATATTACAAGTAGCGCAAAATGCCTACTAACATACTGCGTTAGTAATTACCCCGACGACTCTACTCGACACATATTCACTAAAGAACTCGCCAGAGGAGTACATCGTACATGGAACCGTAAATTTCCTAGATTATAAACTATTTACTTATTGAACCTTGCACGATTAAACATAAGGATATGAAACCAAAAAGTACTACATCTGCTCGTCGGTGTTAAGAAAATATGATTCATGATCAACAAGAGACTTATAATTAAGACGAAATGTAAGGATATCTTGAGATGGAAGACTGGTGTAAACCAAGTGTTATGTTGTGAAGGATGATATATTTTTGTTGATATGTGCATCATGATTCATATTGACAATCTGCTTCGAGACTATGATACAGTACATGTAGTGTAGCTCAAAATCCGACAGTAAGGGTATCTTATTTAGTTGGCGGTTGTTAGTTGAATCCCAACGCCTAGATCATTATCGGTCTGTTTTCGTCCAAAAATAAGCCAGTTGGATCGAAGGACTTCGTAATACCCTACTATGTAGCGCTATCAACAGAACCAGAAGTTCGTAGTTTAAGTACTTACCAAGATTGACCAGCGTTTTACAGGCTTCGAGCTTTCTCAGCCACATATTAAAGGGATTCGATTGTCGCTTAGCTCTTTAGTTATTTTGTTTTAATTTCCTCCGGCCTCGACTTCCAATTTCGGGAGATCTAGAAAACAAGCTGGCCTAGGCGGGATCTATGCTTTTTAAATTCTAAATGTGGTTATAATGTCACATGTGAACGTATCACCACTTGATTACGAAGATACTCTATAACCTAAATGCGATGATAGCACAGAATGTGACTATAATATTGTATGAATTATAGATCTACGATCGCGACCTCTCTACTACATTTATTTTACGTATCATACGGATGGAAAGAATAGTGTTTATTCTCATATGTAGCTCCCCATTGATATCTTCGGGGTAGCGATGTACGACGTAGCTTTCCACATTTTTTCCATGGATCGTAAACTATAGAATAGAGGCATAATATATAGTAAATTTGAGACCACTCACGTGGATGAGGTAAAGATTTATTTTTATGATGCTGCCATCGGCATTACCAGATCAGCAGCTAAGTGGTATGATACTTAACACCCACCTCGTACCCGTATTAATACTACTATTCCATAATTAACTTAAGGGACATAATTTGGATGTGTTTACCTTGAGTACTTAATTAAGCGCCCAATTTATATAATTAATTATGTAACAACAACATTAAGTACCCAATTTTTCATTATGTACTATTTTAGAAGCACCGAGTGATATTTTATGAACATATCAGTACGCACTCCCACAATTTAGCAACTAAAACATGTACCTAAACGACTCGCCATAACAAACTTAAGCATACATGAATTATATATGTAACTACATAATTTCAGAAAATACGAGATCGAGATTAAGAACCTCCAGTTCGCGGATTGATCAAGCTTAGATTTGTTTAATCGCATTTTGACTACCAATCAACTAGGATTATAATGATAGTAAGGCCTAAATCTCACAACCTGTAGATCTGAGTTTTTGTTCTGAAAAACAACGAATGTGGGATTAGAAACACTTGTGCTTTTTTCGCGGGGAGAGGGCTTGTAAGGAAAACATGCTTGAGTTGTGTGATACGGCTAGATGCCTGTACTACTAGCTTTAATGGAATGGCACTAACTACATGTGTAGCTCGATACATGTACATACAGTTTTAATTATTATGCTATACCTCTGTCACACAACTAAGGGCCCGTTTGGCTGTTATGGAGGTGCCGAAACTCCATTTTGTGGCTGCTCCGTTAGAAGAGGATAAACGGAACTTTTTCAAAATGGAGTTTAGATTTTATTTGGGTTGCCAAACACCTGATTGTTAATGATCGTTGGTTTTTTTTGGTTGCAATGACTGCAAGAGCGAAACGGAGCTGAAAAGTAGGTAACCCCTACTTTTCAAAAACCCTGTTTCAACGCCTTAACGGAGTTACAAAATTAGCTGCCCGAACACAAAATTTTTTGCCAAAATGGAGTTATGTGGTTGCCATACAAATCCTCCTCTTGTAACTCCATTTTGACTTGCAGCCAAACGGGCCCTTAGCTAACATTTGGTACCACGTACCACCAGATCTGCAGAACAAATGATCAAGTAATTGAGCATGAGGCTCTAATTCACAAAATACTTGTAATTATGACTCTCATAATACGCAAATGTTGATTTTTATACTATGCAGGCATGCGTATATGCAGGTCCCCGATCTTAAAGTCCTACATGTAGCTCTTGTGTATTTTGCGAGTATTTCGTGCATCTTATCTCTATGGATTAGTAGGTTTGTGTCTAAAAATTTAAACATAAAGCTCCCTAGACCTTAGGATCCGCCCTGGGCGCCCAGAGAGCAAGTGTAAGATAGTTGACCTTAGCCTAGCACGGCTTCTCCTGTTATAATTACAGTATCAGAAATAAGGATAAAACTGATACCGCATTAGTACAGTATTGCGCTTTATCTCTGTATTTTAACGAAGTATATACGTATGCGGTACAGTGTTACCGTAGTTCTATGGTGTTGCCAATGACTACAGTAGTACCCCCACCCACGTTTCTGTCACTGGCGCAGTGGTACATGTACATAGCGTTAGTACTACATGTAGTAATATTCAATCATAGATCTAAATACTGAGCACGTGCACGCAGATAAGTTAGATTTCGTATATGTGATCATATCCACGGACTTGTAGGTCTAGATCACGTCGCTCCATCTCATGCGGACCAATTGAGCCAGGTTCATTTGATTTCTTGACCATTATAGCTTGCTCGATCTACTGGGTAGTATATTGACTACCCCCTTTCCGTCAAGATCTTGTTTACATTTATCTCATGATTTCAGAATTCAGGGAAATCGGTTGGTGGTGGACATGGAAGGCCGGAGATACTCCTCCTTTATACTGCACGTGGGGGATGCTCTTTGGTTTTACGGGAGACTACTTTAGGCGATCAAAGCAGGTTTCACCAACCAGCGTGCGCCCTCGATTTTAGATTTTGAAATTTGTCTGACCTTTATAAATTTACCGTTTATAGCTGGTCTGTTATAGATAGGAGGTATGAGGTAATACATGATATGTAGTCAATGCGATTAACTACCGGCGTTCAGAATCTAGAATATCTTATACCACAAACAAACTGCCTTTTACTCTACAGGGCCGGGTGTTATCTCTATGCGACGAAAGCTTCATATAGAGAGATGAAATTAAAGCCTAAATTCTAACACTTCCAGAACAGCGCGCCTCACCAGAGACAACCATTGTACTGGGTACCCGGCTAGATCTTATAACCGCATGCCTAATTATATTATAAATTCAGTAGGTTAGTATCTAAATCAAGCATCGTAATATAAGAAGAAAGAATTGATATGGCATGATTACACATATATATGAACTTAGGCTGTCATGAATTACACATTTATGTAGAGATTTTGACTTTAGTAGCTATTGGAACGAGTATCTCCTTTCACTTTATGAGCATTGGACATGAATTTTCACAATTAACTTGCTTTTACTAGCGATGGTTACGAGAAAACGGGACCTTGCTACTATTTTCTTTTATACGATCACAAGCATGTTCAGTGCATTACCGTAGACTCTACTAACCATAGGTCCACATTACTCGCGGACATCTGCTTTCGAAATTTAAAAGTGAGGGGGAATTAATAGAGTTTTTATTCTACGGCTATAGCTATATCTATGGCAATATGTGACGGTCGATCTAGAAACTAAGTTCGGCGACTCTGCCAGATTCGCAAAATATGGGAAGGGAGCTTCATGTCGTCAACTTACAATGCTGTACTAAGTCATTACGGATGGAAGCATATATAGATGTACATATAGATTATGATCAAATGAGCTGTCCAGAGCCGCATAAACTTAGCTGTGATTGACCATCCGCACACCTGTTCGTGCTGAGTTTTGTAAATTGCTCCTTGCCGGAAATGTCGTATATACATCACGCTAGGCAGATAATTGTTGAAATAGGTGTCAACATCGTACATACTTGTAGGAGATACATGTACAGTATGTTTCACAGAAGTTTACTTATCCCAAATAAACAAAAGTGTTGTCAAGTATTGAGCAGGTAAATACTTGGTTGGGTAATGGATTAGTTACTAGCTTCTTTCATTCAATTAGTAGCGATTAAGAAATTAATCAACAGTTCTAGATATCGTTGTGAAATTTAATATTCAACCCAATCGTACATCAACAATCTCTCCAATGGTCAACCCAAGGATCAGTGAATGTGTCAATGATAGGAGCCTCACCTCGCACCAAGCTCCCCCAGACAAAAAGACCGTGGCTACGCAAGTCTTTTATCTGAGAGATATGGAACGATCGATGTGGTCGCAACCAATTTTTCATATTCCATGACGTGAAAAACGAGATTTCTCTCTACACATCTCCCGTTTGAGTTGAAAGCGTCGTTTTGCCGACGATCACAAGCTCCTCTCCAGATATCATATTAATAGGCCGCCGACTAAATATGTACTACATGCGCAAAACAAAAGAGATCGAAACCTTACAGCCTACTTCAGGTGTTGGACCGTATGGTGTCTCAAATACTAAGGTGTAACATGATCAGAACAGGCATATATCTTTACTGTAAGTGCATCTAACTAGGTTTCAATCAATTAGTCCCGGTATAATTACAGAATCTTAGCTCTCAGTCAACTGTCCACTTATATACCTTTATCATTCTCTCATCAGTCTACTCTAAATAAAATATCCAACATCCTCTAATAATATTCATATTTGGTCATGACGATATCGATTATCATCGGCGCTGAACAACAAACGTCTATCACGGCAAGACTCCAAGTTGCAAATCGAATACTCGATGTCCTAGAAAGTTACCGTCTTCGACATCGTGATGGTACCTCTGACCGTAATGATGAAGGCAGAAAACGGTTTCTCCCTATAGTCATGCGAAAAGTAGAATATTTCCAACCCATCCACATGGTTCTTCCTGCATTCCCCTTCAAATCTCCAAATAATGATTCCAAGGTTCTGGGTACCATCCCTGATAAAGGAGAAGAGATAGCCCTTGCTCATTTAGATGGATTGTGTAAAAGTATTGAGGATATCTATAACCCAGGGGCACAAGTCACTATCGCTTCTGATGGAATCGTATACAATGGTAACTCCCAAAATACCATTGATGAACAGACCTATGAGATTAACGCTGAGATAGACTTACTGGGAGTTTCTGATCGTGATGTTTGGATATATGGACAAACACTTCGAAAGATTTCTGAAAGTTCTGGCTTCAACCACATCCGTTTCATTCCACTTCGGGATCTGCTCGGACTGGACCTTTCCGAACCAGTTAGCGAGGAGACATATGTAGCTCAAGCCCAAAACTTCCGGGATAAAATGAGCCAACTTTATACTCCGGCAGGATTTGACATTCGTCAGGAGATCTTGAAGAATGAGGATGCGGCGGCGACGTACAGAGGTTATATCAAGTTTCTCAGTAAGGACTTGGCAAATACAAAGACGTATGAAACCAAAATATCAAAAAGTGCTATCAAAAAGAGGAATGAGGTGGTTGCACGGAAGATGATGGCCCGTGGAAAGGTAAGCTAACAGCCACATACCCAACCGAAAAAAATTGAAATCTTTCCTAATCGTTTAAGCTTTAGGCATTTGCCGCTGCCGTACAGACTAACCTTAAGGATTACGTTCGTCTTTCAATCCATCCTTCATCTGGGAGTACTAAATTTTCAATCGCTCTCTTTCCTCATACCAGCCATAATATGACTCCATGGCATGCCACGACCCTTTATGGGCTCAATGGCTCCGTTACGACAGCTCATCTCGACAGTCTCAAAACGTCAACAAGCCACGAGCTAGTTTTTAAGGGTGGTGCTCCTTGGTATTATCGGGAGAGGTCTGATCTTTACCATTGGAGCGATATACGTATATCATTTGAACATTTATACCCGACTGGTCTACTCATCACTCCTGTTCCAGGTTTTGACATTCGATCATTCAGTAGTATCGATGCGACTAAGCTCAGATGTTTAGCCGAACAGAACTCACCAGTTATCCTTCGAGGTTTCACTAAAATGGATATTCGAGTGGTAATCAATGAGGTAGCTGAGCCAGTTCCAATTTCTGAGTGTCATGGGTTGGATTTTCAATCTTCGAAGTAAGTTTATACCGAATCCTTAATAGTTCTCCTATCTATGGTTACTAAAAACATGACAACTAGGCTGCAAATACTTACCTCAGATACACAAAGCACTGATGTATATGGCATTCCTTCCTTCTCATCATCCCGACAACTCTTCGAGCACCTCCCAGAACCCCTCAGCGTCAAACTGCTTTCAAAATGCACCTTCAGTACTCTTTCAAGCCCTTTTGAGAGGACGACTTTGATTACCCCTCATCCCACATTGGGTATTCCTTGCCTGCGTTATCAAACCACTCAACATGGAAGCAACATCTCCAACGTATCAAATGGTGATTTGTCAGTCTTTGGTATTATCGATAACCTTATGTACGACCGGCGGGTACGTTATGATCACATTTGGAAAGACGGAGATATTATTATAAACGATCCATCATCTGCGGCATATACATGTAATGATGTATTGTTGAGTGAATAAGTATTGATTGGGAATGAACAACGTGGATACAGTTATGTGGAGCATGAGCAGTCTATGGGGTTCTAAGAGACTTTATATTCGGGGGATGTTTTGCTGCATGTATACATGCGCTTCTTAGTTTATTAATTATCGTAGTCAGATATTCCAAATTCCCCTTTACCGACCAACTCTTTTCTATGATTTCTTTGGCCGAGAATTCCTTAAGCATAATATAATTTTTGATTATCACTGGATTTTTACAAATTTACCGATTTGGCTTAGTAAGCTCTAAGGAAAAGCAGAGAGGGGGGAAAGACGCTGTTCTATTATATATTACTTCAAAATATCCCGTTAATTGAGTTCATTCTAGCAGATATCGAGACACGACTCTATAAATACGCTCTCTGTGATGTTTGTGTACTCCATGGTTAAGCATTTTAAGCATTACTAATCTACTCCACACCCACTCCGGGTTTAGCCTTTAGGGACAATTAAAAGCTTCCTCAACAACCCCTTTGCGCAATTTAAGATATTCAATTTGCTTCTTTTACTCCTTACGAAACCTGAATGTGAACTAAAGTGCAACAAGCCAAGTAATACCAAGTCACTAAACCTAATCTAACAATTAAATACCAATCGATCATTGACCACCACACCAGAGGCGACAAAAAAAATCTTGACAGCTTCTAGTCCAACTTCCGCCCGCCCGTGTCTGGCCCCACCAACTTCCCATCAACCATCTTCCACCCGGCACCCAAACGTTTCCATCCCTCCGCCCTCGGGCCATCAACTGCTTTCATCAAAAGCCGGTTAATCCAAGCCCGAACACCCCATTCCTCCGGGAACGCAGTTAACACGCCCATTTGAAACTCGTGGCGCCAGCACGAATAAATCTCTCTATAGTATTGCCCCAGTCCGATCTTCCCCAACGTGGCTCGGGCAAATGCCGCTGGCGTAACTAGGAAGGTTCGCCCGTCGAATGGGGAGTAGGACGCATGGTCGATGGGCGTCATGGCGGTGCGCACGCCCCCGGGGATTATGGAGATGATTTCGACCGATTTGGTGGCTATGTCGTCGGTTCGAAAGATGGGTTCCTGGGAGGCGAGTTGTTCGCGGAGACAGGCGTTGAATTTCGTGGTGAAGGCTTTGGAGGCGCTATATGTGGGCGTTCCGGGGCTTTTTTGGGGGGCTATGTTAACGGTTTGATCTTTTTCTTCTTTTTTTCTTACTTATTATAGTTTCTGAGGGACATACAGGGTCATGATACTTCCTATGCTGCCTAAGCTCAGGATACAGCTCTTGCGCGCTAGTAGTCCTTCCTTCAATATCACTCTTGTCAAACATACTCCGAAGCTCACATTGACGTGGACGTTTTGGATAATCTCCTCGTCCGTGAGTTCTGAAAGAGCTTTCACAGGCGGAAGACCGCCGACGTTGTTGATCAAGAGTGTGATATTGCATCCTTTGAACTGCCTCAAAAGCTCTGGGAGCTTCAGTTCTTCTGGAGACTTTGAGGCATCTGCAAGGAAAGGAAGGAAGTGTTGGTTCGGATACTGATCTGACAGGCGGTGTATCAATGGCTCGAGCTTTTGAGTTGAGCGCCCATGGATTATCACATTCCACTATTTGGGTTAACAGACGATATAAGTATAAGATAGCCGGTATCAAACTAAGTCTCTAGACTTGAAGCTTGACAGTTTCACTCACCCCTCTCGCTGCCAATTCCTCCACAAGCGCTTTTCCGATGCCATCTGTTGCCCCAGTCACAAGCGCATACGCATCCTTAACTCGATAGTTTTTCTCTGCCGCTGCTCCATTATGGATCAAGTGTTGGTGTACGAGTCTTGGTAGTGACAACAAAGATATAGACGTTTGCAGCGCTACATATAATACCGTGTGCAGGGCGGCTGCGGAGTATAATATAGTGTTTGCCATTTGAGTTCGCGATACCGAAAGTACGAGTTGGTGGTCGGGCGTAGTATATACGTATATCAATGGAGATACCGAAATGCTAAAGTGTTGTCAATATGGGTGAGATGGGAACTAACTCAATATGGAAAGGACTAGGACTGGATTCCCGGGGGTTATTATCAGCATCGGGATCATGTAATATGGTCCACAAGACATCACCGCGAGGCAATCCAGGACCCGTAGACTCACGAAATTCCCGAACATGACCGGATCTGCAAACAGGCCAGGTAGTGCATGAGACCATTGACTTAGCTCGTGGTAAGCAGACCCGGCATTGTTCGGAAACGTCACGAAGGTTGGGAGTACGAGACAATTGGATTCGAGGTAAGCTTAGGGTTTTTGTTCGCCTCGAGCCGCTGGAGATTCTTGTACTATTCGCAACCAAATTGTACTACTACGGTTGGATTTCGTTATAATAGTACGAAAATATAACGAATCCGGATATAAACATATCCCAATAGAGCAAGTGAGTGATATCTTGTGGTTCCATAAATGCAATAATATGCCCCTCTACCCTCTTGTTTTTCCTTGATAACACGTTGATTGGATCGTCCAAAGTTAAAAAAACGCCTCCGATCCCTCCTTCCTTCCTTCAACGCTATGGGATACGTATGTCCGTATCCGACTTCCTGGGGTAGATTCGGTATCAGTTCTCCGCATCCTTATAAGTAAGCCGATTCATCATACTTCAGACAATTAACTTTAAAAATATGATTCGATGGTATTAAAAAGCTTACACTGAGTAGTTCTCGTATAAATTACTCTCCCTGCGAAAACCCTTGAGTGTATCTCACGTACGTTTTCGACTGATATCAAAATTAATGAATTAAACAAAAAAAAAAAAAAAAAAAACTAATATCAAAATTGACTTTCCCGATGTTCCAGAACACCATCGCCAACCTAGCTTACAAACAGTCTCGTGTTTGCTTCTCGTATGTTATTGATGGTGTATTCCTACAAACGGCGGGCAGGTGCCTCTTCTCGCATCGAGCAGCCTCCTAACATGACTCTCTCGTCAGAGTCGTCACCGTCATCATTAAACATTTGGAGTGCTTATGCCAATCAATGTGCAGCAGCACCAGTGCCGAGACCCGAATCTGATAAGATCAAACCTGCATACTTATCGGAGTGCCGCGTGTCTTGAACGACGATATGAGCCAACGAACGATACGTTCGAATAATTAGGTCGTGATGCAGTTTTTCGTATCCATTGTCACTACAATATATGTAGGTTCTTTAAAATGATAAATAACGGTATTCATAGAGTAATTATAGTAGAACGCATTGATCAGCACACCCACTACTTCCCTGCTCCTTTACCCATTTACCCCATTCATGTGCATAAACGTAGCATACATCCTGTGGTAATCCGCCGGTAACTAACACTTAAAGTAATACTTTATATCTGCGGCAGGAAACTCCCTCCCAAACTCTACCGGCCGATAAACACTACACCAACTATCGGCCGTGATCATGTTTTCCGATCATATAAACTTTAAACTACTTTAAAAGTTCGAGAGACCGATAATCTCTATTGCGATAAGATCGAAAGATGAGTGGTGAACTCGAAGCCTAAATGGATTAGATAGGGTATTCCCGATGGACACCTGATAGAAGCACGGACCCAGAAGCAGCAGTGCGGAGCGTTATCTGTCAATCACGCCGGCCAGACCTCTGTTGATGGGGTAATCGATATATCAACACCACCCATATATGCCATCATCCTATCAGTCGCATCCCTTCAATCACATTCTTTCACTGGATACGCCTTTGGTTGATTTCTGGAGTGATAGTCCAAGTAGTCTATTTAAAAAAAAAAAAAAAAAAAAAAAAAAAAAAACAAAGAATCCCCCGGATACTGCGGGTTCCTTCATCTTCTTGGCTCGACTTTCAATATATTAGGGAAGGAGCCAAGTCGGAAACCATATTAACTGAAGACTATGGCGTTTCAATCTCTCCTAGCGGCGAGCAAGAATAGGATACAGCTAGCAGTTAAATTGCGTAGGGTCAAGAAATACCAAGGGAATTCCTGGGAAACAAATCGACTCCCTTTTGAAAGTGGGGCACCCAATCTCTATTTAAGGGATACCTATGTGACCCAACACTTTTGACACGTTCTCCTGCTTCTAGAACCTCTCCATAGTGCGGGCATCATGGAACACTGATTGGCGTATACACAGCCAAAGCCAAGGCCTATGGCGCTGGCTAAATCGTTCAACCCCGCCACCAGAAAGGGTAATTCCAGATCTTGGTATTCCGCAAATCCAGGACCCCTTAAATCTTGTGCGGAGTGAAAACCGGGGCAGCCACCTAACCCGCGGGGCCGCCTCATATCATAGCGATCAGCATGCCTACAGTTGTTGAGGTGCAAGCCATCGAAAACGGAAGAATATTCTACTTAGTCGGTACGCCCTTTTTTTTTTTTTTTTTTTTTTTAAATCATAGTTTCATTTATTTCTGGGTACAAGAATATCGCATGGAGCCTAAGCTATGGCGTGAACAACACCCCTCCCCTACCAAACCGCCGAAGAAAACAAGACAAAACAGATATGAGCGTGTATACATGAAGCAGACGCAGTGGCGAGACCCTGACATTCCTCCTACTGGCCAGCAAACAAAGAAATTCGGACGTCCCCCTCAGGGGCAGTGTACTTTCGTACCAGCTACGCGTGATATGACAGGACATAGGAGAAGAGACAATAAGGAGAGCGACGAGAGGACACTTTCGGTGTTGAGGTTGTTGTGCGAACAGTTGGCTTTTGGGCCTGATGTGGGTGGGGGTGGCCTAGGCCGAGCTTGATGAAACGGAGGTGAGTTCGGAGTCTGAGGATAGGTCGTAAGGTGGAGACTTTGGAGGGCCCATTTGTGGGGGGAACCCGGTTTTGGTTGCCCTTATGTAGGAGGAGAGAGCTGCGAGTGAGGCGGGGGGTGACCAGAGGTCGTCGAGGGTTTTTGCAAAGGGTATGTGGGTTGCCCTCTGGGGACTGCGCGCAGGGCAGCGTAGTATGGCATGTTCGAGGTCTTCGTCTTCGAGAAAACATCTGGGGCATGTTGGGGGGAGGTCCTGGGACATCCATGTTGGGTGGGCCGCTAGGTAGCTTTTATGAGCCCGCATTTGGCATATGCGTCCTGCGATGAAGCGGTCGAGCTTGAGGTGGGGATGTGGACGGGTGCTGATTGGGAATTTGTAGTAGTCTGGTAGGGGGTTATTCTTCCAGATTTGCATGGTGTCTCTTTTGATAGAGAGTGCCAGGCCTGGGTGGATGGTGTTGGGGTGCTGGGCGAAAGTTGGTGAGTTGGTGAGCAGTGTGTGGCAGAGATCATCTATGGGGAGGCGGGCTACCCCTTTCCTGGTCGAGTTCCAGTTGACAGGGGGGTTTGGGCGGCCTCTTAGTAGGTGTCGGTGGGATGTCTCTCTGTAGGTGGAGAGTGTGTGGAAGGAGTCTGGGGTGCGTGCGGTGACTGGGTTGTATGCGGGGGATGCAGCTTGGATTCTCGCGGCGTATCTGATGCGTAGGGAGGGGATGTACAGGGCGAGTGGTGGGAAGGATGTTTCGGCTTGTAATATGGAGAGGGGGGTTGATCTGAAGCAGTTGGTGACCCATCTGAGGACTGAGTGCCATGTGGTCTCGAGTCTCTTGAGTGCTCGTGCTGTTGGGACTAGGACGGAGGCTCCGTATGTGAGCATGGGGAGGATTGCCATGACTGCTAGTCATCGGCAATTGAGGGGGGTGAGGCCTTTGCCTGCTGAGGCAAAACCTCTTATGATGGCGAAGGAGGCTTGCGCTGAGGCACACCTTTTGGAGAAGTGGTTGAAGGTGTTGAGGTTGTCGGTGAGCTGAAGGCCCAACCAGCGGATTTCTCTTTTGGGGTTGAGGGGGGTCCGGTTGAGTGTAATGGGGAGCGTGGAGGGTACGCTTCTATCAGCGCTGGTGCGCCAGTGGATGAGGTCTGTTTTGGGGAGGGAGAAGTGGATGTTGCGTGGGGTGCCTGCATCTGTTGCCTTGTGGAAGGCATTTTCTAGCAGTGCGATGTTCTGTTGGTGGGATAGGGAGGCGACTGTGAAGGCGAAGTCGTCGACATATAAGATGGTGATGCCGGGGGCTGGGTCTGTGTGGAGTGGCGCTACATATATGCAGAAGAGTAGAGGTGAGATGGGGGAGCCTTGGGGCACTCCGACGGCTACTGGTAAAGAGGCGCGTGGGCCGCCTGGGAAGAGGAGAGTACATTTCCGGTCCGATAGGAACGAGAGGACCCACTGGACCATGTATGGGGGGGTGTTTTTGCTGCGAAGGGTGTCTGCTAGGACCAAGGGGATGACGTGGTCGAAGCCCCTTTGACGTCCAGAAAGAGGGAGGAGACCTTCAGTCCTCCGCGTTGGAGGAGCCTGTAACAGGGCCACAGTAGGGCTGTTACAAAAATACCTGTTCTACCAGTCAAGCCATACGGCCCTAGGTTAACCGCAGCTGGTTCTTCATCGATGGGTGAAGAGAAGGGCAGATGCGCCCCTACCTCTATTGGTATAGAGGGTAGAGATCCTGGCGAGCAAGAAGTCTTACAAGTCAAGCTAGACGACTGGACCAAAACTAGAGCAGCAGGACGAGCAGACCAAATAAGGAAGGGTAACCCCAAACATAAATTACCCTACCTTGGCATTCAACCTTTGAGGCGCAATAACTTTGCAGCCGATGCCCGGAAAATATGCTTTACCACGTCAGAAAGGATCCTGGCGATGCTCCGGTCCATTTGGGGTGGTTGAATGAACGCATTGCGGAGTTGAGGAAACACTGCAAAATAAACACGTTTTAGACCCCCAAAAATAACCCCCGGAGCGTCGAACCGCCGGAACCCTCCTGTTTCAGCCCGGTGCATCTTTGGGGGGGGGTAAGAGTGCGACCCAAACTACCAAAGCAAACCTTTGCTTTAAAAACACCCAAATCTATTCTAAATACTCTGAATAAGCAATTGCTGTCTGGTCGGCTGTTTCCTCTAGTTCCTAGGATCCCGACCCTTTCTTGGCAAGGATTGCGAGATTTGACTCGGACGAAAATTCGTCCGCGGTGTGGTAGCAACTCTTCTCCTCCCCCTGATAGAAAATAGTTGGTGCCCCCAGATTATTTGAAAGGCGGACGGCCAGTGAAAAAAGGAAAGAGGTAATGAAGGAAGGGGCGCCGAACTTCCATAAAGGAACTCGGTTGCCCCAGCTTGGCTTCGGGGGGATCAGCGAGTCTTTACCAGCGAGGAGCCCCCTTAAAGTTATTAAGTTTCTAGACTACAAATAACGATAAAACAAATGAAACTCTATCTTTCCATCGAACGAGCCGAAAGGATAGCTTGTCGAATTCCTTTCTGCCTATCTACCTGATCGAAGTCACGGTCGCGCCCTTTCAAGGCACCCCCGTTACAGTATAACTTTAAGCTCCTCGCTTAAAGAACCCCACGAGAAAGAAAAAAACCTACCTGAACACCTAGGACCACTTTCAAGGCTGAAATAACCGAGCAGTTAGCTTTTTTTTTCAGCTCAGGCTGGCATGGGAGAGGCTAACACTTTACTATGGTCTCCACTGTATCCGTCAGAGGGTTATAGCGCCCACATTCGCTCAAAGGGTTATAGCGCCCACATTCGCTCAAAGGGTTATAGCGCCCAGCTTCGCTCGGAAAGGAGACCACATTCAGGATCGCTCCTAGAAAATCCTGATAGTCCCATTGACCAACGGCCCCCATTCCCCATCTGGGCCCCAGTCCCAACCAAAGTCAACGTTACTTCGTCCACGATGACGGCAGGAAGAGTCCGGAAGAGGGGGATAACTGGCTTTCTTCTGGCGCCACCATGCCTCGTAATATGCTTGGAGAGCCAGTCTTTGTCTCTCCCTTGCCTCTTCTTGGACCACTCGCTGCCGCATCCACTCAGCTCCCCTTCCATCTCGCGCAATCTCATCCCGCATCCACCGCACCTGTTCCCGTTTCTCCATCAGTGCCGCACGGACACGAGCCTGACCAACACTTCTGTCCCCTGGTTGGGAGAAGGGATAAGGACGACGGTAATCCTCCCGAGTCAGAAATGGGACCTGGTTGAAATGGCCATCGAAGGTCGAGGTCTCCAAACTCCGAGGAACAGCATGCCTGTGGAAGCATTAGCGGTAGTAAGAAGAGGTTACACAACTCGCTGGATCATGCCTACCTCATAGCACTCCGTGATCGGACGGCTTTACGAGCAACTCTCCGAGCGTGGATGGTGTTACCACCATCCAGCTCCAGGAGATCAGTAACAACCGCACCAGTTGAGGATCTAAGCCTTGTCCCCCGCCGAGATCGACTAGCGTTAGATAAAAACGCTTGTACAATAGACGAATTGATCGCAATGAACAAAGAGAGGAATAGAATAAAGAAAAACATTATTGCTGAAAGGAGGTGATAAATTTGGTGTTGGGTGTGGAAAGATCGAACTCCCTGGAGTGTAGAATGAATAGAAGGAAAAGAATTCTTACCCTCCTTAGTTCGACGGATACCCCGCTTTTATAAGCGAACTCCTATTCCAGTTCCGAGAATCAGCGTGGTTAGCCGAAGCAGGAGTTCGGTCCGGCTTTAACCGAACCCGGCACTAACCGTGGAAGGAGACAAGGACACCGAGTTTACCTGGTCTGAGGGATAGGAGCATGCGTTCGAAGTCCTGAAAGAGGCCTTCCATCCGCCCCCGTACTAGCCCACTTTGATGCCGAGCTAGCTACCAAGATTGAGACCGATGCCTCCAACTTCGCTAAATCTAGCATACCGTCCCAATTCCACCGAGATGACAACAAGTGGTATCCAGGAGTCTTTTACTCCAAAATGATGTCACAAGCCGAACGGGATTATGACGTTCACGACAAGGAGTTAGGTGCCATTGTGTCATGCTTCAACGAGCGAAGTCTCCCAGGAGAAACCTCCAGCCGGAGGGAAACCTCCAGCCGGAGGGAAACCTCCAGCCGGAGAGAAACCCCCGGTGGAAAAAAAAAAAAAAAAAGAAAAAAAAAAAAAAAAAAAAAAAAAAAAAAAAAAAAAAAACCAGAACCCAGAACCAGCGGGTAATGGTGGACAAAATGGAATAGTCCCCCCGGTTGGTGGCGATCCCAACCCGGGAGGGGACTCAGATAGTTCAGATTCAGAGCCTGAGTATGGAGATAGGAGAGGATGGCGGAGATACCTCAGGAAGATGCTGGAGAAGCAGCAGACAGAGCTCCTGGCCTCCATGACACAGTTCATGAGACCTCCGGCCCCCTCACACCCCTCCGCTGCCTCCAGGGCCCGAGAACCAAAGGCACACCCTCAGGCCAAGTTCAATGGCAAAGCAAACAATGTGGAGACCTTCATCAGGCAATGTGAGAATGTCTTCTCCATTGAAAGCCAGTTCTTTACCTACGAAGAGGTTAGGATCCGATATGCTGGTAACCTGATGGAAGGAGAAGCCCCAGCCAACTGGTATGAGGCTTACCACAGCTCCATTGACCAAGCTTCTGCCAACCGGATAGCTGGGATGTCTGTGGTGTTAGATGAGAAATGGAAGTGCTGGGATTCCTTTGTGGATGCTCTCAGAGCAGCCTTTGGCGAAGCTATCTCTAGGGATGATGCGGCAGCCCAATGGAAGGCCCTTACCCTCACAGCCAAGGGTCAGTTAGTGGATGATAAGATCCTCAGTTCCCATATTTCCGAACCTAGGCATGAGTTGGGCTCGCTTTACCTCCGTTACACCTCTGGGTTTCCTCCAGCCTGGGTTCGCCAAGGGGTTGTCCCCGGAATCCCATAGAGGTACACCACCCCCGGAGTCACCTTCTGCGTTCCTACAAAGATACGGTCACGGTCGTCACCAAACCAGACATCTTGTCGCGGCGTTGGGACCACGCCCTTAAAGAGGGGGGTAAGGCTCATCAAGACCCTGAAATTCTTGTTTAAGCCAGGACAACTTATAATGGGTTCTGTCCAACACCCGATCGTTATGATCAACTCAGCATGTGCAAGATCAGCCCAAATCTGCAAACTCACACCGGTGCTCCTGGATGAAATCTGGGCTCAAGCAGCCTTAGATCCAGAGTACCTTTCTTTGAAAAAAGCCATTGAGAACACCTCTGGGAATCTGGTGAACCGATACCTGACTTTAAAGGACGGACACGTCTTCTATAAGGAAAGGTGGTACATTCCAAATCATCGGGAACTGAAGCTCAAGATCCTGAGCGCCCTACATGATTCGAAGACTGCTGGTCACTTTGGACAATTCAAAACGGCAGAACGCCTTCGGGCACTGTCCTTTGCCAAAAGATGGACAACGATGTGGAAGAATACGTTCAGAGTTGCGATACATGTCAACGCGCTAAAGCCTCAAACACACAAGAAGAAAGGGATGTTGCAACCTTTAGAGGTCCTCTCTATTCCTTGGAGTTCCATTTCAATGGACTTTATCACCAAAGCAACCATCGAAGAACTTGCTCAAATCTTCCTCCGGGAGATATGGCGACTGCATGGACTTCCTGAGGAGATTATCTCCGATCAGGACTCTAGATTCGAAACATATCGCCCTCAAACTGACGGGCAAACTGAGAGAGTCAACCAAACGCTAGAACAGTATCTCAAAAAACTATTGCTTCTGTCAGCGGGACGATTGGGCAGAGTTACTCCCGCTTGCCAAGTACGCCTACAACACGGCCACCCAAGAGTCAACCAAAGCATCGCCATTCTACGCGAACTATAGGTTTCAACCAGATTCCACTTGGCCCTCACTTAAACGGAAACTAGACAACTTCGACGCGTCCAGCGCGGCACAAGCACAGCAGAAAAAATGGTATGATCAGAAACAGATGAGTGCTCCAGAACTGAAGGTTAGGGACGAGGTGATGCTGGACCGATGCAACATCTTAACCAAGTGACCCTCAAATAAGCTAGACCACAAAAAAAAAAAAAAAAAAAAAAAAATGGGTCCCTTTGAGGTTGTCGGGAAACTTGGCGTCGCGTCCTACAGGCTGAATCTACCCACTCAGTGGAACATTCATGATATCTTCCATATATCTCTGCTGGACCCTCAACGAGCTATACTGCTTCCACCTCCGGATGAGGTTCAAGGGGAAGGCAGTTACGTTCTCAAGAAAATAGCCGATAGCCAATGACAGCAGGCTGGTCGTGGGAAGAAGTTCGTGCAATATCGGATTACCTGGGAGGGTTATCTCTCAGAAGACTCTTGGGAACCGTACAAATTGTTGTAAGGAATGGCAGACGAGCCACTCCGAGAGTTCCATGCGAAGTATCCCCGAAAATCATGGGACGCATGGTAATACAGGAAAGTGCGGGAAACCGAGACGACGGAGTGTTCTGGGATAAGCGTGGAGAAAACGAGTCTCCCCTTGTTAGGTCACACGTTTCACTTGAGGTTTCCTTTGTCAATAGAAATGGATGCAAAAAATAGAGTGTAACGGAGCCATTTCAACTGTCTGGTGTATGAGTACACACAGGGCCCGGTTACATGCTGAGAGTTATTGATAGAAGCCAGTTGCACAGTGACATGCAAGTACCGGCAGTGTGGTTAGCTACCAGCTGTCAGAGTAACTACATTCTGAGCGCTAGGAAGAGGATCTATTCATGGGAGCAATGATTGACGAATCTATGCCTCGCCAATGATTAGAAGGCCAGCCAGAGTGAAGCTCTGAGTGCTCGGCGATCCTCTACATCCTCTGAGCATGATAAGTCCGCCGGTAGTGGCAGGGACTATGCCTGGGAAAGTCTACAATAAGTGAAGAGCTCTACAGCAATGATTAAGCTTACGCCTGAGCGGTAGCTCATTCATGCAGGTCCCGGTTGTGCGACAATCAAGACTGCAGGTGTTACAAAGGCTTTGACTAAGGGTGGTTGCCTTCGGAACCGGAAGCACCCGCTAACGCTTAGAGAGAAGCGGGGTAGCGGTGGTATTGCTTCCCTTCCGCTAGAAGGGATCACCAGAACTTAGTAAGGGAGTAGGAGCAGGGAATGGAATCCTTTGGAGTATAAGTACTCAGGATCCTTCCCGCCCAACTATCCGATTTCCTGATTTCTATCTTGCACGGCCAAATCCTTTCTCTCGGATTCTAGCGATACGAGGAAAGGCTGTCCCCGTTACATTGAGTTTGTATGGAATGATTATTAGAGCTACATTTTCTTGTATGCTCATAACGTACCATACCAAAAACCCTAGGTTAGACTCGGGACGAGTCTACCGGAGGGAGGAGTAGTGTAACAGGGCCACAGTAGGGCTGTTACAAAAATACCTGTTCTACCAGTCAAGCCATACGGCCCTAGGTTAACCGCAGCTGGTTCTTCATCGATGGGTGAAGAGAAGGGCAGATGCGCCCTACCTCTATTGGTATAGAGGGTAGAGATCCTGGCGAGCAAGAAGTCTTACAAGTCAAGCTAGACGACTGGACCAAAACTAGAGCAGCAGGACGAGCAGACCAAATAAGGAAGGGTAACCCCAAACATAAATTACCCTACCTTGGCATTCAACCTTTGAGGCGCAATAACTTTGCAGCCGATGCCCGGAAAATATGCTTTACCACGTCAGAAAGGATCCTGGCGATGCTCCGGTCCATTTGGGGTGGTTGAATGAACGCATTGCGGAGTTGAGGAAACACTGCAAAATAAACACGTTTTAGCCCCCCAAAAATAACCCCCGGAGCGTCGAACCGCCGGAACCCTCCTGTTTCAGCCCGGTGCATCTTTGGGGGGGGGTAAGAGTGCGACCCAAACTACCAAAGCAAACCTTTGCTTTAAAAACACCCAAATCTATTCTAAATACTCTGAATAAGCAATTGCTGTCTGGTCGGCTGTTTCCTCTAGTTCCTAGGATCCCGACCCTTTCTTGGCAAGGATTGCGAGATTTGACTCGGACGAAAATTCGTCCGCGGTGTGGTAGCAACTCTTCTCCTCCCCCCTGATAGAAAATAGGTGGTGCCCCCAGATTATTTGAAAGGCGGACGGCCAGTGAAAAAAGGAAAGAGGTAATGAAGGAAGGGGCGCCGAACTTCCATAAAGGAACTCGGTTGCCCCAGCTTGGCTTCGGGGGGATCAGCGAGTCTTTACCAGCGAGGAGCCCCCTTAAAGTTATTAAGTTTCTAGACTACAAATAACGATAAAACAAATGAAACTCTATCTTTCCATCGAACGAGCCGAAAGGATAGCTTGTCGAATTCCTTTCTGCCTATCTACCTGATCGAAGTCACGGTCGCGCCCTTTCAAGGCACCCCCGTTACAGAGCCTGACTTCATGTAGGAGGGTTGTTGCAGCGTCGGCTGTGGACAGTCCTTTGATTGAACCGCATTGGTGAGGGTGTATTAGGCGGGATGAGGAGGCGAAGGTGTGGAGGCGATACGTCATTATCCGTTCGAGGATTTTTGAAACTGTTTCGAGGAGGACTATGATCCGGTAGGCGGCAGGGGAGTTATAGTCCGGCTTGTTGGGTTTGGGGAGGATGACTCCGAGGGCACTCTTAAGCGCTATCGGGTGGTATCCGCTTCTGAGGAAGGGGGTGAGAAGTTGAGGGATGAGGGACGGGTTTCCTTGGTGGATTCGTTTCCAGGCTAGGGGAGGAAAAGTGTCCGTTCCTGGTACTGAGTTGTTTGAGGAGGCGGCTAGTGCTTTGGCTACTTCGTCGGCTGTTACTTCTGGGGTATCAGGGAAGAAGCCCGGCTGGGGAGCTGGGGTGGGGTTTGGTTGGGGGGGGAAGAAGTGTGATATGAGGGCTTGGTTAACCTCGGCTGGGGAGGAGGCATTTGGGAATTTGGGGAGCTTAGTCTCCTTGTTCCGGGTCGCGGTTTTCCTGAGGGCCCATACCTGTTGTGAGTCGGCTTGGGCTATAAAGTCGTTCCAGTGTCTTTTTTTGGCTTCCTGGATGGCGGAGAAGTATGCGTTGCGGGCGGCTTTATATTCGAAAGGGGGTGATAGACCTTTCCTGTATGCTCTGGTGACGGAGTTGAAGATCCGTCTGAGTGTTGAGAGGTATGGGGACCACCATGCCTTTGACCACGAAGACGGCCTTTTGGACGGGGTGGCAGCGAGGACTGGTTCGGTGATGGCGGCTAGGGCGCTTCCGAACCAGTGGTCGATGGGGTATGAGATTGGGGGGAGGGAGGTTTTCCGGAGTGATTCCTGGATTGCGGGCCAGGGGGCCTTTTTCCAGTCGGGGGTGTGTGTGGGGGGGGAGGTCATGCTGGGGGAGAGAGTGAACAGTAGTTTAATTGGTGTGTGGTCGGAGCCTGCGTTGGGAAGTTTGTTGGACCATGAGTGGAAGAGGTTGAGGGCAGGGGGGTTTGCGAAGGCTAGGTCAATGACCCCGTGTCTTTGGAGAGGGTTGGGAGAGATTCGGGTGACCCTGCCGGGGATGTTGAGCAGGGAGTAGCCGTTAGCTGCGGCTGTGGAGAAGTAGGGGGAGGAGAGTGACTCCTCTCTTCTGTTTATGGTGCGATGAGGGTCGGTGCGGATGTTGTGTATGTTGAGGTCACCGCAGATGATGGAGGGGTTTCTAGTGTTGCGGAATATCGTCTCCGGGATGATTGATCTTCTGCTGGGTGAGATGTGTCGGTTATAGGCGTTCACTATTTCAAGTTGTGCAGGGAGGAGGGGGGTGTCGGGGTTTCTCCAGTAGATGGCTATGCCAAAGACGTCGCCTCTATCGAAGTTGATGGGGAAGTAGGAGGTGTGCTGCAGGAAGTCGAGGTGTATGTAGAAGGCGACTGATACGGGTTCGTTTTCTGCTGTTGGGGGGTAGACGCATTCATATCCTGGTGCGTTAAGGGGTTGGTTGAGGAGAGTGAAGGGTTCTTGTATTGCGACAATTTGGGGGGGGCGTTGTTTAGAGAAGGAAGAGAAGAGTAAAAGAAAGACTGCGTTGCTTCTTGCGCAGTTCAATTGGATTATTGTAAAGAGATTGCTGGAAGGATCTCCGCTGGATATGTCTGACCGATGGGTGATTGAGGGGGGGGGGAGGAGGGGAGGGAGGAGGATCGTGCTGGCATTACTGTGACATGGTTAAGTCCTCTTCCGCAGGCTCTTCTTGTTGAGGTTCGGGTACTGATGTGGACTGGGGGGTGGCGGGTTGGAGATGGGTGGCCGGTGGGGGGCTGTCTGGGGAGGTTTGGGGGCCGGGAGCGGAGCCCTGGGGGGCAGGCGATGTGCGGGTACGCCTGGCGGGGCACTCTCTGAATGAGGCGATGTGGTTGCCAGAGCAGTTGATGCATTTGGCTTTCCAGGTGGCGCAGCAATCAATGACCGGTTTGAGGTGGCCGTTGTTGGGGCAGGTTAGTCGGTACGCCCTTTTATGTACTCTACTATACCGTTTCTCGATCCAGTAATGACAGGTACGGATATGGAAATTTGCCCTTTGCAAAAATGAAGTAAAGATGTTAGTAAACCGTATTACAGTCCAGTGCCTCCGATCCGCATCGGACAACCACAGACTATCACTCGGCAGCGCCAAAACAACACGTAGTTAGAACGCCACTAGAATAGTTAGCGATTGCCCCCAATATTTTAATCCCAGATCGTACGCGATTGTCTCTGTTGTCAGTTTGAAAAAAAAAAGATCGAAAAGGCTAACGCATCAACGACATAACTCATGCATTTCGGTCTCAGTTCTAGATGAAATCTCCTTCATGCATAAAACTCCGCAAACGATGTCCAGGGCAGCAGAAATTTATGCCACTGTCGGTCAGCAAAGCCTAGCTAGTAGGACCAGGTAGGGTTCATCCAGGAAGTGGTCGTGTGCGTGCAACTCTCACAGCTCTTGATAGGTCAGGACGGGAGAGCTCAGGGCGTACTAGCAAAGAGGTTCCGGAAGGTCGTTAGACTGGATTGCTCTACTCGTTTACCACGAAAAGAACAAGAAAATGCAAGTGACTGAAACATGGATAGCTTGTATGAGAGATCACCGCTACTCCATACAAATAATCCTTGCCCTGAGCAACTGCATTTTCTGGTTCCTATCGTGGTAAACGAGTACTTTACTAGCCATCACGTGTCGATAACTTTAACTCAACAGTCGGTGGTGCTGTGGCTTTTGCCACTTTTTGTCTTAACACTGCCACAGTGAGTCTAGCGTTCTCCACAATAGTAACCGTGAGGCTCTGGAAGGGGCCCGCCGTTGAGGGAGAAGCTCTTCTCTTCTGTTTGGCCGTTCATCCTCTTTTTTTCTCTGCTGGGGTGATGAACCCGCGCCCCAAAGAAAAGAAAAACGGAAATGCAGGCGAATCAGAGCTCGCCCTGCACCTCGCCCAGCATCACCCCACCCCACACAACCGGAATCTCCGACAAGAGTGATTCCCCATGACGCACCACACGCGCCGCCGTGTCACTAGCGATTATCGGTTGGTCGCCGAGTCTGCGGGGTGGAAATGATTGATGATAAAACTTGGCATGGCCCATAGGTAGCATGGCTAAGGGTACCGTTCCCGGCCGGGGGAGACGGCTTTGGAACCGGCCGAGTTTCACCCAACTGTCTTGTCGGACAGGAAGAGTTTCCATTACTAAACGTGAGAGATGCGAAGAGTTCCTTGGAAAAGCTTATCGGATGCTTCCCGCTATATCTCGTAGTACGAGTAGGTATTGGCAAACCCATCCGTTTCTTAGTGTGTATGTAGATCCATTTTTGATGAGTGAAGAGAAGAGAAGAGTAGAGAAGAGAAGAGGAAGAGGAAGAGTACACGCGAGCAAACGATAATGAGATGAGGCTCCGCGTGAGGGAAAAAAAGGTGTTTCTAGGAAATTACTGAAATGACTGTAAGCTTCTATTCTTGGCACGTACGGGCAAGCAGCCTAAACATTTGATTTGGGGCCATGTGCTGGCTGGCCTACATGTAGTTACCCAAAGTACCATGATGCAGGTTCGAGGCCTAGCTGCCCGGCTGACGATCGGGACGACGCGTACGGAGTATGTCCCAGGAACCTTTGTGCCTCTCTACTCGGACGTACCCGGACGTACTCGGACTGCGGGATGGATTCGTCATGGATAGACTTGTTAATGATGTTTTAGACTTGCCGATCTTGTTAACTTTGAGCCAAGATGATAATAATTTGTATTTAGCAACGCCAGTGCCGGCGATCCGAAGATGATGATAAAAGATAAAATATACAGCAGAGAACAAAGGAAAACTGTGAAGTCCAGTAGTAGTAGTAGCGGTAGCAGTAGCAGTACTGTACCAATGCAAATATCCCCCAAGCATGAAGCTCTGACAAAAGAAAAGCGACAATAAGAAAAAGAAAGACCCACAAAAACTCCCAGCCCCGTTCCCATCCGTACAACAATAAATATACACTTTATACAACCCTTTCCTCAAGAACAGGGTATCTCGAACCACCCTCCAAACTCCAGTAAAAGCAATAATAATCAAAAAATAGTAACAAGGCTGAAATAAGTCTCCACCCCTCCTCTTCCCCCTCATAGTAGCGTTAGGCTCTAGCAGTCAATCCAACTTCTCACTGTTCCACTTCTCATATTCCGGCCCAGACAGCACACAAGATGCACAAAGCAGCCAGCAGCAAAATCCCAGCGCATTCTTAGCCCCTTTTAGAAACTTCTTGGAAACATTCTTCTTCTGCTTTCGTACCGACTTCTCGTTGTGTGTATAGTAGGTTCCCGTACACGGATTCTCGGCGAATCGTGCCTTCTTCTGCTGTAGAGGCGCCGATGAGGAATGAAGCCCCATATGCTCGTGAGCAGAGGATCGTGTGGAGGTGTTTACGGTGACGGTAAGAGACGAATCGTATGATTTGGTAGTAGATAGTGATTCGAGAGATGAGGCTCTGCCTCGACGAGTTCGTGTGGTAGTAGTAGCAGTCATTGTGGATTTGGGGTCGAGATTAACAAGGTTTATTATGTAGTTTCTCTATCTTCCAGATCGATTTGTAGGGCCTATATCGATAGAAAGGCTGCTTGATGAGGGGTACCTAGTTATATAGGTAGTTGGGTGTTGTAGTAGTAGGAAGGTTGCTAGATAAAGTGGTCACTCAAGGACCGATCGATCGATATAGTAGTAGTGGTGGTACTAGTAGCTGTCGTGGTAGTAGTAGTAATGATGGTAGTAATAGTTTAGTGCCTCTGATAACCTCGAATGACATTGAAAAAAAAACCAAAAGTAAGCAAGAAGAGTCTTGAGGGAACTCTGGACAGTTAAATAGAATGGACTGAGCCGAGAATCCACAGAACCACATTGCTGAAGGAAGCGCACAGGGGTCTGCCTGCAGCAGTAAGTGTTTCCCCGTCCGCGCCTCCCCCCAATAGGACGGGATAGTCGCGTGCTCGCCAGCGGCCAGCCCTCCATTGCTTGCTCACTCACACACCCTCACTCATTCACTCACACTCATACGGGTGACTTTCATTTCCCCACAGCCCGCCTAGCCTGCTGAAAAAAAAAGATGGGTCATCATGAGAGCTCTGGAATCAGTGCGGAATACCTCTTGCTTCTCTTTTCTTGCCTGCCTGCCTTGCAGATTGTGGGGGTGTCACAAGAGTGGGTGTCATCAGGGGTTCAGTCACTCCGAGTCTCTACCCATTAAGGTACCTACATACGAAACCCACGCAGCGACTTGAGGATTTGAATATCCTTTCAGTTAAAAAGGTTTTACTTGCACTTAATCTTTTCTCCACTACTACCACTACACGGACTCCATAACCGAGGCGGGGGGCCTCTAGGTTCCTGTTCCTAATGGGGAGATATCCGGGCTGATCGATTGCTTGCGTTGCGGATTTTATGTGCACGGGTGTATCTACTCTTAGTGTGGGACATCATATAATGACGCATCCGTCCGTCTCAAACAAAACTTCCCACGTTACAGCAGAGCTGAGCAGTTACAGAACAGCTTCAACCCTAGGGATTGACTGAGATGGGGAGCAAAAGAACCTCAAATGCCTACCGACTACTACCTACATATGTGTGGTTTTACCCTTCATTCCCTTCCCTATCATAAAAGCCTCACGATAGGGTTGTCTGTCCGTACATACAGCAGAGCACTGTAATCACGGGTCAATTAATTCGATGTTATGGGGATGGGAGAGGATCCCTGGTTGAAACCTGCTACCTATCACCGCAACAACTCATCGCAAGTTTAGGATCAATCCTTTTGCAACTGGCTGATCCCTGAAAAAAGGAAGGAAAAAAAAACTCGTTCCAAGTAGCAGCAGTACCAAGGCGCCTAAGTTGAATGCTAGAGAGCAAGGCCACAACAACTACAACAACATACAATCATTTCTGTGAGGGGCAGCTGGCAAGACGAGACCAAGAAACCCCCAACGCCCGCGGAGACCGCGTCAATTTACCCCGTCTTGGCGGTGGATAGTAGGAATGTGGTGGTTCTCAAATACCAATGATCTCCCTCCCTCCATTCTCGCCAGTTTTCCCTCTCTTTTTCCTTCCTTGTCCTTTATGCAATGCATGATTTAACGGATTTTCCCCCAGGCCGGGCGGATCGATTCGCAATTTAAAAATGAGGTGGTCGATGTTGTTCGATTTTGGTGGGAGGGTGGTGAACCTCTGGCTGGGCCAGTTGGCAAAGCTTGTCCAATGTCCTTAGACATTGTCTGATGCTGCTTGCGGCTCCGGGCAGTCATGCCCGCTATGTCCACCACTCCCTCTGTGGGCCAAAGGAAGTGCCTGCCAAGATCTGGTCCGATCACAGCGCATCCAAAATACCTCACCCATGGGTCGACTGCCAATTTCGAGGTTGAAAGCTTTTTTACTTTTTCAATGCTGAGTGAAAGTAATATGGGGCCCTTATGTATACAGTACCACCCCCCCCCCCCCTCTCAACAGTTTGTACGAGGTCGGGGGAGAACAATTTGTTTTTTTATTTTACCCCTCATCCGGACTTCTCGCGAGACAAGGCGAGAGCTACGCCGCCGGCGCCGGTTACTCGTCTCGACTATTCTAGCTCTCCATTGTCACGGTTAATCTGCCTATTGTACCACGACCTTAGCACAGCCTTGGCGGCCTATCCAATGACAGCTGCAGGCACACAATCAAGAAGGCATTTGACAGCTCGCAGGAAAATGAGTTTATTCGTACCGCCACGAGAAAAGGAATACATATCTAGAGAGGAGGGGAGGGGAGGGGGGTTATCTTGCCTACCAGCAATAATATCAAGGTTCCCAATCGTATATCTCGTTCGTGCGACATTGAGTACTGGAGTGCGAGATACACACGCAGCAGCGGCGGCGCAGCATAGAGTTTGTTTCTTTTTTGCCCTGCGAGATAAACACAAAAACAAAGATCTGAGAGGGAAAAAAAAGTACTGTGCGGTAATCCAACCTTGATCTAACTACATCTCAACTCTAGCCTCCACATAGCTACTTTGCTGCCCTCCATTCGCCCCCTCGTGTTCCCTCGTGCCCCTCTCCTCCGCACAACTACCACTTCGCCATCTAAACCCCCAGCCCAGTCTCCAATCCGCCCACATGGGCGCAGGGCCCTACTCTAACTAAAGTAAAGCCGAAGCTCGCTTCGGCGCCCGGCCGCATCCGGCCCCCTTCTGGAAACCCGATTTTTTGTTCACATGGGATGGTCCCTTGTGTTTGATTGATTGATGCTCGACTTTTGCAAGCGGATTTGGCCAAAAAGGCCTTGGTTGGAGGAATGATCCAGAACACACACGCAGCAAAGTGATTGCCGGCATGGATTTGCTGCACGGAAGCTTCCTTTCTTGCTTCTTTGCGCAATCGCTTTGAGTAGGTACGGTAGGTAGGTAGAGTGCTAGATAGAGATAGAGTGGAGAAGGGATCTACCGTGCTTAAGCTCGTTGGTGAGTGTTATCAGAAGCAGCAGGTTCTACATATATATCACATTGTGAGTAGATTGGATTGGCTGCTCCCCAACCCAACCCAGGCAGATCCGTACATATGTTGCACATACAGTGCATGATACAGAGGACAACCCACTTTGCAGTATCAGATGTGGTGGTGGTGGTTGTGGTGGTGGTGGTTGTGGTGGTGGTGGTTGTGGTGGTGGTGGTTGTGGTGGTGGTGGTTGTGGTGGTGGTGGTGGTGGTGGTGGGGTGGGTAAAAAAAACGGTTGTGGATAACTACACACCGCAGGCATGCCCATCATTACCTCGCAGCTCAACAACAACGTCTATCATATCAAGAAAGCAGTTGAGAGGATCTACGGCGCCTTATTGCCCCCCTCGGGGACTTTTACTACTTGCTATATACCGGCTAGCACACTACACCTACGTATGTTTCCTGCCTGCTTGGCTGGATGTAAGGCAAGTTAAGTAGAGTAGAGTAACTACTGAGCTAGAGCATACACATAAACGATGAACGTAAGTAAGGCATTCACACAGAGCTTCACGCGTAGAGCTCCTAGCTAGCTTAATTGGGGGGACTATCATTATCATTGGACGTCGGCCTAGCCAACCAGTCAGTGGCGAAATCACCGATGGTGATGGTTGCGGCCGATGGATAGAGTCCCTTTTGTTTCCCCAACCCCATGGCTATGGGGAATCTCGTGTTTGTGTTGTAAGATTGATGACCAACATATATGTACTTACCGTGGCCGGTTGGGGAGCGGAGGCCCGGGATCGAGGCGAATGAGAGGGTGTTTATTTCTTTCTTTCACGTAACAAAGACGAGGGGGTGGTACATACGGTGAAGGTTGAACATCGAGTGAAGAGAAATTAATAGTGGGAAACAATATAATAGAGAAAGAAAAAACAAAAATAGAAAGAAAAAACTGCATGCGCTACTTTAAATAACGCCATCCATCGCTCACGGACCACATGTGGGTGAGAAACACTGAGAGTGAGAATCTGTGAACCAGTAGGGTAGCTACTCGTAGGTGACATGACCCCATTCCATTGCAACTGCTCGTCGGCCCACCCAATCAGTGGGCTGCGTTTGGTCGAGACATCGCGGGACGTTCATCATCATCGATCGATTGATCCCGATTTGCATGCCTTTGTTCCCTCTTCTTCCCTTATTCCCTTATTCCCTTTCCCTTTCTTTACTTCTCGCCTTCTTTTGCTGCTCGCTTTCTTTTGCTCGCTTTTCTATTCATTGTTCGATGGTTCGCTTCCCCGTAAAGCACGCCTGACCTTCGCTCTCGCGCACACCGTCATGTCATTCGCCTACGTCACGGTGACATCGACAGACATTCCAGTGAGGTACACGGACCTCCACGGTACGTGATTAGTTAGTGCGCATGGACCATCCATCGCGTCGGTGTTTCGGCGTCGGTGTCGCCCGGCGGTGATCTTAGCGTTGCGAGTACTCTAGAGTACATGCCCGCACGGACGTGAGATGGCGTGTCTCAGCCCCTACGTCTGTGGGTCACGCATAAAGTGCAGGCAGGCTCTAGGCGGGCGTGACTATCTGTTAATCTTGTGCGAAGGGGCTGTGGGAGGTGGAAGGTATCGTGACCGTAATTCTAGATATCAACGGTTTCGGCTGTGTGGTGTAGTAGGTACAACCGTTGAGAAGATCGAGACGGGGGCTGTGAGACAGACTAGAGGACGGGAGGTAATCTACCTAGGGCCCGGTGGACTGGGTGAGTTATAGGTGAGATGGATTAATCACCGGCGGTCTCGGAGCTAGTAGTGCGGAAAGGGACGGAGACTGGCGGCGGAGATGTGGTAATCTCCGTTGGTGGTGTTGGTCGGTTTCGGGTTTGGGATTTGCATTTGGAGGAGTGACTGAGGGAGGGTACGGGTTGCTGACTGATATGTTGTATGTATACGTATGAAGGACAACAATGGCAGTCCGGTCAAGTCGGAGGAGCGGGTACGTGGTCCGTTTAGGTAGTGATATGATACTTGTCTTTATTGTGGGCTATTTAAATCGTTAACTGGACTCCGTCCTTTGTAATAAATCATGTCTTACCGGTTTATCTGGTTCGCCATTGTTGATTTTCAATTGGCCAATACAAAAGAGGCCTAGGAGATTATTAACTGGAGATAGAGTACATATTCGGATCTGCTTTCCACGTGCAAGCTAAATGGTATGTTCCACCGCCGCTTCCAGTTCCACCTACAGGCATATTGAGTACTAGACTGTCTACATGTAGCTAGGAGTAGTGCTACTATCCAGAAGCAGCTGCAGTACTACGATATCTAAACTAAGAAGTACTACTTCAGCTAGATCTTCATATCGTACATGTACAACTCAACGTTAACGGCAAATGGCGAATACCGGGCCGGACTGTAAGACAGTCTGCCAGCAACATATGAGTGAGACAAGCAGATTCAGAAACATTTGAATTTCCAGCCAACTAGTTCTCTTCGGGATCGATCTTCAGCTAGGACTATAGCTAACTGACTAGCGAGAAAAAAAATTGAGCTGTCACGTCTTCGGGATCTTCAGCTGGCACTGACTTACATGTAGCTAGCTGACCATGGATTTCTGCTGGTGGAAGTGCGGGTTTACCTACTCTATAGATCTACTCACTCGTGGCCAGAGTGGATCCGGATGTGGTGCTTATACTACATGTAGTATCTACTGCCAACACGACGGATCTGGGAACAGATCAGAGGGGTAGAGATGATCTTGAAAATTTGTCTATTGCTGCTGCTGTTGGTGGTGATGAGCACTGAGGGTAATTACTACGTATACTGCATCTACGTACTCCTACCAACTGCCTTTCGAATTCACCATCAATTGACGCACAGCTAGAAATAAACATCAATAACTCTCCAAACACTGAAACGTCCCTTCTCCCCCGAGCCCCTGCGTTAAAGCTCATCCATAGCCAAATGCATCCAGCGCATTACTCATCCAGCCACGGCGCCAGTCAGGCCGAGTGACATCCCATGACCCTATAACCTAACTTACCCAACCTAGCCTACATGCTGTACCCTCAACTCGACTTACGTGTCCCCATTACAGTTAATCTTCACTCACCTGGCTACAGTGCACTTTTTTTCTTTTTCTCTTTTTCCTGCGCATTCCCGTCGTTACTCATACTTGGAATCCAGTGCTGCATACCACGGAAGACCGGCACCAGAGGTACAGTACCACTCTCTCTGCCTGCGGCTTACGATAGGCCGATGTGGGGGGGAGGGGAATACGGTGGTTGAGTAAACACCGGAGCGAGGAGCAGGGAAATGCTTATTTTTTTATTTACTTTTTTTTATTTTTATGTGGCCTTGTCTTGTGTGGTGTTCCTTTTTTTTTTTATGTGTGTGGCCTTGTTTTTTTTTGAGAGGAAGAGGAATAGCCTAAATTAGACCTGGGCAGGCGACATGGTGCTCTAATAGAGTGCCTACCTAGACTATGATAGAGTCGAGAAGAAGCCTATGGCCATACCGCGCGTCCACACACGCCCGGATCATTGGCGTAGAGCGGGAGTGGGAGCGCGATGAGAGCTTGTTTGGGCGTTTCGGGAGTGGGAGGAGCCGGTGTATATAGGCATGGAAGCATGTAGGAGGAGCTCGTATATAGGCGGGGATTGTAACATGGAGTATATAGTATGATCATGATTATGATCTCTGGATATGCTTAGATAAAGTGCGTACCTAGTAGGTAGGTAGGTAGGTAGGTAGGTAGGTAGGTAGGTAGGTGGGCGTCATGTCATGGACCTACATCATAGAGCACGGTAGGTATATACATGTAGGTACATACAGAACCGATCCAGCCCAGCGGAGAGCTCCTCACAAGGATACCCCCTCCCCTCCCCCTCCCTCCCTTCCTCACAAGGGGCGCCGCAATCAATCGACATTACCATCATCATCGTGACCCGCAAAACAAAAAAAGACAAACAAAAAACTAAACAAAACAAAAACAGAAAACTGCCGTAGTCCAGACCCCTAGACCCCTAGTCCCTAGACCCCCCACCCAGACCCACCCAGACCCACCCAGACCACCCTAGATCAAAGCTTCGCACCCGCAGCTTTGGGCGCAACGTATGCGTAACCCGCCGTGACGGGGCTCGATCCCCCGGCGCCCGTGCTTGCGGCGGGGGAGGAGGAGGGGGGCGCTTTGTGCAGGCGCTCGGTGAAGAAGGCGGGGTGGCGGATGGCGGGGTTGTAGTTGTGGTTGTGGTTGTGGTGGGGGCGGGTGTGTGTGAGGGGTGGGGTGACGGGTTGGTTCTGTGTGTGAGTTAGCTTTTTGTTTTGATAGAGGTATGGTAGGGGAGGGGACGTACGCGGGGGGTTATGGTCGGGCGCGAGGGCTGCAGGTGCGGGAGCATGGTGGGTGCTGGGGGGAGGGGTTGGAGGTGAAGGTGAAGGTGAAGGTGAAGGTGAAGGAGTGTAGAGTTGGCTGTGGAGGTGGTGGGTGAGGGTGCAATTGGTGTTGGAGTTGGCTGTGAGAGATCTCGAGATGTTCGGCCAAGCTCGAGTTCATCAACGGCACAGGGCTAGGGTTAAGCAACTCTATCTCTACAGCAAGTTACAGACAGCCAGCTGTCTCACCCTCTCCACCTATATCCAACTCTACTCTCTACATGAACACACCACCGCCATGAACCGCCCACTCATCCGCATCACCTCCGCCACCTTCCACCGCACCCCCACCTCCCCCGCCCTCTTCCCAAACCTGACCCTCACCCTCCCGCCCCTCACCGCCTCCCCGCAAACACAGAAATGGACCATCCTGGGCCCGAGCAAGACGCTCCTCCTCTCCATCCTCTCGGGCACCCACACGCCGCGCGACCCACAGTCGCGGACCTACCCTGCCCTTGCGGCGCACGCAAAGTGGCCGCAGGACGCAATCGGGCTTGTCTCTTTCGGCGCAGGCGCACGGACGGGCATGCTGGCGGGCGGCACGGACGGCGAGGGGTATGCGGCGTCGAGGTATGAGTCGCTGAGGGAGGAGTTTGATCTTACGCTGCGGCAGTGGCTCGAGGGGCCGTGGAGGTGGGGAGGAATCCGTATGAGGAGGGGGCTGCGGGGGTGGGGGTGGCGGGGGAGGTGGAGATGGAAGAGAGGAGGAGGGAGGCGGTGGGGCAGGTGGCGGAGAGGTTGCAGTTGGGGGCGCTGATGGAGCAGAGTGTTATGACGCTGTCGAACGGGCAGGCGAGGAGGGCGAGGATTGCGCAGGCGCTGTTGAGGCGGCCCGAGGTGCTGCTGGTGGATGAGCCGTTTAGTATGTATCCACCACTGCCGCTCAACTACCTGCCTGGACCATAACTAGAGAGCGGGGGAGGCTGATGTGTCCTAGTGGGCCTCGACCCAATTGCAAAGCGCCAGATATCATCACTCCTCGACGGCATCTCCCGCCCCGACGTCCCCTTCGCGGCACAGGTCGTGTGTGGTCTCCGCCTCCAAGACGCAGTCCCGAAGTGGAGCACGCACCTCGCATACGTGGCCGACAACCAGGTGCACGCCATTGGGGAGAAGAACGCCGTCGTCGAGGAGATGGCGCGGAAGGGGCTCAAGATCCTCCAGGAGGGCGAGAAGGGGCAGGGAGGGCTGCTGGAGAAGGTCTGGGCGGGTGTGGATGTGGAGGATGGGGGCAAAGAGGAAGGGAAAGGGGGGGTTAAGGAGGAGAAGAAGAGGGAAGAGATGAGGGAGGAGGACCTGCCGGAGAAGCTGATTGAGATGAAGGATGTGCGGATTGCGTACTATGGGAAGGAGATCTTGAAGGACTTTTCGTGGACAATTCGAAGAGGGGAGAGGTGGGGGCTGTTTGGGCCGAATGGTAAGGGCGCTCTCTCTCGCTGGTCAATGTTGGGGTTTTGCAGCTGGAGAAGTGGTAATATGGGTTTCCGGGGGTTTGGGGACTTGGTGGGCCAATGATCGATGAGACCGACGGGGGATTGCGAGAAGCTTTCCTTGTGAGGAGTGATTCAGCCTAGAACGGGTGGATCGTACCTCGCGGGAAAGCATCTCCGCGGAACCTGTCCGCGATCATTGACCTCACCACCCTTCCTATCCTACCCCTCCCGCTGCAGAATCGTAACCTCCCCAATCTCCCACCCCCATCCCACTTCCCGCTTCACCCTCACTCTCTGTATCAATACTAACCCCACCCACCCACCCTCCCACAGGCTCCGGCAAAACAACCCTAACATCCCTCATCACCTCCGACCACCCGCAGACCTACTCCCTCCCCATCACGCACTTCGGCAGATCCCGCCTCCCCACCGCCGGCACTCCCGGCGTCCCTGTAACGGAGCTCCAACGCCGCATCGGCCACTCCTCGCCCGAGATCCACGCCTTCTTCCCCCGCCACCTGTCGCTGCGGCGCGCTGTGCTCAGCGGGTACGCCGACGCGCCGCTATCAGCGCCCGTGCTCACGCCTAAGCAGCGGGAGGAGGCGGAGCGATGGATGAGGCAGTTTGATGACGTTGTGGGAGGTGCGCAGGGGTGGGAAGGGAGTTTTGGGGACGCCGGGCTGAGCGTGCAGAGGTTGGTGTTGTTTTTGAGAGCGGTGGTGCCGAGGAGGGATGTGCTGGTTATGGATGAGGCGTTTTCGGGCATGGAGGTGGGGGTGAGGGATCGGTGCTTGAGGGTGCTGGAGGGGGTGGAGGGCGTGGCGGTCGTGGTCGTGAGTCATGAGGGGGGGAGCTGCCGAGGGGGGTCAGTAGGTGGGTGAGGCTGGCGGAGGTGGGCGGGGAGGCGGTGTTTGGGGTTGTGGAGGAGTAGAGGGGGAAGGTCGGGCCGGGGGGGTAGAATAGAATTTATAGATATTGGTGGTTTTGTTGGGTCGAGTGATGGGCTGTGATTGGGGTCTGTTGTGTTCTTGAGATATCACTCGTCGCTTGGCACTACCCGCGTACTTTCGGGCTGTTGGTGGTTGAGGTCGAGCTGTCTGGGGTTTGGGAGGTTTCCGGGATGGCTCAGGCCCTGCTGCTCAGTTGCTTGAATGAAGAAGAAGACGAGAATAATAATGACCGGATCAAGAAAGAGGGCGCTCGCCGCAGCTCAACTTATAGCTCTTGGAACCATGTAACATATATGTTTTATCAACCAACTCCGACCACGTACGTAGCCGCCGAAACGTGTTTTAACACGATAGCAAAAAGGGTTACCAGATCGCCTTGACGCCGTATATCCAATGCCCCGCCCTGGCTTAATTAGACACTTTTTTTGGTGCGGGTTTTAACTAATCAACTAATTCATTAGTTGGGAAGGGGAACGACGAGTGATTGGTTGTGACTGGGGTTCTAACTAATGCGGGTGTGGGTTGTTGATGTCGAGTGATTAGCGGTGACTGCACAATGATTGATTGATTGATTGATAATTCAAGAATGGTGAATTGGCCCTGCATAGATAAAGCTGAAATATAAGACAATGATGGCGAGACCTATGTATGTATGTATGTATTCCTTAACACCAGTATCCATAACAGCAGCTGCATTACATAAAGAACAAAATTATTACAAAGGAAAAAAAAAAAAAAAACTCCAAAAACGGGGCCAGACTAACACTACATACACCCATCTTCCCCTATCCCCCATCCCCCATCCCCCATTACCCCATTACCCCCTTTCTCTCCTCCCTCCAATATTACTCCCCCTCCTCCCCGCCTCCTCCACCCTCCCCCTCCCCGCCTCCAACTCCTGCGCCGCCTGCCCCGCCGGCAGCTCCACCGGCGGCCCCTCCACAACCGGCGGCCGATACACCAACTCCCACGTATACGTCCCCTGCGCCGGCGCCCCACCCGCACCCGCACCCGCACCCTCCTGCCCCTGCCCCTGGCCCCCCACCATGATCTGCTGCGTCGTGACGACCGGCAGCTCCGCCGGCGCACTCTTTGCCACGCCGTCGGCCTCGAGCACGTCCGTGGCGCTGCGGCGGCGGCGGCGGCGGCGCGAGTGGCAGCGCCAGATGAAGCCGATGAGCGCCACGACGGCGCCGGCGGTGGCGACGGCGATGCCGATGGTGCGGTTGCGGTTTCGGGAGGACTTTGTGGGCGTGGTGATGGGGGTGTCGGTGGGGAGGGTGGTGGGGAGGGGGGCGTCGGTGGTGATTGGGGTGGGGGTGATGCGGGAGGTGCTGGGGGTGCGGGTGGTGATGGAGGTGCTGCGGGATTGGGCGACGGAGACGAGGGTGGTGAAGAGGGTGGCGCTGTGTTCGTTGTGGACCTGCGTGTGGGGGTGGGGGGGGTGAGTGGTTGGTTGGTACTATATAGCGCCCTCCATCCCCGCGGGGGCGGATGCAGTTTGGGGGGGGATGGGGCACTATGATGGGGAAGAAGAAGGAGGAGGAGAACATACGACATATGTAGCCAAAGCGCCCGGCTCGCCCGACGTTCTAGTAATTGTGCCAGTCTAGAAACCACCCCCGATGTCCATGTCAGCGCGCCATACCATACCATACATGCAATCCAGCGATAGAGGGAGTAGAAGTGAAAATAGAAGCTAGTGATGGTGATGGTGATGAAGAAGTGAACTAAGTAAGCAAGCAAGCAAGCAGACGCACAGTAGTATAATGGTTTGTCCAATACGTCGTCAAATAAGCATAAACCAACGTGGTCGCGGTCGGCGATACTGTAGTCACGAACGTAGACGTAATCGGCGCCTCAGTCGTCTCCTGCCTCCTCCGCAGGTCACTGCCGCCCCCGCCGTCGCGCACACCCAGACACTCCTCATCCTCGCCCCCGCTCCCGCAGCAGAACCTCCCGCCGTCCCTCTCGTCCAACCACAGCACCCACGCCGTGTCCGCACACGCCGGGCGGGCCTCCACCGCGCGCACACACTCGTCCCGCTCTGGCACACACACACACACCTCGGTCAGCACACCCGCTCACAAGGCTGAAACCCAAAAGCATATATATATAGAGAGAGCAATGATATGATATACACACCCTCGCCCTCGGGACAGCAAATGATCTCCACAACCCCCGTGCTACTCGGTACATACTCGACCAGCGCAGCCCCGTGCGGGCAGCAGTGGCCCGCGGGGGGCCGCCGTGGGTGCTGGCGGGGCAGGGCGTCGTCTGGAGCGCCCAGCCGGCTGAGAGCGCTGCTATTGGCTCGGCGGGTACGGGTGCTTGTAACATGTGTTTGGCATTGTTGTTTTGTGCAATTGCCCTACTTGCCAGAAGGAGGACGGCGACGAGCAGGAGGAAGGCTCGCAGTAGTGCCTGGGTAGTCATGGTTCACGAAGGAAGGCTGTCTATGAGCTATCAGCATGCAAGCCGTGTGAGAAGTGGGCGAGAGGGGGAAAGAAAGAGAAAGAGAAAGAGGGAGCAAAGGAAAGGAAGGAATGTTCTCGCACCTACTGACTGCAGGACTGGACGTACTGGGCCCTACAGACTGTTTGTTATCTGGGTGATTGACTGACTGGCCTCCCCTTCCGGAGGGGGGGAGCAAATGAAAATGAAACCTAGCTAAGAGCTGGCTACATATCTCTTCCCTCCAGTCATGGACGGCAGTCCCCAGTGGCAGCGGCAGTGGGGTTATGGTAAAATGCCACAGTTCACTTCGGCGCGCGCGGCTATTGGCCCCACCGCGCCGGCCGGTGAGAGGCGCCGTCGGTGCTCCAGAAGAATCACGGTGCAGGCGCGTATCATATCATATCATCATATCATGGGCGGATGGATGTAGGTTGAGCATGCATGGACGGGCTCTAACTAGAGTAGAGTAAGGGCGCGTGTGTGACACAGGGTTTAAGTTTAACTGAGTGCGCCTGCGGGGAAGCTGGGCCACTCGCTCGCATACAGAATTGCATTTTAAATTATACGCAGGGCTGGGAAATGGGAGAGTGCGAGTGGTCCGCGGATGATGGATGTAGCTGTATGGCACGTAAAACAATCAAAGGGAAACCTACGGAGCCTTGCAAGAATAGTAACCCTCGATTCGACTAGAGTAGATAGATAGATATCCTAGATAACTACATGCAGGTGTTTACTCTAGTCGCGAGTGATTGGTTGTGAGGACTACATTAATACGCAATTTAAAAAGCTTGAATTTAAAGAATTTAAAGAACGACAGACAGCCCCTTTGGTGTGAGAAAAGAGTACAGCAATTAAACGCTCAAATTGACTCCAAACCGTACCAAACCATACCATCCCAAACCATCCCAAACAAAACAACACAAAACTCCACTACCCATCCATATCTATCCAGCTCCTATACCCAGACTACATGTACCCACATAGTCCCATAGCCCAACAACTCCGCATCCGCATCCCCACCCCGTCCCCGCCACCCCCGACTACCCGCTCTTCGCCTCCCCCTCCACCGCTCCCAACTCCTGCGCACGCACAGCATACCTCTCATCCTGCGCCCTCATGCGGCGACTATACAGCATCAGTACAAACGCCACGATGGACAGCACCAGCGCAATAACCGAGAGCGCGATCCCAGCCGTCGCGGCCTTGCGGTTTCCGGCAGTGCCGTAGAAGCTGTCGCGGCGGGGGAGACCGAGGCCGAGGGCGGGGCAGGTATGGAGGAGGAGGCCAAGGAGGAGGATGGCCAAGACTGGCGAGTGTTGTTGGCGTGTGCTGGTCATGTTGTGGGATGTCTTAGATCTGAGGGGGGGAGTGGGGGTTTTGGTGGACAGGCTAGGTGATAGAGGGAAAGAGGTGGAAGGAAGGAAGGAAGAGGGGGAAAAGTCCAATATAAGGTGAGATTCCGTGAAACATACTAGAGCCGCATGAGGGGAATATAATAGCCAACTGTTCTTGCTGCATCAAGAGTCATTGGAGAGGAGGAGGCCGGGAGGTGCCTATCCGCTAGCTTCGAATTCGAAGCTGCATGTATGCTGGAGTCTTGGAATAGAGTAGCACATATATATGCCCGACAGACACATACAGTCGCTCACCTACTGATGGCGGATCCTGTCTGATGGTTCTGTTTGCAGTAATTTGCCCTTGGCATCCAAAACCTAACTCTTTTACTGGCCTCAAATCCCTGACCGCCATCAGACAGGATCCGCCTTCACCCCGTGAGTGACTGTAGCGGCGGCCGACCGTCCATGCGTCAGTTACACAACTTGCAAGGGGGCAGTGCAAAATTTTAAGTTTGACGGGAAGATCGTGTGCGAAGGATCGGAAAAAAAAAGCGTGACATGGATGAGTGATAATCTGTGAAGCAATTGATTTATGACTGCCTCGACTTGGCGTGGTAAGTGGCTATATATAGCAGTGCACTGAATTACTTGCCGTGGGCCTAATGGGTGTTGTGCATGGCCTGAGACGTTAAGTCAAAGTGGATCAAAGTGACGGATGACTTCCTATCGAGAGGATACATAGTTCTATCACTACATAGAGCATATTTACTGATGTCCTTCTGCCATGTTCTCTACATGTATCTTATTCGATACGTGTAGTTATATACATGTCTTCTTGTGTGTCCTCTGATCACATGACGGGCGTATATATTTGTTATTTGTAACGTTTTCATTGACAATCACATTGTTGCCAACGTTTCATTATGAGCTTTGCACGTGGCTCCAAATTAAACTATCGATATCTGTACTTACTGTACTCATATAAAAGAAGGGCATTCTCTCCATCCTCCTTCCTTTATTCTTTAGTTCTTCATTCATTAGTTCTCTACTTCTCTAAAGATCACATCAACGAACAATCCTTATCATGCAATAGTAGGTTTGATTAGCTATTACAGATCCAAGTACTTCAATATATCCTCGATAATGAGATACCACTACGTATACATGTAGTCTTAAAGATTCCAACTGAGCACTCGCAATATATCAATAATCCAACAATCCAAAATGGCCGTAACAATACTCAAAAATACAAACCAAAAAAGACTCCGCCCCAAAAAGAGAATAACCAAACATTCCCCAAACCAATACCCCATCCCCTCAAACCCTAAATCTAGCTGATGATCTTCACTACTAGGTAGAAACTACAGCATCCGGCAGATAATACACCAGCTCTCATCTATACTCTCTTAGCACCATCCAGCTCATGTGCCATCTGCTCCTCCGCTCCCGGCAGCTCTCCAACCACAGCCCTCCCGTCCGCCTCTGACACCTCTGGGCGGTGGGCCGGCACCGGCACCTGTGCCGGCGGAGACCGCCCAGCATCCATCTCCAGCGCCTGCTGGATATCGTCCACAGGTATTCCGTCCACCTCCGGCACATGTAGCTGTTGCTGGTGCTGCCCCCCTCTCTCACCCTCTCCTACAGCTGCACCATCAACCTCTGGCAAGGGCGGAAGATACACCAGCCCTCTTGTCGGCTGAGCACTAGTGGGCGTGCCCGTTACTGGGGCAGCATCTATTTCTGAGTCCTGTGGCTGTGGTGGGCGATAGCTATTGTGCTCCACTGGTATCTTTGGGCTGTCGTCTTGTTCTCGTGGGGGTGTGGGTGTTTGGGCTGCGACTGATGTGGCCGTTGTCTCTACACGTACCTTAGTTTCCTGGAGAGCAACTTCGTCGCGGCCGTTGCCTGATGCCTCGGGGTCGGGGGTGTTGTTCTGGGACTTTTCTCTGTTCTTGTGGGCTATAATGAGGAGTGATGCAAGGCCGATGACGAGGATGATGACGAGGGGGATGGCGAGAAGGGTGGGCTCGAGGTCGCTGGATTCGCCCCGTTTGTGGAGGGGCTTGCCGTATAAGCTGTGTGCATCTGCGTGGAAGGCTGGAGACCAGTGGGTTTGGGGAGGCATTGTGGGGATGGAGTTTGGTTTCTTACTTTTGGGGGAGATATTTTGTTTACATTGCTAACTAGCTAACTAAAAAGCGGGCAGAATAGAGTTATAAAGAAAGCCAATGATGTGACGCATGAGCTCGGTAAAAAAAAAACCAGGCAATACGTGAGTGAGTGAGTGAGCACGTGTGATACAGCTCCGGTGGGGAGGAAAAAGAAATTCCTGGTACGTTGATGACGCCCCGAAATGCAGATCCAGAGTAGGTACTGACGCTTTGATTGGGCTAATTTAGCGACATGCCCGAGATAAAACGCCTCCCCCGCACGTAAAGGTTATGCTTAATTATTTACCTGAGGGAAGCTTGGGATTGATTCTAGTCGTGCACTTGAGTTACATTTATGTGCTTGTAGGTACGGACTCTAGAGGTAGATTAGCACTTGTTCTAATTATTCTAAAGGAAGTTTAAATTCTCGTTCTAGCTATCTGCTGCATGTGGGGAATGTCTACTCTATTGTCACTCTTCGCCATCATGATCAGGGGACCTTTTACTAACGTACTAATACCTAACGAATGCCTTAAGTGTCTTTATAAGTAAGCTATATGGTAGGATATGTTCAAGCTGGGACTCAAACCCCTCATACTCACCACCACAGCATCCAGCTTCCACCCATCTACTCTGGCACCACATAATCCTCCACCCTAACCCCATTCCCTTCCGCCACATCCAACGCAACCAAGAACTTGGCCACACAACAATACGCCGCCACCGTCCCCACGACCTCCACAACCTCCCTATCCCCAAAGTGCTCCCTCAACCTTCCAAACACCCCCTCCCCCACCCTCACCTCCCTCACACACTCCGTCGCAAACTCCACCACCGCAATCTGGCGCTCACTCAAATCCCCCCTCGTCCCATCCAGCACCGCACGCAGACCCTCACGGGTCACCCCCGCCGCGCGGGCAAGCGGCGCGTGCTGCGTCCACTCAAAGTGCGCCTGGTGCAGCACGGCGACGCGGCAGATTGCGAGCTCGCGGATGTCGGCCGGCAGAGAGGTCTGTGTACGGATTGCGCCGAGGAAGGAGTTCCAGCCGGCGGTGAGCGGTGGGGAGTGTAGGAGGGTGAGGTCGAGTGGGATGAGGCCTTCGGCGCCGCGGCGGGCGAGGGTTTGGGCGATGATTTCGGCTTCGGTGGGGGTGGCGGGCGTGGGCGGGTTGGGGATGTAGGGGAGGCGCCTGGGGGGGGGGGGGGTTGGAGGGTTAAGGTGTTGGTTTTAATAAATATTGTGGTGAGGATACTTACATGGTTATTGTAGGAATTGTAGATTGGTAGCTTGGAGCTGGGTAGTGAGTAGTAGGAACGAGCTATGAGTAATGGAGTAATGGCCTGGCTGAGGTTCCGAGAACACACCTTATATACAGGTGATATATGAGGTTTAAAGAGGCGATTTCGGCGAAGTTCGGTATATATCCTAGGACCTCATATAGATATATTTACAATTACTCATTCCAATATGCGGAGTTGAAACGATCCCGGGCGGTCTTGGCATCTACTAATGTAACTGTTTCTACTAATCTATTATCTAGCGCTATCCCTAATATGAGTACTTGTGTATTTACTAATAAGTATTTGCTGCAGATCGAATGCTTTTTTTTCAAACCCTTTGACTTTGTTATTAATTACACCTAGCTTGCTCTCATCAGCGCCGTGCATGCTGGTAGCCAATACCTTACGATATCCTTGGGTGACTCATGTCATGAGATGATCTGTTAGTGCGCTGCGCTGGCATATGAGTAAATATACTTGAAGCATCTCAAGGTCTCACCACATCGCTCTGTATATAAAATAGGTACTACCGGCCCTACCAGTACACCCACAACACACCCTCCTCCTAAAAACCTCCATAACCAAACACACCATGTCCTCCCCAACCCCAACCTCAACCCCAACCCCCAAAGCAACCCTCCTCGACTTCACCACAACCCCCCTCTCCAAACACTACGGCCACCCCAACCACTACGCCCTCATCATCGACGACCTCCTCACACCCACCGAATGCGCAGCCCTCACCACCCTCGCCGAGTCGCACCCCACCGTCTGGCAGCCCGCCGCCATCAAAAAGGGCGCCGAGCGCCAAGAGGTGGAGACCGACGTGCGCGACTGCTCGCGCATCCTCCTCGACGACGCCTCCACGGCCGAGATGCTCTACCAGCGCATCCACCCCTTCCTCGCGCCCATGTGGGAGCTCGGAGGCGGCGTTGTGGCGGGGACGTTGCGGCGCGGGCGGCGGTGGCGCATGAAGGGCGTGAATGAGCGGCTGCGATTCCTGCGGTACGGCGAGGGCCAGTTCTTTCAGGCGCACTGCGACGCGGCGTATGTGCGTGCGGGGGGGAAGGAGAAGTCGTTCCTGACGGTGCATGTGTATCTGAACAGCGAGGGGGAGGGCGGGGAGTGTAGGGGTGGGGCGACGAGGTTCTGGGGGATGAATATGAAGGAGTTTGTGGATGTGGAGGCGAGGGTGGGGAGGGTGTTGGTGTTTCAGCAGAGGGGGTTGCTGCATGCGGGGGAGGTTGTGGAGGGGGGTGTGAAGAGGACGCTGAGGTCGGATGTTATGTATGAGGCGTTTGATGTTGAGGAGGGTAGTGGGGAGGTGGTGAAGGAGGAGTTGAAGTAAATGTTGTGAACATGGCTTATAATTATTTTGAAGTAGTTTTTGAATAAATATGCGAGTATGGTTAGATTATATCTTGATCCCTAGATCGAAGATCCGCCATTGAAGAAATTTCGGAACTTGTATGCACACCTGCATATTTAAATATGACATTCAAAGTATTTTACTTAGTGTTACGCTTATGCGGTGTGACCAAGATGAATGGAAATGATCGATATTTCATGATTTTCCAACCACCTTGTGACACGGAGGGATTGCGTGCCTACCACATTCAAAGCCAATGTCATAGACAAGAGCAGATGTGTAGAGTATTCTGATAAAAGGTATGTAAATGTCGAATCCCCGCTTTAGAATACGTACCCCAGAAGGTGATTTTTGGCCTATCTATAATAGAAGCGCTGATCAACCTTCGACTCCATAAGTGGAACTGTGTATTTAAGGTTTGTGATAAGGTTTAACTTCAACCCCACCAGCCAGTTGAGCAAGGGAGGCTTATCCAAGGGGCCCAAAAGAGCCACTCCAAGTATCGGGTGTCCACATACCTTAATGCGCGCGCGCTGGTGTTATAGCTGTTTTCATATTGTCTGCCGACTCCGGATCGCATACACATTAAGTGACGGCCCATTTAGGCAATGCTTATTACTAGTAACAGCTAGATCACATACACCCATACCTAAGAGAGTAATTACGGTTTCCTAACTCGGGAATTACCTCACGTGCGTGTAATCCAGTGCGGACAGACAATGCGAAAACTGCTGTAATGGCGGTCGAGGAAAAGATGTTCATAGAGCCCCGCCGCAGGAGATGAGAGTTGGGAACCCTTTTTTTTCTTCTTCTTCTTCTTCTTGTTCAACGTAAATTGGTGCTCTCTCTAAATCCCAAAGTATTGCGGGTTTCCAAAATTAACCGGACGCTCTGTTGCAACCACCCAAACCAAATAGGCCACAATAATTAATTTTCAAATACCTACGATTGAGCCCATATATTAAAACCTGAGGTAATACAAGCATAGAGAATCACAGATATAACAACTCTTGGCTTTTCCAGCTGTGGTTGTGTTGTGTTGCAAGGCGATGTTGAATCGCATTCCCATACAATATTTGGTTGTAACGCAGTGTCTGGTTAATTTTGGAAACCCGCAATACATGTATCCATATGGAGAATGAGGTAAATAGAAACAATTCCTGTGACCCATACACATACGCATCAAACAAGGCACTCTACCACGATTGCAAAACGGCAACCTTGCAGATATTCTGCATCTTTGGTCTGAACTTAAACACCAGGCCGGCAGTGTAGGATATATTTCGACAGAAGTATCGTGGGTGATGATGCTGCTATTAGGAGGTTCGGAGGAATCGAGCTTCTTTGAACACTGTACTAGCTTTTCCTTGGCGTTATGCTGATACCACGTCTTTTCCAAAACTAGCAGACATCCACACACATTCAATGTACAGTTACAACCTCAGCCTTCGCCGTTGTTCCCTTTTCTTCCTTTATTTCCTTTTCCCTAGAGAAATTTCAACACAACAACGCACACGCATTCAATTTTTACTGATCCACACAATGTCAAATTACTGTTTCTCTACAGCCTACGGTATTGGTTAAGTCCACCTTTTTATTATACACCAGGGAATACCGTTGAACTTATAGTCATTGGAAGCTAGTACTGGAGCTGTGCAGCCTCACCAGAACATTCTAAAGCTGGAACACAGCTACTTAGGCTGTATTATCTCACAGTTGGGCGCCTGCACGGATATAAATCTGAAGGAGAGACTATGAATGGCCATATCAATGGGAATAGAAAATCTCACGGTGGGGTAAACGTGCGGGTTCCAGTCCCAGGCGCCATTAAATGAACTCCCCGGCTGCAAAAATAACGAAAGCCCCATGAATGGCTAGATATGGGCCCCTACTGGAAACACTCAAATTCAAAGAAGAGAGAATAAATCCCTGGATAAGAAGCCTGTCACATGTCTTAAAAAGCAATTGCAAAGGTCGAAAGCCACGCCCACATTTTACTCCTACCTCTTACATATTTCTATATGTAGTCAAAATAATTGCTAAATCACAAGACTACAAAGAGGGAAGTGTTAGAGGCGCTATCAATGTCTTTAATTATCTCCCTTCTAGTTTAATCAATGAGCAGACAAGGGACGCCGTGCATTACAGCACATATGTTCCGGTTTTACTGCTAATTCCATCAAACAAGATCGTATTATTACCCGGTACATATTGCTGCGTAATGATCTTTTTTCTCTTGTTAGCCAGCTTCTATTTGGGTAGGTGACTTATCCTAGAGCTACGAAAGGCCTCATACCTTGATTATTTCCTGCGCAACGAGACCTCCTGCAAGTGATGCGGTATTATGGAGCTCCGCACCGCCATATCTTACGAGTTCACCGATAATATTTTCGGTCCTCTCAGCGAGCTCTAGGCTACAGCCTACCTCGCTGAGATACGCCTTGGCAAGTCGCTGCATCTCTACGGTGTCTTCATCGAGAGGTCCTTCTGTGTCACCAGGCGCTCTTCCGTTGTTCTGAGTAATAAACTCTTGAAAAGCTCTGAGCGCGACATAATCATTAATGAGAGCTGAGTCGGCGTCCCAACTCTCGAAAGCATCCTTTACGACCTTTTTGTGAAACTCGTCGGTAGAAAGCTCCGCAGAGAAGGGACGGAAAGATATCGCACGAAGGAAGTTAGCGTGACGGCAGAAAATCTCGATTTCTTCAAGTGAAATGGAAGAAGGTTCCCGTCCGATTGAGGAGAGAATGGACTGGACATTCTTCTGAACTAGAGCGGCGTCGTGGCGGGCCTTATTTTTGTAGCTGGGTTCTGTGAGTTTGGTCATTGCTTAAATAGATGGCCAGGCAGAAACGTACACATTTTGCAAAGCAACATAGCCGCTGCTTTCAGCTTTCATATCTGGTATACCACCGGATAATGGTAAAAGTCCATTCCCCTGTTCCGGGCTCTCAAGAAATTGCTTGACTGCCTTGGCAATGATCCAGAAATTGGTTGACTTGATACCCAAAATATTAGCATTTAATGGTTCCTGTCTCGATTCTAGATATAGCAGACCTCAGATGTTACGTTGGCGCAAGCCGGGTGATCAAGAACCGTCTTGGCATATTCTGAAACTTCTGCTTTTCGGACATGCTTAAGCACGGCCGCAACGGCTTCCTCATAATTCTCTTCACTTCCACCGGGGACATGAGTTCTCATTTTGTCCTGAACAAAGGATCTGAAAGCCGTCATCTCTTTGTAGCTTGAAGGGTGGGTTCCATCCCCTTCAGGCCTCCTCTTCCAGTCGTCAAGGTACTTCAACAACAGAACCAGGTATGGGACGTGGCCGTGTTCATGGTCACTCATCCCCTCATCGCCATCCATCTCCTGCTGCACCTCAAGATTTTTGGTCTTTTCAGCTGCCAGAGCGGAAAGTTCGGGCCAAGGATTCAAAAGTCGAAGGTCTACTAACGATTCTGGATGAGCTTCGACAATCGTGTGTAACGGGGCCGAAATCCGTAGCGTAAAGAGGAGTCCCACGCAATTAACTAGAAATACCGGGATTTCAATCGGGATCTGAAGAAGTAATGGCGTGGGGACTGGGGAGATGATGACTATATGTGTGAAAGGTGTTGAACGAGGATTTAAAAGCTCCGGTTTAGCGGACAAGATATTGGAGAGGCTCTAGAACTCAACAATGAGAACCCTGAAACCCAAATGGTAGGAACTAAGCGAAAGTCGTTGCTCACATCAACAAGATAGTTTCCTTTAACATCAGGGTTCAGCTCTCCTAATAGCGCTGCTGTCCTCTCAGCTCTGGGTTTCCCTAGTGATTCTTCGTCAAGGAAGAAGTTGGCGCCTAGGTCCGCCTCTTCCACCAGTTTGTCGTCGATTACGGTGAATTGGCCGACACCTATCAACCAAGGTCAGAAAAAGCTTGTGTAGTTTGAACATAGGTATAGTACCAGGTAAGATCAGGTTCTTGAGGATCTCGCAGCCCGCGGCGGAAGCATTGAACAGTGCGATATGAGCACTCTCTAACTTATTCTGACCGTTTGCTCCCCAGAGACGAAGCTGTCTGTCGTATTTCTTCTCCTTGGAGCTTGGAGCTCCACTGGGTGTCGAGGCGGCCATTTTATAATGTGCGGTTAAGAGATAAACGGGAGCGGTGGATTATTTAGCTGAGGTTTGTTAGAGAGTGAAGCTTCCACATTAAATGTAGGAGCTGTAGTGGGGTTTAATTGTATTTGCCAAGCTATTCCACGTGACCGGAATTGAACAGCCTAGAATTATGTAAGCAAAAATGCTTGGCTCGTCAGGGGAAATGATACTTTAGCTGGTCCCCAGGGACTCTCAAATCCCACGTATAATGTCGCCAGCACATTTGTTCTCTTGGTATAGGAGATTGGTACTTTAGGACAGGTGTATATGAGCAATCCACTTCTATATCTATATCATGAAAATCTCAGTTCGAGCTATATCGAAACCTATTAAAGTCCATTTAAGTCTAGAGGTCATAGATAAAGTTGCTGGGAGATACCTAATTCTTTGTCCTGCATAAAGTCCTTGTACGTATGTACATGCCTGGTACTAGAATCTGCAGCTTCTGTCATACATATATTATTAAGAGATATTATATCTCACATGCCTGGTTGCTGTAAGTTATTGGGTCTGGAGTAAAGAAATCTGGCAAATACTACTATATGTAAATACAAGTACATGTAGTACTGAGAGAAACCGACAACCCCTGGCCTGATTAAGGAGGACATTCTTCTTCTTCGACCAGGAGGAAATCCCTTGGATTGGACCCGCTGTAAATAAGTACATACATGTAATAACTACATGTAATGGTAGGTAAGATCACGCATACAGGCTCTTCCTATTTGTTTTCGTTTTAGCCCTGGTTCGAACTAGCGGGAAACAGAGGCAGTTGCTTCGTATTTTGCCTGTTTTCACAATATATTTGACCCAGGACTCTCAGATCTAGACCTACTCACAACCAAGTCTGTCCACAACCCACATAATCAATATTGTCGATTTTAGCAGTAATTTAACACTGCTTCATACATTCTGATTCGGTGCTTCACTACCACTGGAATCTCACTTATTACTTTCTAGAGCGTATTTTTGAACTATCCATGGGGTATAACTCGGTTAGAAGGCAGTAACTACTATCAACTATACATGTAGTTCAACTATACATATAGTTCAACATTATTTTGAAAGGTTGTGACGAGATATATCATCGTTCCTAAAACAGCTACATACATAGACCTAACCCTTCTTTCTATATTAGTCAGCCCCCTCAGCCCCTCCAACGCCAATAGGGTAACCAGGATAAAAAAAATTAAAACCTTCACCGTTACAGCTGCCCTTCAATCAAATTCACATACAACACCGGGATGTCTTCCAATTCCGACGAAGAGTTTAGACTACCAGATGGTACACATTTAAGCTTCTCCGACCTGTACAGTATACTAAACGGCGCGGAAACAGAGCTTGTCGAGCTATGGCATACGCTTCGCCTGCCTTTACTCATCTCCGTCGTCGCGGGACTTGCCGTGTACAAGATTCACACCTCAATAAAGAAGCTACAAAGAGAAGAGACGGCCTCTTTGCAAACTCTCAAGCCCGCTGAAAAATGGTGTGGAACACCGATACCGTCTTCAGATGGAAAGCTGGTTGATAGTAAAGTGGTCGTTGGCGAAGAGGTGGCGGAATTGGACGGAAAAGATGAATCACAGAATACAGCTGGTCGCCTGGCTAAAACTGGTCCTAAACGAGTTACAGGAAACAAGAAGAAGATGTCGCCCACCCGCCGTGGAAAGAACTCTCGAAAACCGGAGGTCGTGAAAGAGAAGGAGGAGGGTGATTTTGACATTCAGGTACTAATATTCTACTCAAGTCTTACTGGCTCGACCCGGGCATATGCCGAGAAGCTTCAAAATACTCTTTTCTCGACCAATGGCGAAGGTGTTTACTCCTCACTCGCTATCCCAACACCTTCGAACTCTCTTGGATCAGTGCCTCTCCAAAGATCATTTTTGCCAGCGGAGTTACTAGATCTCGAGGAGATCGAGCTCGACGATTATTTTATCTCACTTCCTAAGAGTGACAGTGAGAAAAAGATTAAATATGTGTATCTTCTCGTAGTTCCCAGTTACGAAACGGATTCACCCGTAGCTCCGTTCTTGGAACATCTACAAGAGACGCATCACGATTTCCGGATAGACACTGCGCCATTGCGCTCATTGGCTGGATTCTCAGTTTTCGGGTTTGGGGATTCTTCTGAATGGCCAGCAGAAGAGGGAAAGTTCTGCAAGGACGCAGTAGAGGTGGATAAATGGATGGGCAAGCTCACTGGAGGGAGAAAAGGGAGTAGACGAATGTTTCCAGTTGGGATGGGTGATGTAAACCCAGCCAGCGCCAAAGGAAAGGAATCCGGGAATGCCGAGGAGAGTTTGAACACCTGGAGGATTCACCTGGAAGACACAATGCGGGAATATGCTGCCACAGGGGAGCTCGGTGATGTTACGGATTGGCGCACTGCTGTCGAATCTGGAGACGAGGATTCAGAAGCGGAGCAGGAACCAGATTCACCAAACAGCGGTGATGAAATGGTCGATTTGGAAGACCTTGGTGGGGTTGTTAAAAAGAACCCAGACGTCGCTAAGAAGGGTGATGTTGTAAAGAGTTTCCGTCCAGGGCCATTGCCGGTTGACTTTACAACACCAGCTGGAAAGATCGCTCTTGAAAAAGGAGAAGGACAGAACCCAGAGAGAAAGGAAATGGTTCCAAAAGGCGGAGTGACATATGAAGCACTGACAAAACAAGGATATACCATTGTCGGCTCCCACTCTGGTGTAAAGATTTGTCGATGGACAAAGTCCGCCCTGCGTGGTAGAGGTAGTTGTTATAAGTTTTCCTTTTATGGGATTAAATCTCATTTGTGCATGGAAACCACGCCCTCGCTCTCTTGCTCGAATAAGTGTGTCTTCTGCTGGAGACATGGCACAAATCCTGTAGGAACTACATGGAGGTGGAAAGTTGATCCTGCGGATGAGGTCTTCAAGGGCGTCGTAGAAGGCCACTATCGCAAAATAAAAATGATGAAGGGTGTTCCTGGAGTCAGGGCAGATAGATTCAGTGAGGCATTCCAGATACGGCATTGCGCGCTGAGTCTTGTCGGAGAGCCTGTGTTTTACCCATACGTAGGTGAAACGGTATTTCCTCACGCTGGTTAAAACTGACCTTTGTCGATATAGATCAATGAATTCCTTCATTTACTACACTCTAGCAAAATTTCCTCCTTCCTTGTCTGCAATGCCCAGCACCCGGCTCAACTTGCTGCCCTTGGACCTGTCACACAACTCTACGTTTCCATTGACGCCTCCAACCGTGATAGTCTCAAGAAAATTGATCGACCCCTTCACCGTGATTTCTGGGAACGTTTCCAGTCATGTCTTGACATTCTTCGAGAGAAGAGGAACCAGCAACGAACAGTTTTCAGGCTGACGCTTGTTAAGGGATTCAATGTCGATGACGAGGTCATGGGCTATGCGGATCTCGTTGAGAAGGGCCTACCATGTTTCGTCGAAGTAAAGGGCGTGACATACTGTGGAACGTCCACTGCAGGAGAGGCTGGACTCACCATGAAGAACGTGCCCTTCTATGAGGAAGTGGTAGCGTTCGTTGAGGCGTTGAACAAAGAGCTGCAAAGGAGAGGACTGGAGTATGGTATTGCAGCTGAGCATGCTCACAGGTAATATAATCTCCTATCTGTCTTTCCCAGTAGAGCTTTTCCGTGTCAAATTCTAACCTATTTATCCAATAGTTGTTGTATTCTCATTGGCTCTAACCGCTTCTTCATCAATGGAAGATGGCACACTCATATCGACTACAAGCGTTTCTTCGAATTGCTCGAGGAAGGGAAAGAATTTGGTCCGGAAGACTACATCGGTGAAGCCACACCTGAATGGGCGAACTGGGGTAACGGTGGCTTTGATCCAGCGGATGTGAGGGTTCACAGAAAAGGCAAGGCGGCAAAGAAGTTGAGAGACGAAGCTGCGGCGGAGATGGAGACAGAGAGCGGCGGGTGCGGTTAGTGCCTTAAGCACAGTAAAAGTGGGGAACTTTCTATAAACTGCCTCAGGTGTCAGAACATAGGAAACACCCGTTTGTTACTTGATAACCGGGTTATGCCTGCGACCTTGTAAATATAGGCTCTTTGACCGGGGTATATTCCGTATTTGATTACTGTTCTGTTCAATCCCTGCATAATTTCACCGTTTAGCCCGATCGGGTTATTTATTTCCTGGGGAACTTTAAAACCTGGTTTGTCCGAATCCCGATGTCAACTGTCAAGCTAGGGTTGTTCTAAGCTCGTGGGGCACTAAGTATCACTCGTGCTTGTCGAACCTTGCATAAGTCAATGGTGGCCCAGCGAGACCGGACTTTACCACTCTCAAACTCCATCTAGAGTAGGTTTTCTGATATCTCATGGTTTGTAGCGCAGGGCGGCGGGGCCGTGTCCCTGAGTGGTTTTTCAGGCCATACTAGACTGTTTACTAAAGGTGACCAACGGCGCCCTGGCTTTCGTAGGCTTAAGGTTGGTCCTAAATGGATAGCGGACATACGATAAATATTCAGTGTGTTACCTAAACTGCGCATGCAGATTACTTCCCCAATGGATATTCTGCCACACAGAGCCACGGGTGCTGAAAACATACGAAGAGATCGTTTGTTGATCCTGTGATCCTGCAGCCTTTAGGCCCTGTTGATGACAGATCTCCAATGAAAAATACGTCATGTTAGGTGCACCGTATGGGTTTTGGGCGATCTTCAGGGGCGACAGCTGGTTCTGTATGATGTCAGGTGTGGACTTGCGGCAAAAAAGAGGCGTTTATCAACAGGCAGGACGGCGGGATGGGTATATAAATACGTCCTGTTTCACGGGCACAGGCGTGTATGAGGCCAAGTATTGGAGCCAGCTGTTTGCAGGGGGAAGAGTGTACCTGCATGTCTAGCCCATACTACATGTAGGTACGGCCACGCACTGTTCCTTGCAGCAGTGATATCTTTGAAATTGGTCTGCCGTCATCCGCTGTTTGTGCGTGTCCCCTCTGATAGATAAACGGTTCCCCACACAGCCTTGAGATAAAAAAAATTCAGCTTGAGCAAGTTAAAGTCAATGATGGAGAACTCCACTTTTACTTCTTTAAAATCCTCTCCCAAGACAAAAGGCCTTTTTGCTAGCTAGGCGTAGAAGTAGAGGACTGATGTCTTTGTGACGAGATTATTACTCAACTATGGGGCGGATGTGGGGTGATAAGTCTAAATTTAAAACAATACGTATGTCCTCTGACATCGGCGCAGCTGCTAGTGTATACGCGGCTGCTATCTACTCTGTCTACGTACACATACAATGGCAATCCGGGAAAGTCTAGTGCTAAACAACGTTAAAAAAAATTCAATCTGGCCGATCCCACATGTACTACATTCCCCACGCACCCACCGCACATCCCCCCCGCATGTTAGTACAGATATTTAACCACTTGTCCTGATCTCCTATCTTTAACATCCGTTCATGGTTCCTTTCCCATTCAACTTCACTCCCTTCCTCCCCACCACTACCTTACCTCTTACCATCGAGTAGCTAAGCCCTTTCGCTCTCGAATATTGCTTTGCTATCGAGTAAAGCCGTCTATATTCATCAATCAACGTACGTTCCTTATTCGCCAATCGAGCAAAAAAAGGAAACCACATCAATCCATCAAAAAATGGCCAAACTTTTCACCATATTTACTCCCCTGGTGACCATCATCTTTATCGCTCTCTTCATTTGCCCTTCTACCGCTGGTATCTCTGAGACCCCTCGTGACGTCATCCCAAGGCGCCGTATCAAAAGGTCGAGCATGGCTCTTCGACAGCGAGCTCCCATTTACACCCTCAGACGCCGAGATCCTGTAAACCTTGACAGGGCTCCAGCCTGGGCCACAAAGCTACCCGGAGATTTTAGCAACTCTATTGGTCGGGAAACTGAATTGGGTGCGGAATTTGCTGGTTGCGTCACTTTACCCAATGACGCCTCACCTTCGTTCAATGGAACCTTACATTCGTTTAATGGCACCTTACCTTCGTCTAATGGCACTCCACCTCCGTCCGATAACAATTTACCAACATATTCGGATATCCTTGAAGCCAATAGGCAGCTTGATTACAGGGGGAACCAGACTTGTGTCCCACCACAAGGCCTTGGTAACCAAGACGAGCATCATTGCGGCCCTCTCACAACTTTGGGGACGGCTACGATATATTTCTGCGGCGCCCCTGGCAAGTTTGTCCCTTGCTCCTCGATTGCATCAGCGGTCCTGGCTTTCAACGCCGTCTGTGTGCAGCGTGAAGACGATCATTTCACAGAGAGGGGGTCTATTGCTATTCTTCCTGAAGGATATCCCGAGGATATTTCCCACCTGAGTTTTATTGTTATTGATAGCCCAGGGCTTCTCGATGATGTGTAATAAGAGGGTATGGGGAGAGAGATATGGGGATGTTTCATTTGTTTTAATGGCTTTGAAATGTTTGGGGAGTTAATGGCTGTTTCGGTATCTTGAAGTTTGCATACATCAAGTATATATTTTTTCGCTTTTTTTTTCTATTGCTAACTCCTAGCTTGTACCTTTTTATAGCTTCCCCTAGTGCATATTTCAGGCACAGTTTTCACTCATGGCTTATCACTCGTCCCGTGTGATGTTTAGTCCGCGGAGTAGTGTGCGCCAATTATTCCCCCGCATGTAGTATGGTCGTTTACTAGCCATTTCCAAAAAGATATATGATTCCTGCGGTAGCTTCCTAGCTGTTGCAACTCGCTTTGAGGTGTACCTGCTTCGACTTGGCAGAAACCGGAACGAAGCGGTACCTAGTCGATCTAGGGTCTTTTACTTAGGCCTTTTCCTTGCGTATAACTACCGCGAAATTTAGAACTACCGCGAGATTTAGAAATGGCTGACCCCGGGTTCTTCTGTCCCCCTTCCCCCCGGATTATCCTGCCTGCCCCAGATTATCCTGTTCCCCCGGATTATCCTGTCCATAATATGCTGCGTTGCCCCCCCAACATTAGTCACCCGAGTATAAATCGTGACTTGCCTAACTTTCATAAAAAAAAAAAAAAAAACGTACTACAAGAGGATCTTACCCCAGAATTCATATATCTTTCCCTCCTACTAAGCTGCCCCCCCAACCATATCTTCATCGCCACGAGGTCGGCACATGGCATTCAAAATACTACGAATAGAAAAAGCAAAACAAGCAAACACAGCGCGCGAGAGAAAACATCTATTACCCGCATAACTATATCACCGCCCCCTCCCCCTAAGCTACCCTCTTCCTCTCGGAAAAAGTGATGATTACAGCAGCCATGCATTCAATAACAAGGATGGCGTGTATCAGCTAGCTAGCTAGGTTTTATATCCCGTGTAGAAGTACGAAGAAAGAAAGAAAAAAAAAAGGAGGATGTTATAATACACAGAAAAGCCACATTCATAAACGGTCAAAGAGTTTAAGAGATCAAAGAAAGAAAGAAAGAAAAAAGGAAATTGAAAGCCACTACACTGAACTGAAAATCACCCACACCACCACCAGCGCAGCACATTATTCCACCTAACTACACTACCACCCCCTCCTCCCCCCCCTCCCCCTCGGGCCCGGCCCATACCCCCTATTCCCCCCCTGCTGCTGCTGCTGCTGCTGCTGTTGCTGCTGTTGCTGCTGCTGCTGCATCATCCCCTGATCATACCCGCCATACCCGCCCATCCCCGCCCCAGGCCCCTGCGGCGGGCGATTATACACCGAGTAATCCATCCCCGCCTGCTCCTCCCCGCCGCCGCCTCCAGGGCCATACATGCCCACCTGCGCCCTCCCATACGCCGCCGCGCTCTGATCGAACCCGCCAGGCCCACCATACGGCGCGTCACCCATGCCCATGTCGCCGCCAGGCCCAACCCCCACACCAACACCAATGCCGGCACCGACGCCGACACCCACGCCCCCAGGCCCAGCCGCCTGTTGCTGCCCAGGGCCGCCGGGAAAGCTCATGATCGCGCCCATATCCGGCATCTCCATCGCCGGCAGGCCAATTCCCATCCCGGAGAGGAGCATCATCTGCTCCATCAGCTTATGGGGGTCATACTCGTCGCGCAGCGACTCCTGCTTCTGGCAGTATGCGGTCCACGTGAACTCGTCGAAGCCGTAGTTGAAGTAGTCTGTTACGTCGGCGCCGGGCTTGCGCCAGGGCTTGTCGGCGGGGAGGAGGGTGTCCGAGTCGAGGGGGATAGTCTTGATGGGCTGGCCGTTGTAGGCGGGGTTTGCGGCGAGGTCGAGTTTTGAGGTTGAGGTTGGGGGTGGGGGGGCGGCGGTGGTGGTGGTGTGCGGGGGTTGTGGGGTGGTGGTGCGGGCGGCGGTGGTGGTGGTGGCGGAGGGCCCGGTGGGGGGGTGGCGTGGGAGGAGGGGCCCGTGGGGGTGGGGCGCGTGGGTGCCATGCGGACTTGGTTGTAGCGCGAGGGCTGCGGGGGGGGTTCGGGGCGGGTGCCGTCTTTGCGCTCAATCACGAATTCGATCTCCTACGCACGCAATTGTCAGCAGCCATACAGAGCGAGCGATCCCCGATGAGCAGCGGGAGAGAAACATACATCATCACTATCCTCCACCTCCACCTCCTCCTCCTCCTCCTCCTCCTCGCCCTCCTCCAGGCTCTCATCCGCGCCCGCGGTCGTCATCGGCGTGTCTCCACCATTACCCCCCGGCGTCAGGGACGCGGTGAGGCCCGGGAGCCCTGGCAGCGCCATCGGGGTGTCCGCGGCGGGGGCCGCCGACACCGCCGGCGTGCTCTGCGACTGCGTGGGGGGCGTAGGCTGCGCGGGGGTGGATGTGGTTGTGGTGGCGGCGGTGGTGGTGGTGGTGGTGGTGGTGTCGCCGTAGAACTCGTCTTCGTCGAGTTGGTCCATTGCTGCTTCTTGCTGGTGTCTGGGCTATAATGTGAAGAGAGATCTGTGGTGTATTGTGATTTGGGAGGGGTAGATAGAGAAGAGTGTAATTGTAGATGTAGATGCAGATGGTGCAGAGGATGCGGAGGAGATGTCGTTGGGTTGAGCTGTCTGTTGGTTTGTCGTCACAACAAAGATGCTCGGCGCAGATGGCGCTGGCTTGGCGTGTTGAGCCGCACTCTGGACGGTGGCACAAACACAAACAGCTGTGCCTGTGTCCGGGGAATGCGGGGAGGGCAGAGCATTATATTAACACTGGGCCATTCTACAAAGAGTAGAGCACTCTGGTCTCAGGGTCCAGTCACCAACCGGAGATACATACATGTACTCTATGTACTACAGCTAGAGCAGAGTAGAACATGTATCCCCCATATGATGCACCAGCGAGTGATGTACGTACACGGCCAGCAGACCAGTAACAATGTTTACCAAATACACTCCCCCATAGAAACAAATACACGCCATACCCGCTAGCTTCCACAATCCATCCATCCCACCGCGCAACAGCAACAGACAGGGTCCGCCCCCCCAATCCCAAACCCCCCCTACCACTCCCCACTAGCAGCATCTCCCACACCCACCCACCAACACCCACCAACACCCACCAACACCCACCAACCAACACCCACCAACCACCCATCCCATCCAAACCACCGCCCAACCCACAGCACACCACAATGCCCACCCACACCCACACCCACACCCACACCCACACCCACACCCACACCACCCCCCGCTCCCGCCTCAAAAAGCCGACCACCCCCGCACACACCCACATCTACCCGCGCGCGCAACAATCCGCCGCCACCGAGCTGCGCCTGCGGGGGCTGCACCCGCGCGACATCTGGCAGCAGACGGGCGTCCCGCCGGCGGCCCAGAAGGCCATTGTGCTGCACTACCTCGTCAAGAAGCGGGAGCGCGCGGAGAGGGGGTATAGGCGCTTGCGGGTGCTGTTTATGAAGATGGTACGAGGGGGTGCACTAGGGGGGAGGCGGTAGTATGGGTGTATGAAGACAGAGGGTGGACTGGTTAGTGGTAATCGATAGTCGAGCTACATAGTGGTGGTAGGAGTGGTTGATTTGATACCAATGAATGCGGGAGACTACGTGTGGTAATTGGCGTAGAGAGTGCTTGTAGACAGCAGCCGTTATATTTAATAAGACGCCTTACTGGTCTCAATCACGCATAATCAATAGTCCATGCAGCAAGCCACACACCCTGTTCTGAGCGAATGATAGGGCGCGAAACGCCATACGAGTGATACTACATGTCTCCGCACACAGAACCAGCTTCATTGATCAAACTTCATGTCAAAACGCATCATCGGATATTCATACACCGCCAGTCCCACGCACAGATCTTAGTCAATAGTGCCACGAGAAGAAAAAGAGAAAACCACAAAATCATTGATTATCTCGCCGTCACCCGTGCCAGCGCATCTTTATAGGGTAGTGAAAGAAAAAAGAACAAGAAAAAAAGATATAGAGGGAAACAGAAGAATAAGAAAGAAAACACGTATACGATTATTTTGATATCTACCTCCTCCCAGCCTTCAACTCCCTCAACCCATCCTTCACATCCACAATCCTGGCACTCACATCCTTCAACGCGTCGTTGAACTCCCTGAGCGTCCTGTTCAGCCTTCGGGCATCCTGTCTTCCCCCGACGCCTCCGGTCACGGCGGTCAGATCCTCCCCATTGATGCCCGCACCATTAGCGCCGATGGCTGCTTGTTGCTCTACACTTCGCAGGCTCGCCTCGACCTCCCCAACACTCTCCAAAAAGATGTGGAACTTCTTTTCCATGGCTCCAGCATGATTGTTGAAGTACGCGATCATGGGGCCGTTACTGGTGACCTCGTTCTCCTGCTCAGAGCGCTGGAAGTACTGAGTTCGCTGCTGTGGCGGGAGGCGGAAGAGGTCAAGGCAACGGATCGAGAGTGTTGCGGCCTCGTTGTCCGCAACATGGTGTTGTTGAGCAGCCTGAAGGGCAGATTGGTCGGCGGAGAGGAAAGACTTGGTAGTGGCGAGCTTATGTGCGAGGACTTTGGTATCGGAGGGGATAGTGTCGACGGTTGCGCGATGACTTGGGAAGAGAGCGCTGAGCGCTTGAGCCGCGCGTATCTGGTCTTGGATGTGTTTCCTAAGTGCGATAGCAACCCAGTCAATATGATATAGAATCTCAGAGGAATGGCAGTGGCTTACTCTAGCTGTTCAAGCTCCTGCTGGACACTCTCATGGCAATCGCCAAATCGTGTTGTGGGTGTGAGTCTGGTGATATCAACTGTTGCCGCTGGGACCGTGTTTTGCTGCTGCTGTCCTGGCTGCCCCTGTTGTTGTTGCTGCTGCTGCTGAGGTGCGGTAGGCACTCCTCCAAACAAGTTCGGCTTCGGCGCCGTACTCGATCCCAGCCCGAAAACACTTCCCGTGTTAAGAGTATTTCCGCCAGTAGCCGGAGCAGGTGAGCTACATCAAGCACCGCCAAGTCAGCTCAAACCTTCCCAACAACTTCACCAAATCCAGCCAGCAAGGAAATACCCACAAAAGCGACCCAGCCGGTTTTTGCGCCGGTGTCCCAAATAACCCACCGCCCGTGGTTGCTGCCGGAGCAGCACCACCAAACAGCCCTCCACCTGCAGCCGGAGCGCTAGTAGTAGCAGGCGCGGTGCCTCCAAATAATCCGCCGCTCGCAGGCGCAGAAGTAGTTGCCCCCCCACCAAATAGGCCGCCACCTGTAGCTGGCGCTGTTGCTGGCGCGGGAGAGAAGAGACCGCCTGCAGATGAGGCCGGGGCCTGTTGTGCTGCTCCAAAGAATCCGCCGCTGGCGGGGGCGGATGAGGTGGCAGGTGGGTTTGAGGTTGACGCGCCGCCGAAAAGTCCGCCTCCTGGAGTGGAGGTGGAGGTGAATAGTGAGGGGGTTTGCTGTGGTTGTGAGTTGGCGGTCCCACTGTGGATGGATACGGTGTTAGCATCAATCAATCTCTCGTGAGCGAGGGGCAGAGGGGGTGGTGGTTACAAAAGTGATGGTGTGGCCGGGGTGGACGTGTTGATGCGGCCGAAAAGAGACATGATGAAGGCGATGGGTACTTGGAAAGTGAAAATGAGGAATAGAATCCTGGAGAAGAGAGATGGATGCGTGGTGGTGATTTGTATCTCTTGTTTATGTGTGTTCTCTCTCCCGGACTCACTCTATTTTGGTGGGTCGCGAGATGTTCGTTGGTGTTGAGGCTCAACAGCAGACAGCTACGGGCTTGGCATGCAACAACAACAAAGACCTTGTCACATGCAGCCTTATCTACATCAGATAATGTGGAGTCCTGATCAAGCAATTTTTTTTTTTTTTGTTTAATTCATTAATTGCATGCAACCTTACAGTTATGGCAATAACCCCTGAACTACCCGTTCTCTTCCACCTCCTCTCGCGTGTATCTAACATAGGAAATATAAAAACACGAGTAAATCATCTTTTATCCTATTCCTCGTTTCCAGCATCTTTCAACGTTCCCCATCCGTACCCTAGTTCCTGATCAAGCATTATTATGGGTGCATTTCAGAGATAAATCTTAGAAATGTGGTTTGATTGATAGATGTCATCTTATCAAGTTCCACTTTCTGCTAGAAGCCACTATGTATTGTTGAACGGCTCTTCTCAAGGTTAGTTGGACGATCCAATATTGTTCGAGTGAGACAGCTGTTCTTTTTCTTTGTTAACTGCCAAAACTCACTCTTGTGCATGAATGATCACTCGTCACTCTACCTGGACGTCTCCGGCCCCTGAGATGTGGGATCGACGAGTAAGCAGGAGGGTTGATACATTGGTAAGATAGGAGGTCAATTTATAGTCATAGAATAGATGAGGATACAGCTAGAGTGTTAAGGCGCAACATAGTGCCTTTGGTTGCTCTACATAATTCCAGAGTTACAATGGACACATATACCGCTTGCTAGCAAGTAGTTTTTCTGCCGCGTCCAGACCTACTCCGGCCACCGTTATCTTAAAAAGTGATCCCTGTGATTGAGGGGGGTCCAATCTTAACGTCTAACGAACCATGAACTCCCCAGTGGCCTTACAACACCTTCATGCATTCTACATTCCCAAATCTCCATTGATCGCCTAATACACATACCCAAGTGGTATGCCAGAACACGAATCATGCACACATATATATTAGAGAAACCAAGGGTTAGCCTAGTGGATAGCCTATGTGTCTCCCTCTCTCTCTTAAAACTACACGTGGATACGCCATCTACTAACGCCTCTTACATTTGGGCTTTTGAGTCTCTCGAGAATAGGGTACTTTTAGTCCCTTAATCACAACCCGAGTGATATTCCATGATTGAAAATTGCCTATATCCAAGTGTTCTTTAAACACGAATTGGGCTCCAATTCGAGTCTTAAGCCTACAAATCGGGTCTGGGTATAAGGGTTGCCCAGATTCAGAGTCTTTACAGCAGGTTTCAGAATACTAGGCTCAAATTACTTTCACACACATACAGTGTGGTTCTTCGAACCTTAAAAAAATAGCCTACTTAGGAAGCCCGAGCCCGATATTCTCCCGAAAAAGTAATTTCAACTACCCAGATAGCCTATATAGGCTATCTTTCGAGAATTGTACTATGAGTTGAGAATGCTTTCTCAGCCTAGTATTATGAAACCCGCTGTAAAATGCGGCGAAAACTATTATTCACGGAATGCATTGGTTCCGCCCCTACCAACGACAGAACAGCGAATGACAGTTATCGCAGTCCTTCAGGTCGATCCGGGCCGATGACTACTGATTGACCCGTGCAGATACTGGTAGCTGAAAACTTGAGTTAGTTGACCTGTAGTCATAAACTGCGCAGTTTGAGCCCTTGAAAATATATCTTGACGATATCGACTGTGATGTGCCCATTCGATGGTTGCGTGGATCGCGATTCCAAAGATTTGCACTCCATCGAAGAAGCATATGAATTCCGTAGAAATCTTTTTTGTATCGAATAATGACTTGCACCTCCAATAATGGTGCTTCTTTTGGGCAACTAGTCCCCTTGGGCTAAACAAATAGTCTTGTTAGCCAATGGATTATGTTTCTCTACAGAAATAATCCTTGGTTCTTATGCTGGTAGGCGATGAGTTACTGGCGTTGCCAAGGGGAGCATCCTGGTACACATCCCAATAAATGCGCAGAGTATTTTTTGGTCCAATTGTAAGCACTCCATATGCAGATTTTGCCACTCTCTAGTCAATCTTTTGCTTCATGATACATCTACTTGCAATAGCCAGCAGAAATCTAGGCCTAGAGCACCTTTGCAAGTTGGCACTCGATTAATGTGAATGCTTGTATGCAACTGCAGGCATCTGTACTTCAAAAGAAGAGGGGGCGTCTTGCTAGTCACAGCTCATCAAACACCCGTGCTCGTCTTGATGGTGGAGGTTTCTTTAATTTCATGATATGTCTCGCTCAGTGTCGGTTCATGCAGCTTGAGTGGTTGATGATTGGTTTTAACTTTCAACACTGAAAGAGGCTAGCGCGCTAGTTAGTGGGCGCTAACAACCACTGTGGATATTGAGAGCATGCTCCTTCGCATCGGAGACATCAAATCCGTTTCGGATATCGGGAATGGTGGTTGACGCAGCTTTGACTTAATGACAAAAGCCGGCCTCCTTATATCGCAGTTACATACAGGCTACAACTGCTGAGAAATCGAGCACGAATCTAAGTGGAGTGGTTACGTGATTGAGACTTAGTGAGACCCTAGGCGTTAAGCCTGTGCCGTGCACATATAAGCGATAAGGTTGGCCACAGTTAGTCGGGCCAATCACTGGCTATCAGCTTCAGGTTTTCACATGTGTTGAGAAATTCAAGCCTCCGGGTAAAGAAATCGGACCCGGACCACTTCTAGGCCTCCCTGCGTTGCGGGGGGTTGCGGGGAGCACCTTGTGGATTGTTGGGATTAAGGTGAAGCTAGGTAGGACAAGTCAATGCTTCATCTCATCACGAGGTAAGGAAATTCCTCGGCGACAAGTTTTCATCCTCTGCTCTAGACTGAGATTTTACGAGAGGGTTCTTAAAGGATGATACTCTACTCTACCAGCGCAGTGACAACTCTGGGTGGAGGTTTTTCACTTCGTTCCCAGCACTGCCTAATTGTAGAGTGAACTTGAAATAAGGAACAAAAATCAAAATGCAAATCGACCTTACCAGCAAGGATGTACGGAGATGTAGGTACATACTCTAGATGTCCTGCAGGCCAGGTCTTACGAGCACGCGACTAAAACGAATGGCGAAGTCGTCATTCGCCTTTCCCATTGTGCGATAGGTGGGTTTGGTATAAAAAGGGCGTGCCCACCTACATCGTGCCCGACTTTGAGAATTTTCAGGTTCACAGGACTTCAAAACTTGTTCTTATTATCTTTTCCATTCAACTATCTTCACAATGGCACCAGGTGTGGTTGACGCCTCCAACGGCTTTAGTGTGGCCTCTGTTACCAAGTCTGTGAACGAGATTGCCTCTACCAAGCAAGCACCTCGCTTTACGCCTGGATATACCAAAGTCGAAGATGTGGAGGATTATGAGTATGAAGACCTCAAGCCCTCGTTCCCAGACGTCGCATGGCCTCCGCTAGAAGAGGTTCCATACAGCGACAAGGGACTTCTCGGCGACCCAGAATATAAAGACCTTCTTGCTGCGGCCACTGATTGTTTTGACTACACCCCGAAAATTGGGACGGAAATCCACGGCGTGCAGCTTAAGGACTTGAACGATGCGCAGAAAAACGATCTTGCTCGTTTGATTGCGTTTAGAGGTGTCGTTTTCTTCCGTGACCAGAAGGACTTCACTATTGAAGACCAATTGGCTCTTGGGAGATACTTTGGTACTTTGCATAAGCATGCAACTACTGCCATGCCTAAGAGGGCTGGGCTCGAGGAGGTCCACGTCGTATATACTGATGCAAAGAGTCTTGATCAGAGAGCGCTTTTTGCGCCATCCTATCTCTGGCATTCTGATGTTCGTAGTAGTTTTCCCCCTAAAAAAGAAAGATGCACTAATACATCTTTTTCCAGGTAACCTATGAGATCCAGCCTCCGTCATACACTTCTCTTAAACTTCTCAATGGACCCCCAAGAGGTGGCGGAGGTGACACCCTCTGGTCATCCCAATATGCTGCCTATGACTGCCTCTCTGCGTCTATGCAGAAGTATCTCGAGGGCCTCACAGCGCTGCACTCGGCCGAGGAACAGGCTGTTGGCTCTCGCGCTGCTGGAAGACCTGTTCGCCGTGAGGCTGTCATCACTGAGCACCCGCTTATCCGTACACACCCTGTTACTGGCTGGAAGAGCTTGTTTGTGAACCCTGGTTTTGTCAAGCAAATTGTTGGCGTTCCGAAGATGGAGAGCGACATGATCTTAGAATACCTTAACAACATCGTTGTTGCTACCCAGGAGTTGCATGCTAGGTTCAGATGGGAGGCTGACAGCGTTGCAATTTGGGACAACCGTTCCTGCGTATGTTGCATCCATTACTGATATTAGTATTTGTGACTTTCCTAACGTTGTGTTAGAACCATTCTGCCTCTTACGGATTTGCTCCCCACATGCGCCATGCGGTCCGTGTCACCCCTCACGGTGAGCGTCCAGTTTTCGACTCTAATGGAAAGTCCCAGGAGGAGGAGTTGAACGCGGCAACAGGCAGGCCGCAGGTCAACAAGAATGGTGCGAGACAGTCAAACTATAATGACTAGGCGCAAGAGATATTGTTGAAATCTCGTTCTTTCTTTCGTTTGTCGTTTTTTTGTGTCATGTTGGGTGCATCAGCGGGAGCGGTCCTTTAAAATTTTAAGCAGCAGTTTTTGTTTATAATAGGAATTAAGGTTTTGTCCAAAAAGGTTCATTTAATACCCTGCATCTAAGGCCTTTTGTACTTTTCGTACAACAATAGGTCATCATACATATATACAGTATATAACGGATAACTTTTAATAGTTGTGTCTAGTTCATCCTCTCTTACTTTGCCTTTTCGACAATGGTAGACCAATCTTTACTGATATACACTCGCCATTATCTCGCTCGAGATTATCTTCTGGGCCCGTTGCCCAAAGAACTTTGTCGTCTTAATCCCATCGACCCAATCACCGATATCCGTGAGCCCTTCGCTTTCTCACCTAGCGATGATCTTGACGATGTACCGCCAGACATCGATCAGCGAGAAAAACTTATACTCAACCACGAAACTGCAGTTTACCTCTCTTCTATTATAAGAGCTCCTGACGAAAACCGAAACCCTCTCTTAGAAGATTTCAGATGGTCTGTCAAGCTCCGTATCGAAGAGCCATCAGTACCAGAGCAAGAAAGAAAACGGGTACATAGAGTCAGTGAGGATGTCTTGGGGTTTAAGCACTACCCAGTAGGCAGCGGCGGAGACTCGGGAATTGAATGGGAAAGGGAGGTGAGATACCAGGTGCTGGATTATGTGCGAGGCATTGAGGCGGAAAAAATGGTCCTCGGATCTGAGGTTCTGGAGTTTCTACAGAGTATTCATAGGCCTGAGAAACCACCTTCTACTACGGACATGATACAACAGGAATTGTTGTACTGCAAGGTCCGCCTTATCTTCTATTTAATTTAGTTTAATCTAGTAGTGATACTAATTTCATATATCTAGCTTACAGCCAACAAATTCACGTCTCATGACCCCGCCACTTCTTCCTATATTACCTATCATCACCCCTTCACCTATAAAGCTCTCCTCGACTCTAGACCTCAAACCAATTGACGGCGGTGAAACCGCACTCCTAATCGCCGACCTTACCGCACCATTTATAGCTGCGGACTCACTCCTCGACCAACCATGTTCGGAGTCCCCTTCTAACTTCCTCCTGACAACACCACCGATGGAGTCTCCAGTTAGGAAGCTCCCACGCACAGAAACGCTACTCGTAGAAGCTCTCATTACACCCCCCGCATCCACGGTTAAGAAAGTCCGCTTTGCAGATCTGCCGCTGCCACCACGAATAAGCACACCCCCGGGGGAGGCGTTAGAGGATTCCCTGGATATGGAGATACTATCACGCGTGAGCCAAGAACTTGCTCAGGAACAGCTACAGGAAGCCGATTCCACGCTTAGGATGAATGTTCCGTTTGTTGGCCTCTCGTTACCAGTGCTGCCTTGGGATAAGGCAGGGGATGGACTAGAAAGATTAAGGGATCTTAAAACATGGGCAGGTATTGCATCAAGGAAATGGGGTGGAGCGGCGGGCGTGGGGGTAGACCTCTCATGGCGGCCCTTTGCAAGGAGTGCTGTCAAGGTTCCAACTGAGGATTTGGGGAATGGGGAGGTTGTAGATGAGGTTAGAATAATACCGGGTGATATAGAGGCTATAGAGAGTGGACTCGTAGAGGGCTTGAGGACTATAGGGCTTGCAAAGCATGGAGACAAGGAATATGAATTGGAGGCGGGGGTTTTCGCGGTGAAAACAGATATGGAGACTTTGCTGAGGAACAAGAAGCGGAAGGCGCCCAAGGTTCAGAAACTGACACAGTCTGTAGCAACTGGTAAAAATGGAGTTGGGACTATAAGGAAACTGGATGGGGAGGCGCCGCTATTTGCTAATCCTTTAGATACGTTCATGGCACTACGCTCACGAGTTTCAAAGAAGCCCAGATTATCCTCTGAAGAAGTACCGCGAACGATCGCGATACAAGGAGCTCAGGAGCAAGAAAAGATTCCATCAAGAAATATAGCCACGCCTGCTCCAATAACTGAAGCTCCTGCCTTCCCTCGGCCTCAGATTCACCTTCCATCATCTCCTGGTGTTTTCATCGCCTCGACTACTCTTCTTTCTCAAAGACGTCTTTTCCGCCTAATACGTGATCTCTACCCTACTGCAACCGTCATAGAACGGGACTTCACGGTTCCCATCATTGACCATTTTGCTGGCATTCCGTCTTCTCACAAAGACTCGGTAGAAGCGGACTTGATACTTTCCACATTCTGTGGCCTCATATTTACAAGCCTACAGAAGATCCGACAGGCTCCAATGCCGGGACAGGTTCTGAACACAACCAGACAACGTGTGTTAGATGTTTCTCTGCTATATGAGCGGCTCTTTGTGATAGTTCTTGGTACTATATACGGGAGGAGCGACTCAGAAACTATCGCAGGCTTCGTTGGATTTGCGGCTAGTCTACGGGCGGGCGTGAATATACGGGTTTTGAGAGAAGACGATGATGTGGTTGCGAGATGGGTGGTATCAACGATGATCAAGGAGGGTGATGAAGGAAAACTGTTGGAGGATGAAACTCTATGGGAAAGGTTTTTAAGAAAAGCTGGATTTAACGCATTTGCTGCACAGGTTGTATTGAGACATTGCAGAGATGGTGGGTTAAGGGCGTTCTTGTGCATGAGCAGTGATGAGAAACGGATGGCTTTCAGTGGGGTTGTAGGTGAGAGAGTGATGGAGAGGGTGCTAGAGAGGCTGGAGAGTGAGTGGGATACTAACACGTAGGATCGAGACATATGTTATGTAGTTAAGCCCTCTTTCCTTTTCACATATATGTGTGATGGCAAGATCCATTTCACTCAAAAAAGGTATTAGAAATATGATAATTATTGCCTTAAGAGTTACATCTCACTTTCTCTCTATTATATTGAGGTAATCATACTCTTATCCCAAGGAATACATGTAGTTATAAAGCACGAGTATGGGCTGTACCCGGTGTTGTTTCTTAGTCATTGACCTACACACCTACATAGATCTATCACATGTCTTGAGCTCAAAATTTAGGTATATAAGCATCCATGGCCAATGCGGTTACTAGTTCCACTGCGCATATGGGCGGGGGAATATCGGGATAGACTGTAAGTTTAATTGTTTGCAATCTAGAGCTAAGACTAACTCTTAATCCTTCTCTCTTATTCATTTCTGACTATCATCGCTCCAACAATTTTTAAATCTCTGCCGTACATTCGATCGACTGTGGCTCCAACATAGGTCTTCTGCATATGAAGTTCTATGTTTCTCACTGCCTCAAATTATCAAGTTAAGCTCAGCGATCAATGTCCATAACATCAGCCCTCTCCAATTCCTTCAGAACTGTTTCAAGCTCCACCAACTCGATCCTAACAGCCGCCAAATCACACTCCAAATCATCCAGCCCCCTATACGCACGCCGTATCTTACTCGCAGTTCCACTTTCTACCCTCTCTGCTTCCTTCCAAAGATGAAATCTGTTATTAGCCTGCTCAAAAATACGGGCCCCCCTTTCTCCAAAAAGATCATGATCAGTCATAGTAACGGTACCGGTTATACGCATTCTGTCTGCTACACGGAATGTTGCTTCAGCGTGTTGAATATTCAGGTTATTAGCCTGCTGCTGATACTCTAGATACAGGCAGTATCGGGCTAGGTCATCGTAAGATGCCTCTAAATCCTCTATTTTCTGCTGTAGCTCTTTCATTCGGAGCTTGATGTAGTACTGGTGCTTTGCGGATCGAAGTTCGGTAGGTTTTGACATTTTTGTAATGTTGGTATTGGTAGAAGTTGATTTTGGTACAGTACACAGCTCATGTAAAAGAGGCGTAGATAAAGTATTTATGCAGATTTACATAATTTTCAATATGAAGGCTTTGAATGTTGAAGTAGCAGAGGTTCTCAAGAACATAATACTTTTAAATTTTCAAGTACTCGAGCTCAGTACACATTTGAATCCACAAATTATCTGTGAAAATTATTAAGAATTAAGCCCTAAATACGGCAAATAAGGAATCTACCTACAAAACACTATCTATATGTATGAAAGAAATCGATAAAATAATGAATTAAACAAAAACAAAAAAATCGATAAAAAGCGAAAGAAACCCTAACCCACAACCGAATGCCCTCACCGTGGTTTCGCCGGCCCCGTCCCAAAAGTTGGGTGGGGGAACCGGAAGAGCGTACTTTTGGGGGTAGCCCCGGCTGGTGGCTACGGAATTTCAAAGAGGTGGAGAGGAAATTGCATATCTGTATGAATTCAGGACCTACTAAGACCAGAATAGTAATTTTAGCGGCTATTAAAATATGCCAATACTTCATATTTGACACTTTGATTCGAAATTATGCGAGGAGGGATTAAACAGCTCTGGGTAGAGTACATATGTCATGAAAAAATGTAGTTGACTCAAAATAAACTTCGCTATCTTTGCAATTCAGAATTCAGAGGAGAACCATAGTTATACTTATACTTTGCTCTCTTGAGGCCTTATCCCATGTGGAGAGGGGATAAAAGAGAACATGCCTCTCACCCCGAAGCACACGCAGCCTTTCATCACTCATAAAAGCTACTATATACTATTCCTTAAATGTTGGAAATTTACCAAGATGTCGATATCCACATACATGTGAGATGTCTAGACTGACTACATGTATCTTTAAGCTTTTCGGGTCGAGTGTCGTGCGCGTGATTTGTGGTCGAGAAAGGAACTTTAAGCTTATTTCACTGACGAGGCCGATCGCCCGTTGTACATGTGTTCTTACAAAGCGGATAACTTGACAGGTTGTGTGTGTAGCTACATTTATGCACACTGAGCAAGCAATCATATGGTATCACTCGGTTCGTCAATAATCCGGCATTGAAAGGAATAGACCCCTAAAGGCGACAAATGATAGAATGACCTATTTATGTAATAGATAACACATCTGTATGGCTTTTTATAAACATAGATTTGAAAGGACAAAGTGTTGACATGATGTCTTTGGCGTTATCATAAACCCAGCCTTATATAATGTAACCCTAATTCGTATGGAATTTTTTGCTATCTCAACTACCACAGTAATTCGCCTCAGCGGACGGTTACACAGACGTCAAAGTTGCCTTTTACAGCGCGGATGAGGGAAGGTTAGGACAGCTTTTGCAAGACAAATGACTAGAACAAGTAATTCCAACGTCAATGTGAGTGTCCGCTGAGACGAATTACTGCGGTACGTGAGCGATGGTATGTGTATATAACTGGTTATATGTTACTGGTGATTTATATCTACGGAACATGCTCCGGAACTTAGTTTGGGCGCGGTCTCGCTATACGTTGGAGGTACCGGCCACAAGTCATAAATAGGTTCACCCAGTGAGGAAGTACAATTAAATGTAATATCGCTAAGCTCAGGTCTTAATAGAGATATTAGGGGGTATGAATTAAGGCTTATAAGGGACATATACCTGGGAATTGACCAATTAACGGGAATCCGAGAGTCCGAATTTATCGAGACTAGTAGTACACACTGTTATGCCATGAAACTTTGGATGCATGGAAATTCTGTTTATGATCATCTCAAACGTTACTAGACATGTGAAACTAACCAAAGAAATCTAGAATCCCATCAAGGAAGAAAGAAAAAAAAGAACATGAATAAAATCTAGCCCACTACTCAAATCCATCCATTGCCTTTGAATACTTGTCTCTGCAGGCATCCTTGCTCAAATCCTCGTAATCACATACGGTTTGAAACATCCACAAGCCTTGCCACTTTCTCTCGGCATTAACTGGGAACTGCTCTGAATACTTATCGACCGCATGAACACACGCATACGCAAACAAAAAACAGAAATGAACATCATGGTGATTTTCGCAGTTCCTCTGGGTGAGAATACAAATCTCAGTTCCCCTTCCCTTTTTACTCATAGGCTTGGCCTCGGGAGTGGAGGAGGCGACTGAAGCAGTGGTTCGGCTGGCATGCTTGTTGACATTGCGTTTTTGAATCGTATCTTCTCCGTTGGAGCGGAGAGAAAGGCTGCGTTTTGCAGGGGGGAAGGATCCACGGCATGCTGTTCCAGAACCACATTGCCTACACTGCTCCTGTGCTTTTGTGCAGTAATTCTCAAATTGGGTGCAGCCTTTATGACCAGTTGGTGGAGCGGTGTTGTAGCAATCATTCACTTGTTTCCAACAGTTCCCACAAGACTATTTAATGATTAGCCAATGTCTTTTAAAACCGATATTGACTGGAAAGAGACCAACGTACTTCCCAACAGCCTTGCTCATTTTTATACTCAGGCAAATCGGCTGAACACCAATCTGCGTTACTGACTCGGCAGGACGTTGGGTTTTGCTGTTGAAATACGTGGGGAACCCTTGGACCGCCACCAGCGTTGGTTACCACATATGGTGCTGGACCTGGAATAGAATAAGATGTTGGCTTCATGTTATTCCAGTAGTCGAAGTGAACCCCCGGGTGGTTTGCATTAGTATGTCCAGGGATGGAAACTCCCTGAGGACGTGCATTACCACCGGTAGAGTAAACCTTAGCCTGGACACATCTAAACTATAGTTAGTAGAGTAAAAAATAAGCTAAGATTGAGTGAACTTACCCAATGTACCACTGAGCACCACCGATGTTTTGCTAATAAGAAGACCTCGATTAGTCTAGATAATTAATTTGGGATATAGTTGTATACTTACAGCTTGGTGCAAAGCAAGATGTTCAGCACGTATAAGATAATAACCACTGTTTGATGATTAGCGGGGGATTTTAAACCCAGATACGGTAATAGTCATCATAGAGAACTTACCCAGCAAGATCTTTTGGAATGGTGACAGTCATCTTTCCACCAGAGGCTCTCAGTCTCTCAGTACAAAACTCGCCATTTCTGAATCCATCATGCCAAATCTTGAACCAACCAGGGCCATTTGCCTGGTCAGCAAAAGAATTTACACTCTTCATGTAAACAGCGCAGGGACCTAGTGATGTTAACAAAGCAAATTCTAATAGAAGTTTTGGGAAGTAGGAAAAATGCACAAACCTTGATGAGAATCAGCAATCGGTGCATTTTGAGATCCATCCGGCCAGGTACGCCACTGGAGAGTCACAGGTTGCCCTGCATCAATGGAAACACCCTTTCTGACCGGATTCAAGCCATTGACATTACATGCCATGTCAGTGGACTGGACATTGACAACCGGGTCGGTGTTTGGTGGGACACGCATGGAATTTCCATCACCTTGGTCGACTCCCCCAACGATGATGTTGGTGAGCATGTGATGAGCATTGGTACTGCTCATCAATCCCAAGAAACCGAGAGCTTGAAGAAAGGTGGAGAGAAGCATTTTTAAATTTTCTCGATGTGATCGATATCACGATCGTGGATGGAGAATGGATTGAGCTGTGAAGAACAAATGGTTAAGGAATGTACTTGTCAATGTTGGTCAACAACAAAAGACTAAGAGAAAATAGTGTGATAAGGATTACAGAAAGAGGTGGAATAATGGAGGCGGGGTAGCTAAGTATTTATTCCCGAAAGGATAGCGGATGGACGACACTGCACATACATAGAAAGTATGGCAGGCCCAAGATTTTACCTTATCCTCGGGCTAGGGCCCCCTTCTTCAAACTATGAGCCTCACTCTCGCTTAGCAGAACCGTTATACATTATATATTTGATGGATGAACAGATAGAACCTCCTGTTGCACGGTGTAAATGCAGTGCCCCACTCTTGATGCAGGCACCCGTCTGCTCGTGATGCCTGCAATCTTGGTGCGGGGACAGGAGTTTATTGTCGTGTGATGAACAAAGAAAAGCAATAATTATCGCGGGGACGGGATGGCTACAGTCTAGTATGCAGCTATTCGGCAAATATACATCCTGTCAGTGGCTCTCATGTTGTCGAGTGACACAGTATGATGCAGGTCCCATATCAAAACTGAACCTGTATCATGCATGCTCGTTCACCGTTATAATAGATCTTGAGATAATTGAGATACAATTACGAGTATTCGAAACAGAGAAGAAGGTTGGTACTGTACTAGCTCGACTATATACATGTGCCTACTATATCTTCAGTACCTTTTTGACCAATAGCCACTCCGATTGTTTCATCCTTTTCCTTATCGTATCTGTCAGCAGTGTTATACTCCTTATCGCCTGTATCCTCTTGATCATGGCTCAGGGGCGATAGTGCCCAAATCTTTAGACTGTTGTCCCATCCATTCCCCTCCTCCCCCTCCCCCTCATCCTCTCCAAGGGCCTCTGGCTTTCTCGAGCCCGAGCAGGTTGCCAAAACTGCTCCTCCAGGATGCACTACCGCGCTACTCACCACATCATTATGTGCATGCCATTCGCAGTGCGCAGTGCCGATATGTGAATCCTCTCTACTATGCCCTGCCTCCCAGATTCTCACTTTTCCATCGATTCCCCCGCCTACCACTTCACCACGCAAGGCATAGGCCACATCAATTCCGACCCTCTGATTGGTCCCTGCTCGCCTACCTCTAAAACTCTCGACCTTTTCTCCAGCAACCCTAATATCATACACGGAAATTACCTCGCTTTTTCTCTCTGCAATATAAAGATACCTTTCACACTGACTCCATACCAACTGCGTGACTCCTGCGCCATCACCCCCGCCCAATCCAAATACACCAATTGTCTCTCCCGTTCCCTCCGCTGAATATAAACCCACCTGTCTTCCAAATGTTCCAGCCGCTAAGACACCAGTCCCATCAGAGTTTCCGGGACATACTGCCAGGGCAGATATGATACCCTTCATTGTGTGTCCAGTCTGAACACTCCTTCTGGTAGGTATTGTCTTCAATGCAACCACTGGCCCCTCTCCATTGCGATGTATATCAAAGAACGATATCTGCGATGTGATCCCTGCAATAAACCGGTTCGGGTTCGACGGGGCGAAAAGAAGTGATGCTGGGGTGTGATATTTCTCCGTCATTGGATCGATCAGGGGATAGCTTGCGCGTGTGGTAGGTGTAAGCATATCATAGAGTTGTATTGGGTGATCGCGTGAAGATGCGATGAAACAGCACGTAGATGGTGTGGATAGCTGCATATATGGATATATAGCCGCCGCATATACAGGCTCTGCGGTGCGAATTGAAGAGAATGGTTCGAGTTGTTTAGGGGATTCTGATGGCTCAAGGAGGTCCGCAGGACTAATTGGGCTGTTAGTAAGATTACTGCAAATAAGAGGAGAGTAGCATACACTATCCATGTTCGCAGCTCATTATCTTCACTAGAAGTAAGTATACACGTACCATCCGGAGACCTCTTGAATAGTTAGTATCTACAGTTACTAGCTAGCTGGCGGACCCGTACTATACCATTGCGCGCTTCTAAACAGATTACTCTCCCTCCCGCCTCCTACTGCGCCTTGCCTCCCTCCAATCCGGCAGTTGTAGGTTTCTCCAGTTGAGGCGACAAGTTTTGGCGGCGTTAATAAAGACATTTTGGTGCTACGATGTTTGCTACAAATGTAACTTGGTATTTGTCGACGTTGGTAGTAGAGGGGACTAGTGCGATTGTGAGGCTCAAAAGCTTATCTATTGGCTACCGCTGTCCTAAACTGCATGTGGTTCTGGCTACAAGCCACTGCTTGGCGTACACGCCTCTCTTTCTAGTTCTGGTTGCGACACAGAGGAGCTCGTAGTAGTCACGAGGAGTATTTCTCTCAGTCTATTATTATTATCTATCTATTATTATCTATTATCTATTATGTACTAGATTAACGATTTTCTGAACGCTTGGGCATATGATTGGTCAAGAGCACGGAACCCTAGCCCTGCATAGCAACCGCCCACAGGATGGTATTGGAGGTGGAATTAACTGGAGATGGCATCAACTGGAGCTGGAATTAATTGGAGGCGGCATTGGAATTGGTACCTTATTATTAACTGAAGGAACTAGGTGGACATTTACTGGAGCTGGCAATGAGCGACTATGTTCAACAGCGGGAGCTGGCTATGGCTAAGGGAAATATTAATTAACTACTGGAGCTGGCCAACTACTATGGGTGAGCAAGTGCGTGGACTGGAGGTGGGAAATACTGTACGGCGGTGGGAGAGATCTCGCGGTCGCGAGGTGGCACACCCCTAATTCAATGCACTATATCGCTGTGGGTGGTGGAGTTTCTGGAATTTGATAGGGAACTTGAAGTACATGTATGTATGTAATTCATGTACCTATTGTGCTCCATGTACTCGTATCTTCCTGACGTTTTTGAACTGGGCCACTATTGCATACACCAAAAATCATCAGCTTGGCGCATTTTTGTCCACAAAGGTCAGGAAAATACGAGTACTCTATGTAGATACCTGTACTGATCGGTAATACATATAATTTGTGGATGTTATTGGCTTAATTACTTGCTCTATCTGTCTGAACTTATCTACGCGGTCTATCACCCCAACCTGCATGCCAATATGTACCTACATGTGGTCACATACCCGTAGATGCTCCAGATGTACCCTACAACGGGTACTAAACCGTACGAGTATTTCTCCATTTTCAATGGCCATTATTAGAAAATATTTGTCCCAATAGATAAACCACATAGCTGCGATAGATCTCCGGCGGTATCTCACCGGTAAAGTGTCCGAGTAGAACGGCAAAGTGCAACCCCTAGCCCCAGATTAAGAAGGTCCCGTAAACGCGCAAGTGGCATGAGGTATGTAGCTACTGGGATCTAACCCCAGATCTCCCCTCCTGATAAGAGACCGGTTTAACAAGTTGATATTCGTGACGATATCAGCCCCCCATTCGACTTTCGACTTCTGAAACGACAGTCTATTCCCGAGCCTAAGCCGGGACGAAGCGCGAGCACACTCCCATAGTAACCCCCACACCGTATTACGTTACCCAGTATATATATTGCGCCATCTCAAAAAATGCCCACTGTAACTCCCTTCAAACCGTTGTGGTGCGAACTGTGGTATTGGAAGGCCCCGGGGTTGTTTATTTTATTCTTCCCTTTCAAATTATTTGAGTCTCTTCTGCGGTTTCCGAAAGTTGGGTTCGGAGACGTTTCCATATCTGGACGTGGGTCTCAGTATTGGTGAACGGGTCTCTTGATGATTAGATCGCGACACGACGTCCCCTTTCCAACGAAACTCTCAACCCCTCAATCTTACTTGACTGCCGTCATTTCAATTCACGTAAATATTCATGATGAGTCCAGACAGCGAAAAGGCAATAGAGGGACAACGAGTGGTGGGAGACACAAAAGCTGTATCTGAAACAGGGTCAAGGCATGGCGATTCTCACGGATCGCCGCTACATCGGAAGTTAAAGTCGAGGCATTTGCAGATGATTGGTAAAGTGTTCCAATGTTTTTGGATTATTATGACTGTCGCGTAACTATACTAATCATTATCCTGTTACAGCTATCGGGGGTATGTAACTCATGTTTTTCAATACCTCAAATAAGTTATGATGTATAGCACATTCGAATCCTAGAACCGGGTCGCATACACTTGTAATTTAAGAGTTAAATTATTGACACCCGTCAAGGAATCATCGGACCAGGCCTTCTCGTGGGCTCCGGAAACGCGCTTCATCTTGCAGGTCCCGCTGGAATTTTAATTTCCTTTGCTCTCGTCGGTTTAATCGTCTTTTTTGTAATGCATGTACTCTCCATATATGTGGTTGTTATTGACATCGTTCAGTTTCACTACTAACATCAAGCTGCACAGGCAATCACTCGGCGAGCTCGCAACACTCATTCCCGTAACCGGCTCCTTTGTCGAATACGCTGAGCGCTTCGTCGATGACTCTCTCGCATTCGCCCTCGGGTGGGGATATTGGTATCTCTGGGTTACTGTTCTTGCTAATGAATATAATGCGATTTCCCTCGTTGTGATGTACTGGTCCGACGTCGTTCCACAATGGGCGTGGATCCTAATGTTTTGGGTGTTATTTTTATCTTTATCTATGCTAGGGGTTTTGGCATACGGGGAGGTGGAGTTTTGGTTAAGTCTGATTAAAGTCATCTCGATAACGATATTCTTTATTGTTGCAATCGTGATATCGGCGGGTGGGATTGGGCCGCAGAAGATTGGGTTCAAGTATTGGAATGACCCGGGAGCCTTTGCGGATGGAATAAATGGTGTTGCAAGGACCTTCGTCATTGCCGGTACACTATATGCCGGCACGGAGATGGTGGGTATTACAGCGGGAGAGGCTGGAAATCCAGGGAGAGCCGTTCCAAGAGCCATTAGGCAGGTTTTCTGGAGGATCTTGATCGTGAGTCAACCGCAGGAGCCGCTAGCTTGAATCATTACTAAAGACATGATAGTTTTACGTGGGGATGATGTTCTTTATTGGCATTTTAATGCCTTACGATGACCCCCGCCTTCTATCATCTACCTCCCGCACCGCCCGCTCGCCTCTCACTATTGCCCTTGATAGTGCTGGAATCCACGTCGGCGCTCACCTCATCAATGCTCTTATCGTCATCTCTGTAATCTCCGCAGGCAACTCATCGCTTTATGTCGCCTCCAGAACCATTTTATTCATGGCCAGCACCGGAAAAGCACCCAAAATCTTCTCCAAAGTTGATAAACGCGGCGTTCCCTGGGCAGCACTCTTGTTATCGAATCTTGGGGCCTGTATATCATTTTTATCGCTCTCTGGGAGCGCTGGCGAGCTCTATGAGGCGCTTATAACGCTTAGTGGGTTGTCAACATTTATGGTGTGGGCGACGATTATGTTTGTGCATATCCGCTTCCGACGGGCGATGGTGGCGCAAGGGCAGAGCATTGAAGCACTGCCATTTCAGGCCGCTTGGTACCCATATGGTGCTTATGCTGCGTTGGGGGCCAACATTTTCTTAATATTTTTCCAGGGTTTGTATCCCTCTTTCGGCTGGTCCGCGAAGTTAGGCTAATGGTGGATGTTAATTAGGGTATACTGCATTCTTGAACCCATTCAGCGCCAAAGATTTTGTAATAAACTACATTCTCCTGCCAGTGTCAGTGATATTTTTTGTTGTGTACAAGTTCTGGAATAAGACCAAGTGGGTGCGGTTGGAGGATATGGATCTGTACACTGGGAGAAGAGCGGATGATACGGTAGTTCTCGAAGGAGTAGAGGTACCGTGGTGGACTAAAGTAAGAAGATCCTTGGTCGGGTAATAATATGGTATAGGTCTTGGATAATTATGGGCTTTTATCGTTGTTGGTTCGGCGTTGAGTATGTTTTTTCTTTTTGCTGGAATTAGAGATTCGAGCTAGCTTGTACAAACAAGGATTAGAGCACTGTTTTTGATTTTAGTTCAGAAGTTTGGGGGATATTGTATGTATACAATTATGAAGCGAAATTTCTAACGTTCGGATTTTGCATCATGTTTCCCGGGTGACGGTATATGATTCATTAAAATTACAATAAGAGCGTTCCGAAATTCTATAATTTTGGTGATCATGCGGTATAACGGCCACCAGATATATAGAGACCAATCACTCTGCCTATAGCCATAAGATGAGTTTGAGGTGTACTATACTTTAAGCCCCGAGAATTCTTGCCCGCAACATTGTCGGCCTCATAGAATTTCTCAGGACTCAGTTACTTAACGCGCGTATACATAACAGCGGATATAAGTCACCGGTAGGCATTTTTTTTGTTATTTTCAATAGATACCCAGCTACATCATATCTCCAAGACCGTCGATTTTTGAGAGGAATAAGGTGCTTATACTGAATATGAATATATTACACTGAAGCTTGCACGATCGCGCTACTTACATATGTACCAGAGATCCCAGTATCCATAAAGGCTAGAAGAAGTCGGAGTATGGAGTGAGAGATTCGGGTATCCCTACTACATAATTCCCCTTCTACTTCGAGTGATGCCTTATGTCTACGACCCGGACCACCCGAGTGATATTCCATGTATTGCGAGTTGCCAAAATCAACCGAACTTCCCAAATACTTTCAATTGAGCCTATATTGAAACCAGAGATAATAGAGTCATAGAAAATTACAGATATAACACCTCTTGACTTTTGCAGCTGTGGTCATGCTGCAAGGCGATTTTGAAGTTGCATTCCCATACAAAATATTTTAATTGTAACGCAGCGCCCAGTTAATCTTGGCAACCCACAATACTTGCATCATACCTCCCGAGTGACGGTATATGATTCACAAATACTAAGGTCATAGCTTAGTCACGTACCCATCCCGTACTTGCAGCAATAAGCAGATGGGTTGGGGACGAGCCTAGTTATAGCTCTACTTGTAGGGCACCGTTAACAGTTATGTATACAATAGAGGTTAAGGATGTTGTGGTGTTAGTATGACGCTAAGGTAAAGCTAGTAGAGTATGTACATGTATTTAATGAGGTTCCCTCCAAACCTCCCAATAGAATCATCATCCACGATACTTCTGCCGAAATCCCTCCCACACTACGTACCTACCGGAGCTGTGATAGGTCAGGAAATGACCTAACCTCCGCAACTTCTTATTCGGGCCAATATATTAACCATAACCTTTAATTAAATATATTCAGAATCAAAATCGGAATAAACCATGCTCAACATCTCCAAGCCTTTCCCAGATTCCAGGCCGGCCAGGTCTACCTTTATGGCTATCCATTACCACGAACAAACGAATAGACCAACCGCACATAAACCACCTTGTACCAACTTTAACGAAGTCTGCACTTTGCACCTCAAAGTGCAACATCCCCCATCCTCGCCAATCCCTACCCTTTCCCGGCCATCCCTCCGCACACTCTACGACTCCATACACCGAGTTACATCTCAAATTACCACAAACTCAAAATACACCGAACTCCCGTCGCCAAACCCCCACCCCCCCCAACTCTCCATCTCATCACATCATACCGTACCGCCCGCCCACCGATCACCATTCCCTCTCCCTCCCTCCCCTTCCATCCATTCAGCCCTACTACATGCCACTAGCTCGCCCTACTTACCTTAGGCTCCCTGCCCTGCCCTGCCCTGCCCTCCCCTGCCCCCTCCCCTCCCCTCCCACCCGCGCATCTTGGCAGCCCTCCGTCCACGCGTCCACACAAAAACAAAAACCCCCCAACCAAACCAAACCAAACCAAACTCCCTACATACGCCCCCAAAAAAAATTTCGTTCCAAATTCCCCCAACCAGACCGGTAACCCCGCACGCGCGCAGGAAAAAAAAAAACATTCTCCCCGACAAAACGAACTTGGGGCGTAAAAGGATAAGAGTGAGAACCCATGTCGGAGAACGATCTGATAAGGAAATTCCAGTCCGAAGAATCATTTCCCCCTCCCTCGTACCCTTTCCCATCCCTCCGGCGGCACCCCCGAGATGACCGGCCAACCAACAACAACGACTACTACAACTAATATTAGGGAGTTCGCGACAACGTTTTCTTTCCGTGGCTACTAACTCTACATGTTCAAATTTTTTTTCACGGCACAGGGACAGGTTGGCTGGTTGACTGATTGGCTGGCTGACTTGACTTTACACAAAACTGCTCTTAAACACAACACTCACAGAAAAAAAGAGGAAATAAAATAAAAACGAACACCAAAAACCCCGCGCGTGCCCCATACAAGCATCCACAAAACCAATCAACCAACCAACCAACCGAACCGAACCCCGTCCTCTGAGATGAGTATGAATGTCTTCTTTTCCCCCCTCAAAATATGATGAATAAAATAGAGAAGGTTCCGGAAAAGTGAAAAAAAAGAGCTTTACAGAAAAGCAAAGCAAAGCGAAACCAAACAAGCAAACAAACAGAACCTTCTCCAACGGCGCAATAGAAACCGAAGTAGAAGGTAGAAATTTGAATAAGTAGAAAAGAAGGGAAAAAAACGATAAATCCCTAGAAACATGCATATCGAGGAGAAGAGAAATATAAAAAGAGTAATATAATGAATAAAAGGAGGCGGGAAACACAGTATACTCCATACAAATCCCAAGATACCTCCCCGCCTCATATCTCTCTCTCCTTCTTCTTTCTTTCCTTACACCAACACCGCCGTGGCATTCCCGGCGTTATCGTCATTGCCGATGATGCCATTGATCATCTTCTCTCCGCCCCCGAGCTTCTGGAGCTCTCGTTCGCAGCCCTCGAGTTCCTCCTTGATGCGCTTGCTCTCGCGCTCCAAGTCGTGGCGTCGCTGTAGGAGGATGGCTCTCCTCTGCTCGTCCGTCAGCTCCGCCATTGTGCCTGCGCCGAGGGCGAGAAGGCTAGGTTCAATTGGCACGTCGCCCATGTTTAACTGGCTTCTTGGGTTGAGGATGGAGTTGATTGAGTGCAGTCGTTGGTCAGAGGTAAGGTTATCTGCCTCCGCAATGGACAGGCTTCTTTTTCGCTGGTTGTGGGGGGGCTGTGGGCTGTCTGTGATGTTGTTGTTATTGTTATGGGGAGATAATGGGGTCAGTGAAGAGGAGTCTTGATGATTGTGATGGTGAGTAGAGGAGGAAGAGTTCATGGAAGGGGCGACGGGAGCTCCATTATTAACGTTTCCCGCCGTCCCTCCTCCTCCTCCTCCGCCACCACCACCTCCTCCTCCTTCAGCAGCTGCTGCTGCTGCTGCTGGGCTCCTAAAACTCGTTGTAAAGTCGATTGGCGGTGGGAAATGCCTTGGCTGCTGCTGCTGCTGGCCAAGATGCGGTAGTTGTCTCAGGGCGTTCCCGCCAGAGTCCATCATCTCCGTGTCATCGTCTGATCCGTTATTAAGGCCTACGATCGTTCGTTTCGTGTCAGTGCATTGAACCAACTGTACATTACATCTATATGCTACCCTTGAGATCTTAGGCGGGGGAGGAGATGAAAGGGGGAAGGGAGGGGGGGGGGTGGTAGGGAAGGGGGGGGAAGTGTGTTAGTAAGAGTAGCCTACACATACACTCTACATACCTGTAAGTGTGTTTTGAGCCGGTGCCTGCTGTTGCTGCTGTTGCGTATGGGCGTTATCAATCCCGACCAACCCTCCTCCTCCCTGCTGCACGGGAGCTGGTGCTGTTGCTGCTGGACTAGAGGCAAAGTTTCCATTTGCAGGGGCCACTACCCGTTTCCGCCGTTTGATGATACTCTTTTTCATGGCCTCGGGCCGATGGACGCCGTGGAGCTTGTGGTAGAGCCCTGTGGTGGTAAAATCAGCGTCATGTTTTTTCTTTTTTGTGTTTTGCCAATTGCAAGCCAAAAATGTTCCCGCAAATTGAAACTTGAAGTGAATCAAAAACACCCGACTATCTCCCGAGTGTCGTAATAGCAAAGAAAAAAAAGAAAAAAAGAGAAAATCTCCCCAATGTAAATTAGTGGGACGGAGGGAGCGAGGGGGTGTGGAGAAATCCCTCGGGCAAGGGCAATATAGAGATAGGATTGGTATGTATATTGGGTATTATGTATGGCATCCATGCATCAGGCCTGGGGAGGGAGAAAGGGAGGGGGGCTTATCAATCATATCATATCAGATGATCGAAGGAAACAGGCATGACAGGGGACGAGGGAGGGAGGGAGGGCGCTAGGCTACGGTGTCACACTGCAGGATTCAAACACAATCGACAGGGTCTCGGCTAAACAGTCCCTCCCGACGACGACCATCGTACGATCTGATAAGGGAGAGCTCTCTCACTCGGGGAAAACTGATTGGACCACAGCCCAACAACAATGATAATAATAATAATAATGAACTCACCACAGGCATTGCAGATAGTATGACCGCTTTCGTCTCGGCGCCATAACGGTGTTATTGTTGTACCGCAGTTCTGGCAAGCTACCACTACTGTTGTATTATTCGACGGCGGTGAGCCTGTCCTGGCCGGCTGTTGTTGCTGCTGCTGCTGCTGTTGTTGCTGCTGTTGCTGCTGCTGCTGTTGTATTGGTGCCTGCTGCTGCTGCTGGGGGGCCGGCGGAGGCGAAGGAGCATTCGTCAGTGCCGGGTCCGTCGGGACACCTGCAGCGCCACCACCTCCACCACCTCCACCAGCTCCTCCACCTCCGGCTCCCCCTCCCCCTCCACACCCTCCCCCTCCCTCTCCTGCTCCATTTGCTACGCCGACCGTGAACTGCGCAGCCTTGCTCACGCGGTTGTTGAATGCCGGGCAGCCATTGCAGCCCTCTGCCCCGCCTGTGCCGTTGCATCTTCCCCGCCCGGACACGTCCCGGAGACGACGTGGTCGGCGGCGACGTAGGTGGCCCCGAGCGAGGACTGTACATTGCCGACGGTGGAGCCGTGCGGTGGGCGCTTGAGGTTCGTGGGGCGGGCCTGGTTCCGCGCCTTCAGGTAGAGGCCGCAGGCGTTGCAGATTGTCTGGCCGTCGGGCGCGCGGCGCCAGAGCGGTGTACGTGTAGTGCGGCAATTACTGTAGGCAGAGAAGAACGAAGAAAAAAAATAGTAAACCGAGTTAGTCAAACAAAACTCCCCCAAAAAGTAGAAGTGGGAAAAAAACAAAAGTGCAAAACATGGGAAAAAAGTGCAACAAAAAAGTTTTCTGGGTAGTGAAGGGAGGGGTGATGGTGGTGGGGGGTGGGAAGGGGGGAGGGGGGGGGGGGAATGATTGGGGGAGGGGGGGAGAATAGAGAGAAGCCCATCTACCTGCACGTCTGCCCACTCGCCGTACTCATCGCAATCGTCGACGGCGCAGGACTATCCAGTGGTGTCTGCGGCTGCGACATTGGCGTGTGCGTCGGCGTAGCCGGGGGTGCTGCAGCACTTGCGGCCGCGGCGGCGACCGCTGCCACCGCGACGGGCTGTAATTGATGCTGCGTCTGCTGCTGCTGTTTAGCGTGCTGTGTATGCTGTTGGACCACCTGCTGCAACTGCTGCAGTTGCTGCCGCATCAGCCCCGTGTCCTCCTCCGAGGTCGTGGTGGCGGCCGTCAGGGCCGGGTCCACTATGCTAGCTCCTCCTGCTCCTGCTCCTGCTGCTCCTGCTAGCACTCCCCCACCTCCGCCGCCACCGTTGCTGCTGTTCCGGTCATGGTCCTGCGCGGCGATGGCGGTGTGTGGGGTGTGCGCCGCGTGGTCGAGCGCGAGGGCGGATGGCGTCATAGCTTCGCGGGCGAGGGCTGCTGCTGCTATGGCGGGCTGTGGGGGATTTGTAGATGTAGTGCTGGACGTAGCAGTGGGGGGCGTGGGTGTTGGTGTAGGGGCCGGTGGGTGGATGGGCACTGTTGTTGTTGTTGGTGGTGATGTTGTGCTAGTTGCACTTGTAGTGGTGGATGTCAGTTGTAGTGGTGAGGAAGGAGGTGGTGGTGAGAGATGGTTCGTTGTGGTTGTGGTTGTGGTGGTTGTGGTTGAGGAAGGTGTTGGTGCAGCAGCAATACCGCTGCCAGTGCTGCTGATGTTGCTTGTGGTGGTGGTCGGCGTCGTGGTATTAGTACTCATGTTGCCGGCGGTGGTGTTGCTGGTCGAGGGGGCTGCAGCAGCATCAGATGCCATGGCTGAAGTCACGGAAAGAGACGAGAGCGACGCTGAGAGAAGCTTCCCCGGCATGGCGCGGGTTAAATATCGGGAAATATAATGTATATACGAAGGGGAGGGGGGCGTTAATGGGCGGCGGCGATGGTGGATCGATGAGAGGAGGAGGGGGGGGGGGGGTTCGATATAGTATGTAAGTGAGTGGATCGATGGGGGAGGGAGATAAACCGAGTTTTTTTATATATATATATCTTCTAGGAATAAGGACAAGACTAGCTGGGGGGGGGGGGGGGGGGGTTGTAGGGAATAATATTATGAGGAGGAGGAAGAAAAGATTCAGGAAGAATAACTTTGAGATCTTTAAAAAGGGATCTTTCTCTCCCTCTGTGTCTCTCTGATTTCTCTCACGAAGAAGAAAAAATACGAACAGCTGTTTGAGGAAAGCAATTTGTAAGAAAATAATGAAAAATAAAAGAATAAGAAAAAAAGAATAAGCCCACCACCACCACGAACCACGAACCACCACCGCCGGGTTCTGACCGCGGGAATTGAATTAGGAAAAAAAAAAAAAAAAAAAAGAATGCAAATTATTAAAAGAAATACACCCTCTTCACCCAGGCCTACCTAACAACCATCCTCCTCCTCCTCCGGCTGGTCCGGTCTGGTCCACTCACGACACGCAGAATTGTAATTGACAATCCGAATTGACCGCGAAAGCTACGGGCCGGCCAGGGCCCAGCTACAAGCCTACAACCAGAGCTCTCTCAACCCCTGGCTGTGCTGTCTGTCTGGTTGGCAATTGGTTTCAATGTATAATTTACCACTCACCTACATGCGACGTCCACTTCAGATGGATGGAATAGATATGATTATGATTATGATATGATAAGATTCACTCCTCCTCCTCCTCCTCCTCTCACCCACAGTCCAGTCTCTCTCGCCCCTTTCCAAGAAACGGTCCAAAGAAAAGAATCAACTAGACGAACGGGTACCTAGCCCACTAGCCTACACTACTAGCGCCACTATCAGAAACCCCAGCACACCCAAGTCAGCAGATCTCTACGCGCGCTGATTGGACGCACGCAGGACACCTCCCCCCCCCCCCAACGTGTCTGTCACGGGGTTTTCCCGTCCGGCGCTCCCGGGTCCTGGGGCTGGGCAGGGCCAGGGCGAGAGATAAAATAGATTGTGGATGATGTAGATAGGCCGGTAGATTATCTCGCGCGCTGGGCTATCTGATCGATCCGATGCGATTGGATTAGATAGGAATCTTTCCATCTTCCGAAAAAGAAAAAAGGGCGGTGAAAGGGAAAAAGAAGGGGACCGGCAGAACGTACGGGGAGGGTTCTAAGCGGAAGCGAGGTACAGTATTGGAATGAGGCGGCGGAGGCGGCATTTGTTTTTTTGGGATGTGGGTAGGGCAGGTAGGTATGGGGAGATATGTAGAGTCAGACTTGAATTCCGCGCAGTCAGTGCAGCAGTCCAGTCAATTGCAATACTCTACGTCTGTCTCTACGTCGTCCTCCTACTATTCTTACTCCACATCATATATGTAGATATAGAGCGCAGATCAATTGCATCTCGTGAGCCCTCCCTCCCTCCCTCATGCTCACCCATCAATTGCAATTACATCCCTACGTACTCCACTGCCAGGCAGATCCCGGGGCTGGAAAACATCCACGAGTCTACTCCACATACTCGGTATATACGGGTATGTATGTAGGCTAGTAGCAAAAGGAATTATATTCTATCGTCCGTCGGTCCACTGATCATGAATCTGCACCACCATATCAACCACCGCAAGTGCACATCACCAGCACCACCGCTACAACCGCTACCAGTGCTATTCTAGTTATGTACTCTACAGGACGTAACTGTCATATATTCAATTCGTTCGTGAGCCATCAAGCAAATCAACCTCCTCAACGTTACTCTGCTGATCTACCCAGCTAATCCATCGTAATCCAGCAATCATCATCCACGCACGCTGCATGCCCTTTTGCACGTATGTACGCAGGAAAATAAAAGAAAGAGAAAAAATAAAATAAAATAAAACAAAAAGGGAGAAAGATAAAAATAAAAGCATAAAGGTGTGTGGGAACAGTGGGATCCAATTCCTTCCCATCCATCCAATTCCCATCCCCTTCAAATTCAATTCCCCATTACCCATATGATCATCCGCCAATTGGGCACATCAATGCCCATGACCCCGTCCTAAACGAAAAAAAGCAAAAAAAACCCAATTAATAAGGAACCAAACAACCACAAGCAGAAAAAAAAACGAAAAAAGAAGCCCCACAAAAAAGCAAAACCCCATCACCCCTCACCTCACCAGAAGTACATATGCTCGCCCCAACGTTCCCTTCAACACCAAGCATACTTCTCATTCAGCACCCACTCGACCTCCGCTTCCCCACTCCCCCCCTTCCCATACATCATCAGGCTCGGAATCGACTCACACTCCCTCTCAACACCCACCACGCCGTCCACCACCGCCCTCGCCGCCCCGACCACACTCTCCGCCGGACTCCACACCACCACCCTGCCCAACCCCCACCTCCCCGCCTCCTCCACCGCCGCACTCAACATCGCCGCCAGATCCTCCCGCCGGCCCTCCTCGGGCCCAAAATCCACGATACGGAGCACATACAGTCTTGGCCCCGCGACGCTGAAGTCGCGGCCCCACATCATCCAGCGGGTGCCGCAGGTGGTGATGCAGCCCTTGATCGCGGGAGCGCCGAGGTCCGGCCGCACGCAGGCGCCGATGAACTCCTCGCGGCTGTGGTGCCAGTGCATAGTGCTATAGTCGGGCACGAAGGCGACGCGAGTTTTGGGGTGGCGGGTGGAGAGCGCCGTGCGTAGCGCGGCGGTATCGAGCGCGCAGAGAGGCGCGATGTCGTCGTGGTAGAGGGGCTGCACGCGCGAGGGGTGCAGGCGTGCGGGGGTGGGTGTGCGGACGGGGAGCTCGATGTGGGAGGACTTGTGCGGGAGCCAGCCGAGTTTTGCGTAGAATTGCTATCTTGAATATCAGCTACCAGGTCCAACACCAGGCTCGGGACAGAAGGAAAGAGTGTGCGGGGTCATCATACCTTCCCAATATCCGAATACAGCACCGAGAACCCCACCCTCTGCCCACCCCTCCTCTTCAACCGCTCACCCAGCATCGCCAACATCACCTTCGCATACCCCTTCCCGCGGCACTCTGGCGGCGTGAAGACGCTGCCAATGCCGTACGCCACGACCTCCTCCACGGGTACGCGCTTCTCGCCGTCGACAGGCGGGTGCGAGACAAATGCCTTCTTCTGGATGGCCTCGCACGAGGCCAGGATGTGCCCACCGGTGTCAGCGTCGGCGGCGTCGACGAGCACCCATTGCGTCATGCCGCCGTTGCGCGTCAGGTGTGTGGAGGCGATGTGGTCCTCGCGCGTGAGGTACTGGGAGACGGACAGGGCGCCGGCCCAGCAGGTGGAGTGCTGGGTGCGGATGTGGGTGAGCTCCGTGGGCGTGGGGTGCCGGAGGAGGTAGGTGGTTGTGGTGGTTGCGGTGGGCATTTTGGGGGTTTTGGAGGGCTGGTTGGTGGGAGAGTGGAGGGGGTGGATTGAGGTGTGCGGGAGCTATCTGTCTATGGGGGAGTGAAGAGGTAGGTAGGTAGGTAGGTTTGTCGTAATATCTGTTGTAGGTGAGAGTCCACTGGAAGTTTAAGCACGGGGCAGTTGTGGGTGTGAGTATGGTTTATGGTTTATGGTTTATGGTTTATGGTTATCTGGCAGGCACACAGCTAGCTGGACGGGAAGGCGAGACAAAGAGGAAGAAGGCCAGCAGAACGAGAGGCAGAGCCTTTTTAATTCCACGGGGAAGGAAGCTTTAGAAGGAGAAGCAGAAGCAGAAGCAGAAGCTAAGAAATAAGTCTCCGAGGGCAAGCAAGCAGGCAAGTACAAGTAGGTATGTAAGAGGAGTTAGAGTTAACGAACGAGGAAAGACAAACCCTCCCCCCCCCCCCCCCCCCCCCCCCCCCCCAAGCAAGCAAGGCATAGAGCCAAAAGTAAACTTTGGAGAAAGTTGCAGGTCTCCCCCAAAATAACACACGGTTAACAACCCCCAAACCGGGAAACTGATAGATAGATGATAGATAGATAGCTACACACTTTCCCATGTCTCTCACACACTCCCACTCCCTCTCTCCAATCCGCTCCCTCCCATTTGCATTGCACTCCCCTCCCCACACACAGCTCGGGATTCGCATTAGCTAAATTATCAACCCATGGCCCGTCCTGTCCTGTGACGACCGACGAGAGAGCTTCCCCTCCCAGACAAGCGTCGAGGGCGAGACGGCGCGTGACTGTGGGGTGTATAAAGGAAGCTGCGAGGGCATTGGTTCATCATGATGCTTTCTGTCCATGATGATGATTATGATGATGATGTTCTTTCCTTCCCTCTTCCTTCCCTCCTTCGATCTTTCCACCGACCTTCCCACCCCCTTCGATCAGCTCCCCCCAAGTGAAGCCCAAGAATAGTAGAGTACCTCCCACCGGCCAGCCAGTGCACGGTGCGATTCTCATGGCTGGCTGGCTGGCTTACTCGTATCCCATCCTCCCAAGTATCTACTCTATCTACATTCCTACCTACTCTACCTGCCTAGAGCAAGTACATGTACCTACTCTGCTCTACCGACATCTACATACATGCATGCACAATGCAGATTAGCGGAGGCTCTGCGGAACCGAAGACAAGCGACGGAAGCCGGACTGCAGACACCCACCACCCCTAACCCTACGATAACAACACCCCTGGGCCCCGGCTACCCTCGCAAGCCGGTTTGGGGCCATTGCTTCCGGGGTGCAGATTGACTTGCAGAGGTTATCTGTTGCTGTTGTTGTTGTAGGTTTGGGGGGGGGGGGGGCGCTCGTTGGGCTGAGATGCTTGAGATACGTGCTTGGGTGCTTGGGGATGCTTGGGGATAGATTATGTAGCTGTAGATAGAGTACAGCTTTAGATACGTGGACCCGGGGGGAGATGATTGGCTGCTTGTTACCTTGGGGAGGAGAGGAGGGAAGGGGGGAGAAAGAAGGGAGTGCGTGAGTGAGAGTGAGTGTGAGTGAGTGAGTGTGGATGCTTGGGGTGTGGGTTGTTGGCCAATTGTGTGCTGGATTGAGGGCCCGGCGGTGTCTTGAGCGCTGACGGGGACCTGGGGCTCGGGTGCTATTGATTGTAGCGTAGATCGCGTGGGTAGCAGAGATAGTAGAAGATAGTAGATACATGTATGATGATGATGCATCAATCTAGTCTAATCATATCATATCACATCATATCACCAGTGATCTTATCTTCACCGCCATCTGTAGCATCGTTCACGGCCCTCATCATCCGAACCCAAACAATCCCATTGTCCCTCCTCTCTCTGCATGCACGCAAATGCATGGCAACGGTCGCTAGTGTTTGTTTACCGCAGCAACCAACAACGCCTCTCTCTCTCTCCCCTCCATTCAAAATTGCCTGGCTGACTGATTGTTCTCTCCCCCGCCATCCATCCATCACCAGCGCTCACTCACTCACTCACTCACCCACCCACCCACAAACGAACAAACACCAATCTTTACACAAACCCCCACATAACAACAGAGAGAGAATTGAAACAGCTCCGGAATAGCAATAGCAGCAGAAATGTCCTACAATCCGCGCCAGAGCAATGTCTTCCGCTCATCATCGCAGAACCAGCCCCCACCAAGCACCCGCAAACAGACCACCCAGCAGGCCGACAGCTACCTCATGATAGTCCGTTTCCCTCCCCTCTCCCCCTCTCCCCTTTCCCCCTTCCCCCTTCCCCTCAAACCCCCCACTAACACCCCCACCAGGCCGAAAGCACCATCGTCGACTGCATCTCCGAACTCGGCGTCACCTTCTCCCTCGACGACCTCAAGCGGCCCACGCCCCAAAAGACACAACTCGTCTTCGAGATGTTCGCCGAGCTGCTCATGGGCGTGCGTCGCGAGACCGTCGAGCCCATCATCCGCTCTGCCAGCGAGCAGCTGGACCACCCGGAGACCCTCCACGAGCCCAGCGCACTAATGGCCTTCTACGCCTCGCTGCGCACGCTCCTGCAGGAGTGCGACATCCACGACTTCACCTTCAACGACCTGGCCAAGCCCGACACCAAGCGCCTCATCAAGATCTTCAGCTACGTCATCAACTTCACGCGCTTCCGCGAGGGCCGCGCCGGCGAGATCGGCGAGCACCTGGCCAAGGCCGAGAAGATCCGCGACGCCATCGAGGCGCGCGCGCAGGAGAACGAGGAGCTGGCGGCGCGGGTCGAGGCGCTGCGGGCAAGGCGCGCGAGGGAGGAGCCGCTGATTGAGGGCGTGCGGAAGGATGTGGAGGCGCTGACGGAGGAGCTGAGGGGCATGAGTAAGCGCGAGAAAACGCTGAGTGCGGAGTATGGGCGGCTGCGGAAGGAGAAGGAGGCGCATATCAAGACGCTGGAGGACCGGTCGTTCTTTGTAACGAAGACGAGGCAAGAGGCGGAGAAGATCAGGCCGTATATTGTGGATAGCCCCGAGAAGCTGCAGGGGGTGATTGTGGACATGGGGACGACGCTAGCGGCGGAGAAGGCGGAGGCGGAGGCGCTGGAGAGGAGGGCGAGGGCGCTGCAGACGAGTGCGGATAGCTTTGCGGTGGTGGAGGCAGACGTGATGGCGGCGATTAAGATCATGGAGGAGTGTGAGGCGGAGCTGGTGAAGGAGGAGGAGAGCGCGAGGAAAGCGGCGAGGCACTTTGATGTGCTGACGCAGAAGCAGACGGAGGTGCGGGAGGCGGAGAGGAGCGAGCAGGTTTGTCTACCCCCCCCCCCCCGGGGTATAATATAAAACCCCCCCAATTCCCATTTATTAACATACCACCTCTACAGCGCCTGCAACGCCAGCTCCAAAACGCCACCGACAAGATCACCCGCGCGCGCGAAACCGCAGAGGCCAAGTCGTCGAGCGCGCAGAAGAAGATGCGCGAGCTCAAGGAGGCCTACAAGCAGCTGTCGCGCGAGCGCGCCGAGCGCGACAAGGACATGGAGAAGAAGAAGATCATCATCGAGAGGATCGAGAAGGAGATGGCCGACATGCGCGAGAAGGTCGAGGAGGAGGTCAGTGCCGCACATGCCGAGTTTGCGAAAATGAAGGGCCATATATTGCTGTATATCAGTGAGATGGAGCAGAGTATTTGAGCCCGCTGCGCGTTTGTAGTTCTTCTCTTTGGCTTTTGGCTTTGGCTTTTTCTTTTGATAATGGATGGGGTTTTTATCTATGGCTTTAATGATGGGATGAGATGGATGACTGGCGTGCGCGGGAACTAAATGGCTTCTTGTCCTTTTTTTTTTTTTTTTGCTTTTACTCTCTTTTTGGTTATGGCTCGCTCGCTCGCCGCCGGTGGCGGGCGTTGTATTTTTTTTCTCTTCTTCTTTCAATTTTCAGGATCATCAACTTTGTTAGACTTTTTTTCTCTCTCTTTTTTCAATACATGCGATGTGTGTGATTGGTAAATACTACTCTAGGAGGCAGCAGCCTACAATTGATGTATTCAAGTATCCGGATTCGTTCAGTCTGTTTGCTCAGTTGCGGTTTGCCAAGGCAGCGGCAGAGTGGCAGGCACATAAACCAGGGTTCCTACTTCACAACCTATCACTCGCAAAAAAAGACGGCTCGACAATTGTACCGTTTAAATTGATTGATAATTCATTGATTGCGTACCGTTTGAATCATTGTGAATACATTTTATATTGAGCTCCCTACATAAGTACATAGTGATAAAAGCGGTGTCTTAGCTAAGATTTTATATGTACTTCTACTTATTTATTGAAACGAGGATAAAAATATATATATATATATATATAAAGAAAGCCCACCGTCCTGAATTGGGCCACGACAATGGATAGGTCATTTCTGTTTTACTAGCTCAACTGCAATTCTATCTGGCGGAAAACTCTTCCTATATATACTAGACCCCTGGGGGGGCTCATGTGGAGCGTCCTATGTACATGCATGTATGTATCTCCACGCTACTTTCTATGGATACATGTAACGGGATAAGATGAAATGAGTTTTCTCTCTCTTTTTCTTTTTACCAACAGTGGATTATAGCCATTTGCATGCATGGCAGATGTTTTAATGATTGAATCATTAATGAATTAAACAAACAAAAATATGATTGAATCAATTGATCAATCAACCAATCAGTTGTATGACATGAATCATTTATATCTTTTAGTCGTTACATGTATATCTAAAACCATCCTCATCGGAACCATTCAACTTATAGTGAACGTAGAGTGTCCCTTAGCTATCGGGGGGCGTACTATAGCTTTCCCGGCTGACTACATCCAACATTGGCCCCACGATAGCTCAAGCACTCCCGAGAGAAGCTCCATCAGAACCTCACGATCTATATACTTTCAACCTGTACAAAATATCCACACATCCTCATACACCATCACCTTATCTCCCCAAACGTGAGATTTATCAAATCACCCAATCACCCTCCATCCCAATGTCTCCACACACCGCCGACCCCATCACACAGTCACCCTTCATCACCTTCACCCCTGGCAATGATCTCCTCACCCCCGAACAATGCGAAGAGATCCTCCAGCACACCTCCTCCCAGCCCCCATACCAACCTCTCCCACCGCGGCCGCAGACACCCGGCTTCTTCCCCTTCCCTTCCACAATCCACACAAAGTTCCTACAGCTGCGCTGGGAAGGGCGACGGTCCAGGGTCAACCTTGGGTACGCGCTTGCAAACGTCTGCTACCGGCGTGTCATCCATGACAGCATATTCTTCAAGGTCATCGACTTGATGGATGTCCCGCCGCTGGCAGCGGACATGCTCGGGCTGGTGCAGAAGTACACGCACCAGGTATTCTGTGACATTGCCGGGCAGCCCCAGGATATTCTGCAGCTTCGGATGTCGACCGAGACGTAAGTACCCGCGGGCTTCCGAATCCTTCAATTTATTGGTATAAATAAAAAAAAATCGGGCTAATACCTTCCCCCCCCTTCAAGGCAATCACTACAAACCGACCCTTCCACACCACAATCACCTGCAGCGGCCCCCAACGGCGCCATCACCTACTACAGCTCCCGCACCCCCACGCACCTCCCGCTGCTCCTCCTCGTCGTGGTCCCCACCTCCGACACCACCAGCGCCCTCGAGATCTGCCACAAGCACATGCTCGTCTACGCTGAAGACTACTTCAAGCGCTTCTCCTACGAGACCGAGTACCGGTCCTACGTCCTCTGTCTCCAAGGCAGCGTAGTCTACTTCACCTCGACCAAGACCAGCCGCCAGAGCGTGGATGTATTCGGTGTCAAGTCGCTCTTCAAGCAGTGCCAGGACCACATTGACCAGCATGTGCTTTCGTCGTTCAAGTATGACATTGCCGAGTTCGGCCAGGCGTGTGAGTTCTTCAAGGTCTACCGCTATATGGTTGGGATGTTGGTGGTGGGCGAGGAGGTGGCGTGCTCGGTTCATAATGTGCTGAAGAATATCAAGGAGGAGGGGAAGTGTGGGGTTGCCGGCGGTGGTGAAGGGTGCACTGGGAAGTCAGGCGGAGGTGGAGGTGCTGAACCTGAGTCCTGCGCGTCGGATGGCAAGGAGAAGGGCAACCAACAGCAGGCGGAGACTATGGCCCCCACCGGAAACGAATAATTAAATATATATGAGGAGGAAGAAATTTCTGGTCAATGTCTTGTAACTACGTAGTACAAGTATAGCACCAGCACGATTGTAAAACGAAGTCTAGAGTTCCTCATCTATGTATAAATTATAGTTCTTCACGAGAATTAAAAGTGACTTGAGTTAAAAGTTTAAGACCACCAAATATGTCCTCCTAATCCCCATTCACAATGGCACAGGTCAGGGTGAATAGAGTTTCCTCGCGAGTGATAATCTATGAGAACAATGATCCGAAAATAAACTATGGGTTAGGGTTAAATTAGGCTGATCTCAAGTCAACAATACATCTACTCCCGGGAGTCGATAGTCACAGTTGAATGGTAGAACGAAACTGATTGTAATGTGCATCTATCTCACCTTGTGCCAATCATTAGGTAACTACATGTATTTGTGATATGTGTATGGTGCGAAATTCTTTTCGAACAGGTAGGCCTCACCATGACTCTGTGGGTGACGTTGAATGTAACACTAGCTTGGTTACACTACATGTACGTATACTGTGCCATTTGTAGTTGTAGCTACCTTAGCGTCGAACCGCATACAATTATAAGCCTTATTCAGTCGGCTTATCCAGAACGTAGGCTCACAATAGCCTTATCAGTACAAAAACCCTTTTTTAAGCCTTATTTCATCCTTAAAACATGCTTAAATAGCACTTACCTGAACCTTTTTGTACTGATAAGGCTATTGTGAGCCTACGTTCTGGATAAGCCGGCTGAATAAGGCTTATAATTGTATGCGGTTCGACGCTAAGGTACCTCGCAAGGGAGTGAAAAAAGTGATATTGTGATTGTTGTGTTTCCTTGACTTTGATTCTCCTACTATTTAACCCCAATGTGGCAATTAGTAGTGATACTATTACACAGACCCAAAATAGGAAATAAGGTGAGCGAGACATAGCCTCTACGTCGACACCTAGCCCTCCGACGAAGCCAAAACTTAAGCTCTCTCTCCGTATCCGGCCCTCATCATCTTCAAAGATCCACTCATCCCCTTACCTACAACGTGAGGAGAACAGAGCTCATGATGAGGTGAAAGATTCATTCTACTCAAAGGATTTGGCGGCTGGCGGGGTCGATGAGGGCTCTGGATGATATGAGCCTGGGTGCGCTGATGTATGGAGCGGCGCCCACGCGGGGGTATTGATAACAAGAGGCGCATTGTTTAATTATCGTGATGTCCATGGGTCTACTCTGTTAGACAAGGCTCTAGCTATTGTACAGAGTCGACTCTGATTAGGATTCCTCCTGAGCTTGATGTATAACTCCATGTCAAAAATCCTGGGACAAGCCCCCGTAGCAACTCGCGGTTGCGTTGTCCCATGATTTTTGAACGAGAACTATACCTACGCTGGCGTGGGTGTTGATACCAAAGCTTAAGCTGGGGTAACGCTCCCACATTATACATTCATCAAGGCTGTCAAATCTAGGATATATATTCATTAAGCTGCTTCCGCTTAATCGAAGTCGATTTTACGCTTTCCAATTCGTTGCGCCATTATCCCCGGACCTAATTCCTGGTAGAGTTCGTGCTCGATTAAAGTGGTACATTAGCAAAGGCATTGATGTCCAATGTTCCGATAACCCCACAAAACATGTAGGCACGGAGACCAAAGTTTTTGTAGCGCTACATACCGAAAATTTCCATTTTGGTGCTATTATCACGGGCGAGGAGCCAGCATATCCATCAGGCTGACTAGGAGGCATCTATTACCTAGGCAGTAAGGGTGGTGAGTGGGCCTACCATTGATTGGGAGGGAAGGAGGACAGATCCTAATGTGACTTATATAAAAGGGCCCGAGGGCACTACATCAAACGATTAATCACGATCATGAACACGTTGCAACGCTCGTAAGATCTTGGTATCGATGGGCGAACGTAGGTATTGTATGTTGATCGATGGTGAAACCAGGCCAGCTAATGAAATTAGGGAGACAAAGGTCGATATATGTTTGGATGGCGAAGCTTTAATTACATGTGAATATCAAATTTTCACAACGGTGCAGACCTTTTTTGCATGTGCTCTAGCTATAGTATCCAATTACAATATCGAATCACGAAGCTCTCACCAGACTTAGAGTTTTTTCGACTGTTCAGTGTCAAAACGTCTGCATAAATCTCATTCCTAAAGGGAATAAACTGCTATGTCGTGGAATCAATAGAGTTGTCGAGTGATGATTCGTGATCACTGCTAGTACAAACTTGTACTTAGTGCCCGCTTTCACGGGATGGTACTAAAAATAGTAGCCTTTCTACCATCTATCAACCAATTTTCCTCTAAAGAGATTTTATCGACCGACTGATTTTAGCCAAAAAGATCAAACGCCTCCCCTGTAATATAGACCACTCGCTGCTGCTTATTTGAGCCTTTTTCTGTAAACAACCTGTGGGTCATGAAAAATCACTCGTCGATCTAAAACTTCAGATCTGGGGGTTGCAGTCGATTTTACGACACAGGTTTTACAAGTAGGAGATCGATGCCTCGCTAGTTGCAGCAGACCAACGAAAACATTCGCGAGTGCCGCCAAATGCACGTTAAGCTTAATTCTCAGAATCCAGCCCGGCTCTGTCTGAGAATTTATATTACTGACAATGATGACCCTGCATCTTATGCAAACCCATGCTCGGGTCGATCCCGGGAATACAAAGGGCCGAGGCCCGACGGCCCCCGGGGTGACGACGCATCTTGGCGGGAAGGCTGGAGCTCTCAGCTTCAGTCAAGATCGCACATCTACCGACGGTTTAGCCATTTATCCCTTAGCTATCATTGGTACCCGTCTTGTCACTTTTTTTTTTTTTTGCGTCGGATGCGTTTGGTGCCGGTTCAGATACCGAAACGGCTCTGTTTCAAAAGTGACAGAACAACGCAAGAGTGCGGTCCTGGTCCAGCTGAGTCTTTATCTATTGCTTGAAATACTTGCTGGCGCTTGCTGGCCTTTACCAAACTTAAGAAGACCTCCCCCCCACTTCTTCTTCGGAGAGATCCTGACCGATGGTTATACGATATGATGACGGTGACAACGAAAATGTTTCAACAAATAATGTTAAATGTAGCGACAGCGGGGGCCCCGGACTTCCGCCGGCCGGCGGGGTGATGTTGTGCGCAGTAGAGGTATCATGGGGAATATTCTGTGGAAACACTTCAGCCTTTCCCCACATGATTGATGATGACAAGACACTGGGAATGCGTTATGCTGGGGGTCCGGGGGCTTGTCGGCAATGGGTAAATAATAAGAGTAATATAATATTATCTGTGCAGGTACTACATATGAGTATGTATGGTGTACCTAATACGAGCTGCTCACTGCTTATAATTACAGTATGTAGAGCAATCTAGAAGCTATGGCACGCCCATATCCTGGCCATTTGGATGTAGCATATCTATTTCCCCAGCGATATCAAGTTACACATGCTGCAAGTGAACACCACCTCCGATAACGGTGCATCACGATTCTTCGATCGAACTCCCTTGGCCGGGCTCGGAACCATCCAATAACGAAGGCTATGCCAAAGAAGGCAACATGCTGTATTCCTGGAGATTTTTACTGCGCAAAAGGTCTGATCGGGTGTCGCGGCAACCACAGTAGTAACGGCACTCAGGGCAAGGACCCGGTCGCATGTGGATGCTGCGTTCGGCAGATTGCTATGACTGGAATCCTGCGTTTTCGGAGATCTTTTTGTTCCCTTTCCATTTCATTCCCCCACACCGCGCTCTCACCTCTACGTACTGTTCGGCTCCTCCTTGCTTACTGCTTCAGTTCGTCCTGGGCCACATTTTTTTGTTGTCCCTCACTTTGTATAGTCTGTCTGGTTGTTGCAACAAGTCGATTTCCGGAACCCCACGCTTTAGAACCGAAAGCTCGCCTTTCAAACCTAGCTGGGTATCCGAATAAGAAAAAAAAGACCATAAAATAGACGGACCAAGGGATAGGGCAGTAGAGAGAGAATAATACCTATCCTAGTAAACTAAATCAATACACCGGCCCTGATTCGACAAGGAAACAGCTGGTAGAGACGTGGGACGAAAGAGCAACCGCAGCAGCGGCAGCAAGAGAGATACGACGAATACAACACGGAAAGGGAACCAACTGACTAGGCCATTTCCCAAACACACCTGTCTACCTCTCAAACAAACCCGTCAGCAGCAATCAAGCAAGCAATGGCTACCCAGGAATACGCTAATGACGAGCTGTCGAGGAGGGGTCCGGATGAAAAGGGACCCAAGGCTTTATCGACTTCCTTCTCCTCCTTGCACTCTGCTCCTTCTTCCTCCGCTCCAGGGAATAACGTCGATCGGATACCAACCTTCTCTATCCCGGAGGGGTTTGATTCTGCTCCTTCACATCATCACAGACCTGCTGGAGTTCCCCCAGATATCGAGGGTGTTATCGACGGTATCGAGGCCACTTCACTACAGCAACGGAGGTTGAGCCTCTTCGATTATCAGCCTTTCTCGCTACCCCCCTCTCGTGTATGTTACCACCCTACCTTCCAATCGCATCTGTCATGAATTACAGCACATGGAAATACAGTCTTCTTCTGCATAACTATGTTGTAGTTGCTGGGTGACCTATCTGTTGCTTAGTTTATGGCTTTTCCTTATCGTCCGTTATCAGTCTAGGAAACTAACTTACATCATATATCAGGTCCCCTCTAGAGAATCTCCTTCTCCTTCTCGCAATCCTGGACGTCCCGACCTGCGAACAGACTCCTCAGACAAACCAATGCATTCCCCACCACTCACCCCAGCCTCTACCCATGACAAGTCTGGGTTTCGGCACACCCGTTCGGAGGAAGCCCGTGGCTCCGGGCAACAAATTCTAGATCCTACAAAGCTGGCTCCCGGAGATCCCTCGATAATGACCCCACAAACCTCCCCGCCACGGTCGAGCTCGGCTACAACGAGCTCGGTGACAAGGCAGCCTGTAGGACAACGCCCGCACTCCTCTTCGGGGGCTTCTCAGCAGCCCTCGTATTTTGTGGGGTATCCAGGGTCGTCCTCATCCGAGCAGCCTACTTTTATCATAGGTGGTAAGGGCAGTTCAAAGGCTCCATCAGAAGACAGCCCGTCGGGAACACCTTCGGGAAGTGGCTCTCAGACCCCAACCCGGATTCCACCCTCGAGACCTTTCACTCCAGCTGGGGAGCACGATGATCCATATGCGCGAAGTCGGAGACCTGTACAAACAAAAAAGAAGCCTGAGGAGATTGAGCCGAGGTTCATTTTTGGAAAGAGTTCACGGGGTTCAAGCACAAATCTTCTAGGTTTAGGTGGTGAATCAAGTGGACTTAAGCCTGAAAAGAAGCACCACTCTCACTTTTCATTGCATTCCCTTGGGAAACACCATTCAAATGACAGTAATTCGACTCTTGGTTCAGGGCAAAAGCAAGGCTCAATGGGTGAGTTGAAGAGGTTTTTCAAATCGTCTCAGAAACGATCTCGTTCTCCTGGAGCTAGCTCTATCAAAAGCTCAAAGTCATCAACATCAACTGCCGCACCCTTTGCGGATGATCATGGTCTCAACAAAAAGTATGGTCGTTTTGGGAAAGTACTGGGGTCAGGTGCTGGAGGTTCGGTGAGGTTGATGAAACGGTCTAGTGATGGGGTCACGTTTGCTGTGAAGGAGTTCCGTCCCCGACATAACTATGAAAGCGAGCGAGAGTACGCCAAAAAGGTCACAGCGGAGTTTTGTATCGGCTCGACTCTTCATCATGGTAATATCATCGAAACGCTGGATATTGTCCATGAGAAAGGAAAGTGGTATGAGGTTATGGAATATTGTCCATATGATCTTTTTGCGACAGTCATGACCGGGAAGATGTCGAGGGAGGAGGTTGCGTGCTGTTTTATGCAGATTCTCAGTGGAGTTACATATCTTCACCATATGGGACTTGCTCATAGGGATTTGAAGCTGGATAACGTGGTTATGAACGAGTATGGTATTCTAAAAATCATCGATTTTGGGAGTGCCAGCGTGTTCCGTTATCCCTTCGAAAATGACATCGTCGAAGCCTGTGGTAAGTAACCCATCTTCCTGATTAGTCCACAAATGAATTTTACTGATATCCTGTCTAGGTATCGTTGGGTCAGATCCGTATCTCGCGCCTGAGGTATGTAATGAGATCAAATACGACCCGCAGCCAGCAGATATTTGGTCCCTTGCCATTATCTTCTGCTGTATGACGCTCCGACGATTCCCCTGGAAGGCGCCTCGACAATCAGACAACTCTTTCAAGCTCTTTTCATCCCCTTCAGACCCACCACAGAACACCCAATCATCCTCACCTCCGTTACCCACGTCAAAGAGCCATCAAAACCGGACTGCTGCTGTAGCTCAGGCAGGGAATAATAATAAGGAGGTCGAGGGCACCACCAACAACCCTGCACCTTCTACAGTCCAAGGATCAGGGCAACAGATTAAGGGCCCATATCGTCTCTTGAGACTCCTGCCCAGGGAGTCCAGGTATATTATTGGGAGGATGTTGGATCTAGACCCTAAAAGGCGTGCGACCCTCGAAGAGATCTGGTATGATGGATGGATTGGCAACCTACAATACTGCACCCAAGAGGTGGGTGGAACAGTTTGCAAGGCGCCCGGTCACACACATACGCTCGAGGGAACTTCGGGCGGGAGCAATGTGAGCACGACAAAAAGTACGAAATAAGTATATTACACGGGCATAGAGCAGTTGGGTGTGTATACCATTGTATTAGTTGCATCCATCAAGGCGTGTAAGTGTTTATAATGGAATAAGGGAGAAATTCATATGATCCCTCCATCAATTCATTGCGAGTTTTCTCCTGGGCATTTTTCTTTGGTTCGGTTTGGTTGTTTTCATAGGTCTATCAAGAGTTTAAAAGGTTTGTGGGGTTCTTTATTGTTATAGACCGTTCTGGTTATATTTCTATCATTTTTATGTATCTCCTCGGATTTTTCGTGGGCTGGGTGCTTTTTCCTTTCTGTTTGAATTTTTCCTGGATCTTATTTCTCCCCCTCTTTATTGAAGGAGTGTGGTCGTTTTGCTGTTGGACATCGATTTTTCGATATTTTTATTGTTATACTCTTATACAATTGGGGGGGGGGGGGTTGATTTAATCATATTTATTTTTGTAGTAAACTTTTCTTTTTTTCGTTTGATGAGCTTGTACAAATGTTAGAACGGTGGATGTCGTCATTGAACAGGTCTTGAAGTTTGTTGCAAATTGCCTGATTCATAATCTATCAATGGTCCGGATATCAATGATACATATGCGGCCCCCCTGGGGCTTGCATACTTAGGCTGGTACATTTCGGCCAAAAAAGGGAATCGAATTTTTTCACTGGGTGATAATTGATGATTGGTGGGGTGGCTGAACATATTATACATATAGAAAACTGCGGAAGCAATCACGGAGAGACCTTTATACCGGCGCTCTTTGCTGTACCGATAACGCACTTTGCTAATGCATCCAATGATAACCCGGATAGACGCTCTTCCTGTATAACTTGTCATTTCTCTTTATTCTCCTCCGGGTGTGGGGGCGCGCGGGAGGTTGCTCACACTCTTCTTGATCTTTGCAATCTCGTAGATATGCTTTAGTGAGACCTCGCCCACAAATTCCTTTCCGGGGTTATGTGCGCCCTTCATCTTTCCCTTCACCTCAGGTACCCCGGCAGCCTTCCGGAGGAGCCATGACGTCGCGGGGGTACGGAGTTCGAAGGAGAAGGTTCGGTCGGGCCGAACTGTGATGCGCGCGGGGATCGGTATGCCCTACGGTGGGTTAGTTACCGGAGAGGGAAGATCAAGGCTGTGGACGTACGGTTTCGATGTGTGCGGTTCTGGCATTGAATTCCTAGGTCTGTTAGTATAAATACTTAGGTAGATAACTATAGTAGAGGGGGGGGGGGGTTACCTTGCAGAAATCCATAGACTTCACACCACGGGATCCAAGAGCAGGACCGACAGGCGGTGAGGGCGAGGCCTGGCCAGCGCCGACAATGAGCTTGACGATCTGGTTTACGGTGATGTTCTTCTTTGCCATTGTGGAGAGTGCCGCCGGATATCGTGGGATGAGGCTCTGGTGAATTAATGTTTTTCTTCCTTCCGAGATGTTACACCATGCGAGGCTGTAGCATCGGGGCTAGGGTTGAGGGCTTGGGGTTGGGGTCCATATATGAGGCTAAGTACCGTAAAACCTCGGGGGGTTGCCAAGGCCACCTGCTAAACCAAATTTAGTTTAGATCCTGTAGAAGGGCGCTGTTTTCTTGAGGATCGTTGCCTCTAAAGGTGAAGATCCCCCAACGGCACTGAGTTGGATGACTAACATCACACAACGCCACGTTTTGGCGCCAGATTGCCGAACAGGTGTTAGCGTCGACTATTGCAGCCTGTTCAGTAGATACCTGTTCAGTAGATACCTGTTCAGTACTACCGGGAATATAAAGTCTGTCCCCTTTGGTACGTAGGTAGGACACCAAACTTTCTTGTCCACATATGTACCAAAGCGGACAGACTTTATATTATCGCTAGTAGATACCTGTTCAGTAGATACCTATATAAATAACTTGCTACTTACCAAGAGAAACAACCATCACTCGTACACCACACAGCCAGCAGACAAAAACAACGATAAGTGGGTCCGTTCAATGTTACATTTGAGCCTTTGCGAAAAGTGAACTAATTTACTGGCTGGCTAGCGACACCTTGCACCTTCGAGTCAAATGGCTGACCTAGAGCCCCCGAATTTCGTTGCGATGGCAGAAAATCTGAACCATCTTTCCCATCATGTCAGCAGAATGCAAAACATCCCGGCCGTCGACGCAGGAGTGCATATTGCCCAAGCGATTATGGCGTTGTCTCGCCGTATGGAAGATCGTTTCGATGAAATCAATCGTCGTTTCGACGAAACCAACCGTCGTTTCGACGAAACCAACCGTCGTCTTGATTCTATGTATGGAAAACATACTCTTTTATTATTGACATACATCTAACTTTGATCGTTTAGGGAATTCAACTCGATGGCCCGCCTTGCCAATTTTTATGCCACGCATTCCACAACACCTCTGAGTCCTCTCCGCGACGCCCAAAATCAAGATATTGCGAACTTTCCTTTTAATGAGGCAGCAATTGACGCACTCAATGGTCTGTGCAGCTAAAGACTCTATTGTTTGATGCCTATTAACCATTAATAGGGAATGGGCTCAACGTACTGTTGAACGCATATGGCCTACCTGTTACCGGTAATCTTGCACTACGCAAGCAGCGTTTCAAGGCGTTTATCGGTATTGTTGCCCTCGTCATGCCCCGGGGATAGGACAGCTTCTGCTCGCCCTCCCACTTTTTTTTTTTTATTTTTAAGTCGGAGGTTAAAAACACTTTCGTGTCCCGCTTCGTTTTCTCGTTCAGCTCTGGTATTACTTTGCATATTTTTGTTTACTTTGCATGTTTCCAGGTGGCTTATTGCATCGCATTAGATTAGAGTATGGGTTTTCCTTTCTTATATAACTGGCATTGGCCACCTCGCCACCGTGAGTTAATACTATTATATCTAATTGTAGAATCGGGGGAGGTTTTGCTTTCCCCACAACCGAGGAACTTGCTGGGGATAGGGGTGAGACTTGTCGGTCTATTCTTGAAAGACTCATTGGTGAGAAGGAGGGGGCTTGTCGGTGATGAGGAGGGGACTTGTTGGTGATAAGGAAGGACTACAGCATCGCTTCAACCTCAATAATGTAAAAATACAAGGTTTACCAAAATGGCATTCTTTCACTACTTTTAGGACCCGTTTCTCTCGATCTACTCCTACTAGAGCTATCTGGCTGTTAATTCGCTTGAAATCTGCAATTGAACAGTTAGCAATATCTATATAGTGCACGCTCCAGCGTCCTCACCTTTGTATCCGAAAGAACAGCGATTTGGTCATTTCTCCCCTCCACCAAAGCCTTCCCAGGGCCGCGAAGGAGCCCCTCGCGGATACGTGCAGCAACGCGTCTGATTGTATGTGCATAGATGTATGTACATACATGCCACCAGTACTTGGCACGTCCCCGGGGCGTGCTTGAGCCTCACTTGTCTGCATTCTTCCACTAAGATTCTGCCGCCGTCACTTATTTAGCTTTTAGCTGCTGCAAAGTGACATTTATAATAGCATCTCCTTGTTCTTTGCTCCCTCTCTTCTCTCTTCACCCTTCCTTCCTTCCTTCCTTCGTTCTATAGTACTACTTTCCACCCCTCCCTTCGTCTTCATCATCGTTTCTCTACAGCTATGCCTCCAAAGAAGAACACAAAAGCACCAGCACCATCACCAACAGCCTCTACCAGATCGTCGAGATCACAAACCAAGGCTGGCGTTGCCGCTACAGACACCGCCGCTACCGGAGATACAATAAAAGCTAGCACAGTTGGAAAGCGGAAACGCACGGTCGCCGAAGTGGCTCCTGTCCCGTCCGACTCGGATTCGGAGGAGGCCCCGGAGGTGAAGGCTAAAGCTAAAACGGGGCCGAAGAAGAAGGCTGCTGCTAGCCCTACGAAGAAGGCAAGAACGACAACAACTACTCCAAAGAAGAGAGCCAATACGGTAAGCTCTTTACATGGATTCTAAATTAATGACGGGTTTCTAATGCTTTGGTTTGTGGTTAGCCGTTTTCACTTAGAACTTGTGAGAATTGGTTTGAGAGCTTAGAGGGTATGTTTGTGTTACTTTTGTGTACTACGGGAGATCGGCAGGTTAACATTTTGTGTTCCATATAGATCCCGAATCTCCAGGAAACATTACCTACAGAACTATTCCAGCATGGCTCGAGGAGCTCGGTGTCTCGGCTGAAGGCGTTGTCTTTTATGTCATTGCCTGGATATGCAAGGCAAAGCAGACTTTCACCATTTCGAAGGAAGAGTTTTTGTATGGGATGAACACTTTAGTGTAAGGTTTCGTCCAATCTACCTGGAGACCATAAAGGCTGACAGTTTCCCCAGTGCTGATTCAAATGAAGCACTCGTTCGAAAACTACCCTCGATGCTTAAAGAGGTTTCCCCGTCACACTCAAACAAAACGTTCGACACATTCTACAAATTTTGTTTCAATTACTTTAAACCAGCAGATGTCAAGAATATTACGATGGAAGTAGCACAAGAGTTGTTTACGAGTTTGCTGGATGTGAATAGATATTCGCTGAGTTGGACACCTTCTGAAGAAAACGCAAATGAGTGTGGAGAAAAGGAGGGGGACTTCCCACACAGAAAGGCTTTTGTGGACTTTTTAGGCCAGAGCTCTTTGCAGGTTATTACCAGGGACCAGTATGAACAGTTTCTACCATTCAATAAGCACGTGCCGTGGGATTTGGTAGGATTTAATGAGGAAGAGAGTACTTGTAAGATTCTTAAGTTTTGGGATTTAATTTGTAGGCTGAGCTAATTGAAGTAACACAGGGCCTACACTTATGGATAATTATATCGCATGGAGAAAGGAAAAGTGCCCGTAACCGCAGCGAAGTCGAAGCGTGAAGTTATCACCATCAACGATGGACTAAAGAAAAGTGGGAAGTATTCTGTAGATACGATTTTCCTTTTTACTTTATTGTATTCTTTTTTACTTTTTTACTTTTTACTTTACATTTTTTCTATTCTTTCTGCTACGGGGTTTGGGTCTCGGGAGGTGAGACCGTAAAATGATGGTCTCTTAAATATTTCATTGCTGTCCCTCACTATTCAATTCCTCCACTTATTTCTTTGCAGGAAATGTAGGTATTTTTTCTCTCTCTTTTCTTTCGTTCAACTTTTCGATACCAAGTATTATGATTTTGTATGGATTGATATGATACTCTTTCTATTATCGCAAAGAGGTCTTGTATTCGAGGAGGTCTATTCGGCCAACTCAAGGAGGAATTAAGATATAAGTCTCGGGTTGCAGGCCTATTTCCAATATGGTTTATAACGAGGCTTCAAACTTGGATCCTATACCGGCTGTATCTTCGCCACGTCGTTCAACATAGCACGAACCTTTGCCTCCTCCTTGTCAAATACAGTATTAAATACCTTCGGTACTGAAGCAAGCCTAAATGAGTCTACGCATGCAACTATTAGCCTAACTTCACAAAGAAATCAATTCACATGTAGGTAACCCACTAGGATGATGATCTGCAAATACCACCGGCGCTTCTGCTCCAACTTTCGCCCTCACAACTCTGACCGCCTCTTCCAAGAGCCCCCTTCCAACACCGTGTTTGCGATATCTCAGCCTCACCGCCAATGCCTTCAAAACTCCCCTCTCTTCCCCAATCTTTACCACCGCAACACCAATGACCTCCTTCTCCGGGCCCCACCTCGCAACGACAATCTCATGTCCCTCAGTCTTCATCATCGCCTCATAACCGCGTTTACTCCCCAACTTCTCAGCCTCAGCAATATACCCATCCGTAAATCTTCCAACGGCACTCAAGATAGCAATAGTACAACCCGCGCAGAATAGCAGCGCGGTCGGGATATTATTCTTTGAGCACAGCCACGAGAGAAAGAGGATATATGGCGGGATCGTGAGATGAGGCTGCCCATATAGGAGCGAGCGTACGATCGTAGAACGCTGTTGCGCAACCGAGTCGGTGATGAGCTTGTGGCCTGCGAGCATTTCATCTTCGGAAGTGGTGGACGAGATGGTCAACTCTGGCACTGGCTCTGACTCGGAGGATTGTGAAGCCATCGTGATGATTTTTGACTGAGAAGAGTCAGGAGGATGAGGAGGTTCAGCAGGATATGGGATGATTGCGGGAAACACACAGCGATGATGCCAAGTCGTAAATAAGACAAAATAAGCTTTTCTTACGTGGACTCGACCGTCTGGGCAGGGGAGATCTGCATCATGACAATTCACTCGGGCACGTGGACATTACTTGACCTCTGACTGGTGTGTGCCCAGCCGGGTCGGTGTTACTTGCCCTCTATGCACCTGAGACATGTCTCACAAGGGTGGGGCGCAACTCCTGAATGTGAAATATCTGCACCCTCTCGCGAGATAGTTGTTTACAGCGACATTGAAAAAGGGAGCAAAAAAGATTGAATTGATGCGCCAAACCCGGATCGAACGGGTGACCTTCAGATTAACTTGACTGAACACTTCAGTCTGACGCTCTCCCAACTGAGCTATTAGCGCATGGGTGGCTAAGATACGATAAGCACAACTAAGTTAATATACTTGGCCAAGATACTTATATTTGTGCTTATAAAATTATTTTGTGACAAGGGTTTCAATGCGCTAATAGCTCAGTTGGGAGAGCGTCAGACTGAAGTGTTCAGTCAAGTTAATCTGAAGGTCACCCGTTCGATCCGGGTTTGGCGCATTCTTTTTGCTCTTTCAACTTCTATGGGATTAGGATTTGCTATTTTACTGTTTTACTGCTCTCATTTGGTCCTAGAGCGGGCCGTACCAGTAGGACCCCCCCCCCCCCCTCTATAACCTACTCCACAATGCTATATATGTGGCCTACACGCAAGTGGATAAAAATCGTTATAAGAGTGTTGATTCAGCGTTCTGGAGCAGATATAAATAAAGTAAAACATTTTAAGTACCCCGAAACTCAACTGACAAAAATCATAACATGCTATCTATACCAAGTGCGTAGTAGGCCTTTGAAACCGAGTTCGACATAAGTAGTTTCTCTAGGGAATGGGCCACCACAGTGCCTCTCCACTAGTCGGCAGTAGGTCTCCCTTGCCGTAAACATATCTCATCATGGTATCATTCTGTTCCTGAGAATAAATGTACTCTCCCTTCGCTAAATGAACTTCAGTCAAGATGGAGTACAAACTAAACCATTCTAGTCTCAGATCGTCATGCCTGATCACTCGCATGACATCTGGCCAAGTGCCTTCAAAAAGATCGCACCTCCAGAGTGCAACATTCTTGAGTGTCCCCTTGTGCTTTCTCAAAAATTCATTGATTTCCACTTGTGTGAAACCAAAACCTTCCAAATGTACATCTTTCAAAAATTTCCAGACGAAAGTGGGGGGTCCGAGATAGCATGTAATGTCAGCACTGACGCAGGTCCGGAAAAGTCCATTAAGTTTAAGTCTCTCAAGTTTTGTTGCATGAGAAATGAGATTGAAAAGTGTGTTTTTTTGCATATGGCTATCATCATCGTACCAAACTTCGTAGCTGAATTCAAGTTCTAGAATCTTCAGATTTGTAAAAAGGGTAGCTGCACGTGCAACGGTTACATGATCGCGAAACAGGTCCTGTCCAATTCCACCACTATTCGTGAAGCATTTTAGCTCTAACTTGGAGAAGAATGATGTAGACCAGGCAGCATTCATCAGAGTTCTGAAAACAACCAAGGAGTCGAGCTCCCCCTGGTCACCATGCACCAAACTTAGGGAAAGGCGTTGCAGATGGTGCCGAGAATTGGAATCTTTATAATTCCAAGGAAACTCTTGCACATCTTCAACTGAATGTATAATCCTCATAGTATGTAGGCTCTCGAGGCGACACAACGCCGCCATGAGCATATCCTTATACCATAACGAGCGCTGGAACGCAAAATACCTGTCATCAATATCCTTATATTTATTCCATAAATGTTCATTGCGACTCGCACGTTGTTGATGATGTGCTAGGGCTGCTTGGACGTAAGGGTTCCAGGTTTTTTTGTTGCAGTCGGTGACGTGAAATATCACCTCTTTTACTTCAAGCTCTAGCCTGAATCTGTATATATCTGCATTCTCAAATTGACTCATCCGGGGTTGTCCATAGCACACACTAAGAAGATTTTTTAGACTCTTGAAGGTTGTTTTGACGTGTATGACTTCGAAGAGAATCGGCCTTGTGAGTACTTCGAAGACCCTATTGAGAGAACGGCAACTTGAAAGGTCTCTTCTGCATTGTGCGAGCTGTTTCAAAATCATTTGTTTGATTTCCGGCGGGAGGTCATCTAAAGAAACTCCTGCACTTCTTTTCAGACTTTCCATCAAAAATACGGGGATAAAGTTCGGCTGTGGATGAGATAAATCGTGTTTCGATTGCTAAACGAGAGTTGAACCGAAGAGCACCTTTTGAGGGGCAGGATTGGGAGACCAAACCAAGCATCGGCAAGGGACCCATACGAACTACGTGGCTGATCCAAAGGGTATGATTAAACCACATAATATGTACTACATATAAGTACATACTATGTACATGTAAGCATCATGTCATGTATTCTCACTCGATACAGTGTACTTTATACACATTAAGGTGTGCACATTAAGTACATTAAGTATGTATTTAGTAAGGTTTTGGGCTAAATACCAGTACTTCATATAAGTATTTCGATTTTTCCCCGGATGGAAGAGACGCAATTTAAGGAGCGAAAAGATGCTATAATAAAAGAAAGAATTAGATATTATGAGGGGAAGTGGGTGCTCTTGTTGCCACGATTCCACAGTTTTTGCCCACATTTGAAGTCTATTAAGTTTCCGCAACCAGATACAGTATCTTCCTGTAAAGGGAAAAAGAAAAAAGATGACAAAATTAGTTCATGCGCCAAACCCGGATCGAACGGGTGACCTTCAGATTAACTTGACTGAACACTTCAGTCTGACGCTCTCCCAACTGAGCTATTAGCGCATGCTAAGTTAATTAGCAATTGAATATAACAACGCTTCTACTCCACTCTGATCAAAATTACTACTACGTGTACTTGTAACTTCAAATTCTTGAGGGTCGTATCGGAAAAATAAAGACTTATTGGAGTCTTACCCCGAAGGGATACTTGTTATGTACTTGGGCCTTAAAAATTATAAAACCTGGCCGCGTCAACTTTTAGTGCAATCTGAGGAAGCTTAAGTTGATTACCTGCTTGGGCAATCCGGATGGCATTGTTAGGGAAACCTTTAATTTCAGGTGCTGCTTGTGTGCTTGTTTAGGAAATATAGATTGCCTGTCTAAGTATGTACTTGAGGTAGTCGGTTTGAGATCTATACTCATCTTTTCATAGCGTTTCCGAACACGGCCAATATTGCATGACGTACAAAAAGGTGGATTTGGCGCTTTTTTGTATGGTATGCAATATCAGTCATGTTCGGAAACGTCATGCAATTAGTAGTATGATGTGTGTGAAAAGGCAATGCGGCCAAGTTTTATGAAAACGGCTGAATCCGAGGTTGATCAAACTTATTAGAAAGCCAAGTAGCCTAATCACATGGCATCTTATCCAAAAGAACATTTTAAGCCTGCAAAAAATTATTGCGCTATACTGCACATATCTACGTGTATGTATTGTTCTTGGACCAAAACTAGCCAAAATTGCCCACTTCTCTAACCTTCAAACCCATGATATCAAGATATACACCAACAAATTTGGGGATTTGGCCCGACCATACAAATTTGAGGTCTTGGCACATTTTCCGAGAACAACGGAACAAAATGCTCTACAATCCATGCTAAAATAATTAATTTTGGAATTTAAGAGTGTTATATGATTTGCTTAACTATTAATTCGTATTTTACTACTTGGGACAAGTTATATTTTAAAATTGTGGGTTCTGGGGCTATTTGAAAAGGACTGATTTTGGCGGTGTATTTAGGCAAGGTTGAACCTCAAAGCCCACTAGCTAGTAGCAGACCCACATTAACGGGGATAGTTACCCGGCCATATATGAACCCTGCCGTAAAAATTAAGAATACCCAACTCCGCAGTCAGTTCTTCTACCACAACCATACAACGCAAATCAACCCAATTTCTCGTAATGGCATCTGTTTACAAGTCCGTTTCTAAGACCGGTACCAAAGCCCCAAAAGATGAAGAAGGTACCAAAAAGAACAAGCAAAGGGTTCTAGTCTTGACATCTCGTGGAGTAACTTATAGGTGTGTGTAAATTGCTACTGTTGGGTGGGCACCTCACTTTACCTGAGCACTGACAAATTTTTTAGACATCGCCATCTTCTTAATGATTTGGTCGCTATGCTTCCCCACGGCCGTAAAGACGCCAAACTAGACACAAAGTCAAAGCTATATCATTTGAACGAGATTGCAGATCTATATAACTGCAACAACGTTCTTTTCTTTGAAGCGCGGAAACGGCAGGATCTTTACATGTGGATGAGCAAAGCGCCTAATGGACCTTGTATCAAGCTTCACGTACAAAACTGTATTTCATCCTATCGAGCCGATTTCCCGAAGTTTTTTACTGAGTCTCATAGTGCATACAATGGAAGAGCTTCATTTCACCGGAAACGCCCTAAAGGGTTCTCGGCCTATCCTCAGCTTTGATGCAACGTTTGATCGAACACCTGCCATGAAGCTGATAAAAGAGGTCCTTCTCCATGTCTTCGGCGTTCCCAAAGCAGCGAGGAAGAGCAAGCCTTTCATCGACCATGTCCTTAGCTTTACAATTGCCGACGGGAAGATTTGGTTCAGGAATTATCAGGTATCGGAGGTCGAGGCTCCAAAGAAAACCGATGACACAGACGCAGCCGATAAACCTAAATCCAAAAAATCATCAGAGCAAACAGAGCTTTCCCTTGTCGAGATTGGTCCCCGTTTCGTTATGACACCGATTATCATTCTTGAGGGTTCTTTTGGTGGGCCGGTAATTTATGAGAACAAGGAGTTTGTGTCGCCAAATGCCGTCCGTTCGGAAATTAGAAAGAAGAAAGCCCAGAGATATAACTCGAGGACTGAGGAGAAGCAGAGGTTAGAGACAAAGAGGGGCGAGCTGGGGCTCGAG